AGCCGGTGGCGAACACTTTATTTCCTGAAAGAATGGCAGAATCAGACGTGGAACGACCGTGACCACGCTAGCGTCGGTATCTCACAGGTACGAGGAAGCCGGAGAGAGTCAAAGCATCTCAAAGCATGCGTCCGTGTGTGCTCGAGAAGCGAGAGAAGCCGAGGGGGGACTGGAGAAGCGAAGATATGACGACTAGTGGCCGGCTGAGTTTGGACTAGCGTTCACGTCTGCGAGGAATACAGATACATGTGTGATGGATGTCGCGAATGACGAAGGGACCGCGAGGGTTACTATATACAAGACCTACCGGAGCTACGCCCCGTTTGTCAATAAATATATCGGACAGTCGGCCTACAGAAGCGAGATGATCAGTGTGAAACTCAGACTGGTCTCACCAAAAGAGGGCAATCTTTACGGCCAAAATGGTTAACCGCCGTCGTCGCTAACCTTTAATTGCAGGATAAACGTCGATGCCTTCAAAGTGCGTTAGCGCACTGGCCAGAATGGCAATACCTGACTATTTTAGTTCGAACCTCAAGAAAGGACCTCAAAAAGAAATGAAAACGGCAAACACAACCAAACGAAATGGAGACATCTGCGTTATAAGAGGGTTGATCGAAGAAGGATTGACATTGGCTGTCGTCCGGAATCGGGACATGTATGAAGTCGGTGGCGTTTGAGTCAAAGCGTAACGGACGCGCTGTGCTGCAGTGGCGGTTGGGATGAAGACGTTGATGGGACGACGGTACCGGTTCGTTGACATCGAATGAAAGGTAAGTTTGAGAAAGAAGACGGTGAGTGAGAGCATCGCGGTTCGTGGCCGTCGTGTGGGAAGGCCGCCGCGCACGCGCCTGCGTCACGTTGGATTCATTTGTGGCGGCGGGGTGGGGCCGACACGCTGTGGGTTATAATAGAGGGTGCGGTGTTGTCGAGCACGGCTGTTGTGCATCGAGGCAGAGTGCGTACAAAGGCGAGGAGAGCGATGCAAGACAGTGGAGAAGACAATAAGCGTGAGGGACTTTGTTTAGACGAGCGTGGGAAAGGGTGGGGAGAGTGGATTGGTCCGAGGACGGGATTCGCTCTAATCGACCACTGCTGCTACCTCCCGCCGTCTACACCCCTTCCCCTCCTTCCTCCACATTCCTCGCCATGAAGGCCCTCAGGAAGTCCCTCACTTCAAAGGATGTACACCACCCACAAATATCCACCCCACTCCCTGCAATCTCAAAACCGCCACAAGCAATCGTACCCCCACAGAAGGTCATCAGATCTCTCGCCTCATACAGATCCAAGGCTCCCCAGGAGCTCTCCTTCCAGAAAGGCGACTTCTTCTACGTCGTCCGCGACGTCTCAGCACAAGGAGAATGGTTCGAGGCTCACAATCCTTTGACCGGGGCCCGCGGGCTCGTGCCAAAGTCCCTGTTCGAAGAGTTGCACAAGGGTCCTGCTCCGTGAGTGTTCACAGTCTACTCCTTCTCTTGCATCATCTGTCGTCGTACTCCACCACGCACGACGTTTTGCGCGGCGCGGAAGGGTTAGCTCGTGGTCGCGTATAGTCGCCACTGCCTTGGCGACTACGCTTTGAATATACCGACCTATACCGGTGTACTCCTCGCAAGTATGGCGACAACCAGTCTTTCCCTCCCGCCATGTAACACCGATGCTTCCATCACTCTTGATATCAATGCGGCCCACCATCTCCACCCCTTCCTATCGCCTCACAGATATCGTACTGCGCTGTCGGGAGCGATACTGGTGGCCCGTGGGTCTTCGCCTATAGTCCGCCCACGCCAACATTAGCTATCTCTTCCATTTCCGACGCTGCTCGACATCTTTCAACCCCTTGCTGCTGCTGTTGCTGCCCCCCATCATGATACCGCTTTCATCATGTACGACCGCGGTGTTTCCGGTTGGCGCCACCAGCTCACGTACGATCGCGACGCGAAAGGCCCATGCCCGCCGCACAATGATCACTCGGCGTCTCGTCTATTCGTAAAGCGAGCCTCTACCGTCGTTTTGAGCGCGCGTCGTCCTTTGTCGGCTCTTCCGACAGCGCCGAAAATCCCTCCTGTCATTGTCGCAGCACAATTTTCCTTGATCACAGTCCCGCAGCAGGCTCCCGCCGGCCAGAGCTGTTGGCCAGGCGCATGCAGTACCGACATGTCGCTCGGAAAGGGGTCACAAAGCATCCCTTTTCTTTGAAAGATATACGGGGGTTTGTTTTTCTTGGGATTGATGGATCGGTTCAGTTCCGGGACAGCTTCTGTGTCAAGATATACCTCCGTGTGGCCCCCCTTCGCCGCATCATGCAAACGGATATATCTTGGTCTAGATGATGGAGGCGACGAACCCCATTTATCTCTGCGAAAGGCCTCGCCTATTCGAGACAGGTATATTTTCGTCCAGCGCTTTGATCCACTGCCAACAGGCACTCGCTGTGGCGACGTGTGGCGTGTGCTGTTCAGGGACATCTTTCACCGCTTGGCTCCGTGGTGAAGTCCACATGGTCGATGCCGCCTTCAATTGTTTGCTGTCTCCCCGACCTGTTTTCGATAGCGATAGCACACCGATATGTCTCACATCCATATGATCCATTTTCTAATCATCTTCGTCCCTCAGTACACCAAAGACATCACCAGTCCCTACCCCACTCACACCAGTCTCACCACGAACGCCAGGCTCTCGCGCACCCAAGACACAAGCCTTCTACGCCATCGTCCTCCACGACTTCATCGCCGAACGGACAGACGAACTCGACGCCAAAGCCGGCGACTCCATCTCCGTCGTCGCGCAATCCAATCGGGAATGGTTCGTCGCGAAACCGATCGGGAAGCTCGGGAAACCGGGTCTGATCCCGGTGACGTTCGTGGAGGTGCGAGATCCAGTGACGAACCAGCCAGTGAAGGATATCAACCAGTTGATGGACAGCGGCAGCTTGCCGAGGGTGGAGGAGTGGAAGAAACAGATTATTAACTACAAGGCGACGTCGATCGCGCTCGGCACGCTGGACGATATGCCGGGATATTCGTCGAGTCCGTTTATGACTTCGGCACCGGTGCCGGAGATGCCAGAACCTGCACAGGAGGAAGAGACGACGCCATCGCCTGTGGACGAACGACGATCGACTCCTTCTTCCTCTTCGGGCATCCTACCTGAAGGTCTCCTCCTCACCGCCGACGTCCCATCTTTCCACCTCGAGATGGACGATTATTGGTTCCGGATCCACGCCACTTATCAACCGTACGGTCCAGCCGGTTCCAGCGACCTTCCCAAAGCGATGGACCTCGTCATCTTCAGGACCTACCAAGAATTCTACGAGTTCCAGAAATCACTCATCGCCTCCTTCCCCCGCGAATCTGGTGAGATCCCAGAAGCACCACGCATACTGCCGTTCATGCCCGGCCCGTCGAACAACGTCGACGATCAGTTGTCGAAGATGAGACAGGAAGAGCTCCGGGAGTACATGCAGAAGTTCTCTGCGTTGAGCCGGTCAACGGCGCGGTACATGGTCGAACACCATCTGACGAGACAGTTCTTCGCTCTGAAGCCGGGAGACGTCGAGAATGAGGTGGAGCCGCAATTTGTGAGGATGGAACAGGCGGGGTGGTATGATCCTGTGGAGGAGCCGGAGATCATACTTCCTGCGCAAGCAGAGGCGGTGCTAGAGGAGACTCTGGCGCAGATGAAGGTATCACGACCGTATGCCGATAGCGAGGGCTCGGATTATGGAGACGATGATGCGCATATCCAGGATCCTCCACCCGAACTACGACAGGACCCGTCGAAACTTCCTTACAATGGCAACGGCAACGGCAAGCTCGTGACGGAGCAGTACCAGAGCAGTCTGCGATCCCGTTCCTCTGGCTCTTCGTCCTCGCGATGGCCCGAACAATCCCACTCCTCACACAACACACAAGCTACTTCCCCCGTCTCCGTCGCGCCCTCCCAACCCCGCTCATCCATGACCGACGCCTCCTCCCGCTCGCGCTCCCAATCCCTCGCCTCGTCCGCCCATCCCACCTCCATGCACGCGAACCACGCGCACGCCCACACGCCCTCCATCTCGATGACGAACCCGCAGACGGCGTTCATCAAGATCAAGATCTTCGACAGGGTGACGGACGATCTGATCGCGATCCGCGTCCATCCGAAGGTGACGCACGAGCAGTTGATGGACAAGGTGCAGACGCGGTTGGGGGGCAAGGTCGAGAAGCTGAGTTATAGGGAGAGCTTAGGCAACCGAGGGGAGGACTTCGTGCCCTTGGCGCAGGACGGGGATTTGAGGCATTGGTTGGAGAACACGGAGAAGCATGTGTTGTATGCTGATTGAGTCGGGTGGTGAAGTGGTGTGATGCTGTGGTATGACACGATTACGATTGTGGCGGATCGGACGGATTCTGGATTCGTGTTTCTCTTTTTTCGTTCTGTATGGACTAGGCTGGCCCTTTGTCTTTGCGTTGCCCCTTTGTCTTTGCGTTGCGCCCCACTTCTTAGCCTCCACCTTTTTTTTTCGCCGCACGACAATATGGGCCGATCTGTTTTCTTCGTTCGTTTTGCTAATTTTCGTCTTTTCGTTCGTTTTCTTCGCTTTGACCTCTCACGATTTGTGTGTGTTTTCCCCCTCTCACCATTCTGTGTTCCTCCCTCGAGCTCTCTAGTATACATACTCTCATCCGTATCCACATGTCAACTTCTTCTCGATTTATTCTCCCACACGGGTATTTTGTTCTTGTCACGATGTCATGTCGATGTCGACGATCTCACTCTGACGATCTGTTTTCCCATTTTCCTATTTTCCCTTCACACTTTCGATGATGTTTTTTCTAGTCTCTCTGTCTCTGTTTCTGTTTCTGTTTCTGTTTCTGTTTCTTCTCGAGTCTCTAACCTGATCACTACTCCGACTTACTCCTTACTTATACTCCTGTAGCCGTGGCGGCATTGACATTGACGGTGTTGTGCCATTACTCCATTAACTTGTTACATTTTCGACTTGCGAATGAGGATAGATTCAGACGCAGAACTTCCCTGTTGCTTGTTTTGAGGCTCTGCGCGGGCTTCGCTTTTCCAGCTGAGCTGGTTTCTCCGTGGGAAGTTCCTCGGGAGCCTGAGGCTTCACAACATTCGTTTTTTTGTCTATTTTCCTTTCTCATGTTCTTGTTCATGATGATGATGATGATTGCTACTTTCCTCATGGTGCTCGCTCACCTACGTCCTTCCACGCTGGCATTTCTTTATTCACTTATTGCGCCTTACATCTACACTTTATAAGTTATGTTTTTTCCTCCTCAGGAAATTAGTTCTCTATTCAGTCAACTACCATTACTAGACGCCCTTATGTTCCATACGAGTCTATGCACGTATATATATCTGTTCGCCCGAATCGTTACTTCAAAGCGTAGCATGGTACGAAGTTGCTTTGATGCGATCTCAGTGCCAGAAGATAAGATAAGATAATTTACACGATTCCGACGGACGTCGATCTTGCTGGCCCCTGGCGCACCATCGCGAACACATTCACACCACCGTGACCATCTCTCTCTCTTCCTCCTCCATCTTCTTCCTCTCCTTCCACAGGTGAATCTTTCTTCGTCCATCTTTCTCCTGCTGGTATGCTCAGCGTAGGCGCATCTATTATTGTAGGTCTTGCGGCTGGAATTTACATCCCTGGTCGCGATCGAAATCGGCAGGAAATAAAGGACAAGGACAAGATGGCGGTCGAGTTTGCACCGTTGAAGAATGATTTGCTTTTGAGGGCTGCGAGAGGTACGTCTTTTGTTTGTGAGAATGTGGATGGTGCTTTGTCTTTGTCCGCGTATTTTTCTGTGATCAGCACGAAGCTATGTTGTGCTGGCCGTTCTGACATAACGGTGCGAGTGTAGCACACGTCAGTGCTGGGCCAGTACACGAATGTTCTCATAGACCATGGTCCAAATCTTCCTCGTCATTTAATGCTCTTCTAGTGTGATGTTTTCTTACTTTCTTTACCACAAACCGTTTGGTCCTGCAAATTTGCTGACAGTATGCTGTCTCGTACACCCTAGGTGAGCAGACGGAGCGTGCCCCTGTTTGGGTGATGCGACAGGCAGGTCGCTACCTCCCAGGTCTGTCGCTCTCCCCACGTCCCTCAGCTCTACTCGAACCACCCCTCACACGATCTTCATAACCAACTCCCACGCACACCATCCCGCACACTTACACCCGCACCGGCATTCACTCCTCGTCCGTCGGCACTGGCGTGAATCCCTGCGGCACTCACGCCATCCCAATCCGTTCTCAACGGCTATACCTGTCCGCCCAATAAACCGCATCAGAATTCCGCGAGCTACGAAAAGACCACGAATTCTTCGAGATCTGTCGTACGCCACATCTCGCCACCGAAATAACATTACAGCCAGTCCGCCGTTACTCCGGCCTCCTGGACGCAGCCATTATCTTCTCCGATATTCTGGTCATTCCCCAAGCCATGGGCATGGAAGTCCTCATGAACCCCGGCCCTTCCTTCCCTGACCCGCTCAATACCCCCGAAGACATTAAAAAGCTTAGGGAACACCTCGACGTGAACAAGGAATTGGGCTACGTGTTTGAGGCGATCACGATGGCAAGGAAGGAACTGAAAGGAGAGGTGCCGTTGATTGGGTTCACTGGAGCTCCGTGGACGCTGTTCATGTACATGGTCGAGGGCGGAGGGAGCAAGACGTTGCAGAAGTCTAAGACATGGTTGTTCAAGTACCCTGAGGAGTCCAAGGCATTACTGGAGCGCATCGCCGACATTTGCGCGGACTACCTTGTTGGGCAAGTCAAAGCCGGCGCTCAGGTCAGTCTTTGTTCTCACTGTCGTGGGTCACCACATCGCTGATTTGAGCACACTCTGCAGCTCCTTCAAGTTTTCGAGTCCAACGCCGGCGAGCTTTCACCTCACGACTACGAAACCTTCTCCCTCCCCTACACAACCCGCATCCTCACTCGCGTCCGCAGCTCTCTCTCCTCCCTCTCCCTCCCTCAAGTCCCCATGACTCTCTTCCCCAAAGGCGCAAACACGACCCCATCCGTCGTCGCCTCAGCAAACTCGGGCTACGACGTCATCGGTCTCGACTGGTGTGTCCGAGGCTCAGTCGCCCGCTCAGCCGCGGCCGCCGCGAACGTGAGAGATGGGAAGGGCGTCGCGTTCCAGGGGAATTTGGATCCTGCGGTGCTTTATGGCGGGAGGGAGGCGATCGAGAGAGAGGTGAAGAGGATGTGTGAGGAGTTTAAGGGACAGGATGGAAAGGGACCGAAGGGATGGATTGCGAATCTGGGGCATGGGATCACGCCGGGTGTGGACCCGGAAGACATGAAGTGGTTCATGCAATGTGTGCATAAGTATTCGGCAGCTGCTTAGATCGTATTTTGGGGGTTATTGGATGGAATCATGGGTGAGTAGGCATAACTGAAGGTGAAGCGAAATGGAAAGTGTTGTGTTGCTCGTTGTGCTTCAGGTCATTGTATTGCTGATTATAAATGACCCGCTTGTTCGAAACAGGTGTGTCGTATTGGAACGAATGTCGTGATGAGTATATGCCTGATGTTGCTCAAATCCGACCGTGCGCGGGCCACAGAACAGCCAAACAGCAATTCCCAGTTCAACGTTTACTAGTTGAACATGGTGGAGAGTCAGGCCTCAGGCCTTCCGTTCGTCAAGGCTTTGGTTTCTTTTTTAATCCCTGTCCTTCATGGATGTGTCCTTGTTGTTTCTTCTCGGCCTTCCTCGCGAGGCAGTAGGAGTCAGGATTGTGATTCATCGATGCATTCGGCCGGAGGGTTTCGTCGACTTGTCCAGTCACCTATCTACAGCATATAATGTTTCAGGAAATTGACAGCTGTATTGATGTCTTTGTTATGGGCTCGATATACTCTGTATATCTGGTTTTTTGTTGCCAGAGAAGTTATCACCTCCGATCTCATTGAGAGGACGATCCACTGTGATGCAAATACTGGCTTCTATATCGCCTTCGTATGACTCTGTGATATGATGTAATTATCGGTCTCTATGACGGAGCACCTTAGATATGCATATGCAGCTAACAAGACCAGCGAAGAGAGCAAAGGTGTGGAAATGGCCACCTAACGGCGAACTTCGGGAACAAGTTGTATCTCAGGTCACGTGGCACGCGTCGAGGACCGAGGTCGTACTCGCCTACTCGAGGTCTTCCCCATCGTCGCCAACATTTCCTCCACCGACGAGCTCAACGTCGTTCGCGCCCTCCGCCTATCATCTTCTGCCCGCTTCACGACTTCGAATAGGAGAAGAGTGTGGGCTGTGACGGCAAGACAGCTGGATCTTCACAGGAGCATTGGCGTCAAGGACTTGGTGAGCTCCCTCAAAACCTTCTTTTGAGGGTTGATGTGCACCAGAAGTCAGCCAACTCATGATTGTTTCATTATGCTGTATCTGCTTTGCTGTTAAAGCTGCTATAGTCTGCGGTGAATCCTAGAGTGTATATCGTCCGGGTGATTGCCTGGTGAGTCCTTTGCTACTTGTCCCAAGTGGCCGGAAATTTCGGAAAAGACAATATAGGGTCAAACCCTCGCGTCGCGCCGGAGGATGTCAATATATTATCTCATTATACGAGGAAATATTCAGTGGTCGTCTGACCACCCGTTCAATTCTGCTATGAGCATCTCCCCGTCTTGTATACTGTTCAAGTACCGCAAGGAAGTTCACTCAGACCGTTGCATGCTGGCAACAGCGTTCTCCTTATATTATTGTCTTGTCGCTCTCACTATATGTCGAGCTGCGCACTAACTGTTCCGATGATAGTAATGCGGGACACATGCCATGCAATTGGTCAACGACGGCCAATATCCTGTCGCAGAGATTTTTCTCCAGCCAGTTCTCGCCCAACACTACACGTAGACTCAAATTTCGGCCTATACGCTCGCCGGCATCGACATCGCAATGGCGTTCACTTGTGACCATAGCACCTCGCCCAGACCAGCGCCATGACTCTTACTTCGCCTCTCATCACATCCGGTCCCTGGAACCCTCTTTAAGTCACTCTCATTCCGGACCTCGGCATGGCCCTGCCGCATACTCCTCTGCCAGCCACTCTTCCACTAAAGCCGCCTTGATTCCTGAAGATCCACCACCTATCAACATCGCTGACCTCTCTTCTCATTGGTCTTCCCCCGCCCTCTCTCGCGCTGGCGCACAAGCCGTCCGCATGTCCCTCGCCAACAACTCCATTTTTGACGCATACCACCTTTGGAATTCCTTGCGCTGGTCAGTTCACAATTACGACACTACTCCTGGTCCCAAAGTCAAGTTCGTAGCCCCCACACGTTGTTTCGAGCCTATTGATTTTGGCAAGGCCGTCTCTCCTCGCCTCGCAGCTCACGCTCTGGTTCACTTCCACCTCCGAAGAAAGGACCCGAGGAATGCAGCGAAGGTGGTCAACCAGATGTTACTGGATGGGACCGAATGCAGTGTGAAGACGTTCGAGGCTGTGTTACTCATGCTGCATCCAACGAATTCGGGCGGCGACCGTTCAGTATTCAACAAGCTCACGAACCACGAGTTGATTGCCCCGCTGGCAGGCAAAGAGACCATGAATCTCAAGAACGTCTTGCCTGAAGATCCGCTTACTCGAGTCGCCGTTCGTCTACTTCGAGAGGCTCGCAAGCATCGATGGCAGCGTACGCAAATGATGTACGATGTCGTTATTAGCGCCTGCATCATCCAAGGCGAAGTCATCGCGGCTACTCTTCTACTAGGGTTCCTCATCTACGATTACCAACTACGCAAGACCTGTGTCCATATTGCCGAACAAAGAGTCAGTGCAGCAGAAGTCGAAGGTGTTCTCGCCAAGAATCTGGACGGTTCGACAACGATCCCTCGTCGCAAATCCCGCCACGGTTCTCCACCGCTGCTACCCATGATCGGTCCCTCACGATCCCTCCAAAATATCGTCGACCTTATAGCCGACCCCATCGCACACGGCCCTGACCATCCTCTCTTCGCAGACTGCAGCCAGAGCCTTGCCAACGTCGCTGGTTTACTGGATACCCAACAGCTGCCGACGACCCACATTGCTCAGCTCATCACTCTGCTGTCTTCGTACCCGGAGAGCGACCAGAAGGTGTGGGTGAAGATGAGGAGTGGGCGGCAGGCCTCGTATAATGCGTATCAGTATTTTCATGCGGTGCTTGTCAGGCTCATACGATCTTTACCTGTGTCGGAACCCCCGCCTCTGCAGCCTTCGAAGACATACCCAACGCCACTACTATCCCCTTCGCCTTCTGCGATCACCACGACAGCCTCTTCGTTCTCCAGAACGTCGATGACTTCTGATCCTTTGCCTCGAAGTTCTCTACCTCCATTGACCCTTTTCCCCTACAACACACTACTACGCTACGCCCTCCAACATCGGTTTAATTGGAATCTCGCACACGTCATATTGAAGAATATGATGGAGGATAGGCAACCGCCGTTGGAACCTGATGTCACGACGTTCACCATACTGCTGAGGGCGTGCACGTTGCAGAGGAAGAACGATGTGGCGCATGCGATCTTGACGATGTTCAGGTTCCCGTCGTATGGGGCCGAGGATGAAGACCGGATTGCGCCGAAGGAGGGTGAAGAGATGGACCAAGGAGATTCTCATGAAGGTGTTAGCCGACCTGTGGCGGAGCCTGACGTCGTAGACGTCTCTTTGGAAGGCTCTTCAGGCGACATTGTGGTCCAGCCAGTTGAATCTCAACCCTCATCATTCTCGTCGCCATCTCCAGAAGTGGAGGAGGACCGGAAGAAGGACCCATACTCTCAGAACCCATACAATCCCACCTCCCGAGCTATAGTCCGCCTCATCTACAAGATCAAATCTCAGACTCCGCAGATCCCGACACCCTCTGCCGACGTGCACGTCGACACTTCCTTCCTCTGCGCATTCATCTCCCACCTCGTCTCCACTGGCCGTCCAGACGCCGTTTCTTCCGTCATCTTTCTCATCCTCCCCGAGCTCGGAGCTATCGAACACCCCTCCTGGGACACGCTCTCCCTCAGCGCTCGCCGCGAACTGCGCGAACAAAACCGCGTACAATGCGTCAAACGGGCGTCCCATATGGGTCCTTATTTCTTCAGCACGGTGTTGAATGCCCTTGCGAAGACGGGGAAGACGGGGCTAGCAGAGAGGGTGTGGTTGCTTGCGAAGAATGCGGAGGCGGCGAGTTGGTTGGAAGATGCGGAAGTGAGACCGTGGTGTCTTTCGGTACACGCGTATACTTCCATGATGGAGTGTTATGCGAACGAGGCGAGGAAAGGGCTGGATCTCAAAACGTTAAGTCCGAGACGACGGGTGGCGCTGAGATCGTTCATGCCGGAGCTAGAGTGGGAGACGGGTGGGAAGGCAAGGAAGAAGCGGGTTGTAGGGTGGGCGCATTATGTCCAGACGCTCAGGGTGCTGGGAGGGAGTAAGAAGAGTGCGATGAAAATCGGGCTAAGGAACGTCACAGGGAAGAAGTTAGGGAGGATGCTTTACAAGTCTATGCGCCTTGGTGCTGCCTCCATCTATGAATCGCTCAAGTGGGTTCAGCACCGACATCGAGACCAGCTTCTGGCTCCAGGCCAATCCCAATCCCAGGACTGGTCTCAGACTTCGGACAAGCCTCTGGACCTGGACCAAGACAAGGAGCGGAACCAGGAAGACGAATTACAAAATTGGCCTCGGTACAACCTCAGACAGCCCATCCGACGACACCTGCAGATCCCAGAACCAGATGAACGATTCTTCAATGCCGTCCTGTCCATGTACGCACAACGACCAAATGCACCACAACACAACGCCCGTACTTCTCGAGCACGCTGGAGACGCAAGTTGCGCAGAGCTCGTAGCCAGTATGCGGAGGGATACAGGCGGCCGAAGCGGTTATATGTTTTGGAGAGCGTCTTGAAGGATATGTTGGCTTGCGGGTTTGAGGTGCCAGTGGCGTTCCATATACCGTTGATGGGTGGGGCTGTGGATCTTAACGCGGTGAATAAGGTGAGGAGGAAGGCGATGGTGCGGCCATATGCGTTCCCGCCGGTGGGGAGAAGGCAGAGGCTCAGGCCGAGGAAGATCCCTACGGTGAAGACTAGAGGATTGCCGATTGGTTCTACGCGTGCGAGGCGGAGGGAGGTGGACTAGTATCGAGGACCGTGGCTTCTGAGTAGATATTATAAAGCGCTCTGTCTATAACATTATATTATGTAGCTTTAGTAGATGCTCTGTGCACTCTGGTACCAACCAAATAGGACATCCATCCATACAGTGGTTACTGCCATCGAACTGCTACTTCTCTGGGGGGATAGCTACTGCATTGGCTGCAACAGCCGCCGCTGAATGGAAAGGAGACTTGGCAGGCAAAGGTCTCGTCTTCTCCTGCAAATGCACCACTGTCATTCTCCTCGTCAACTCTCTCGGTCTCCATTCCCTCGCCACGTCTGTCACCATCTCCACCATCTCCCTCACCTTCTTCCCCATCTCCTCCGGGCTCACCGTCACCTGCTGTCCCTGCTTCGTCGCCACCACGAGCTCGACTCTTAATCCCTTCGCGATCTCCTCTCGCACTTTCTTTATCTTATGTGCGACATCCCCCGGCGCAGCGTTCCACGTCAACTGCACTTCCTTCCCCTCGTTATGTTTCTTCGATAGTCGTAGTCGTTTTTTGAGGTGGCGCTCTCGTTCGGAGAGGTCGTGTTTATTGACGAGTTTGACTATGGCGAAAGCTTCCGTATCGTTCCCTGACTCTGGGTTATATCGAGGCTCCTCGACGAGTTCCAGGAAATTGCGACCATCGGCAATGATAGAGTCGAGGAGGGGTTGTAATGGTTGTGGTTCGCCGAGCTTCTTGGTCTCGGGGTCTACGAGGCGAACCACCTGGTAGGGGATTTTGCCATCACGAAAATGTTCGGTACCCTGTCTGTTTTTGTGGGACTGGTTTGGGAGAGAAGAATGGAATTGGCGTGGGTGGTGGTGGGGAATCCGGCCTAGGGATGAGGATGTGGAGGCTAATTGCGAGCGAAAGCTTGAGCTGGGGTTTGGCACGCGTAATGCGGCCGCGAAAGCTGAGCGAACACAAATGAATGTCATTTTATGGGCCTTTAGGATGTAAGGTGTTAGTTTGAGTTGTCTTCGTGGATGAATACGCGAAAACACGAACGAATGAACGCGAACGATGACGCTGTCTTGTCGAGAGCTCGAAAAGGAAGCAGTTGCCCTAGGCTCTGACCATCCGTTATATTTGACGTGAAGGGAATCGTTCATACAGTTGCCCCTTTTCGGGCCACGAAACTCATCGGAGACGAATTCGCGTGTGTGCCTTTGTGGCTCTTCTCTCTCGACGACCATTATGGCAGACTCGGATACATCAACTGCTGACATCCATATTCAATGGATGCGCCAAGCAATGGATATGGTGCGTTTATTTGTGTTAAAGAAGTATGGCACGTCCTCAGTCGACCAGACACGATAATTTATAGGCTGAAGAAGCTCTTACGGCGAGCGAAGTCCCTGTAGGCTGTATCTTCGTTCGCGACGGTAAAGTCATTGCAAGGGCTCGCAATCGTACCAATGAACTCCGAAACGTCTGTATCCTCCTATTTCTATGTCGCTCCTCTGACTTACGAGTGAAATTTGTAGGCCACACGACACGCAGAGCTCGAAGCCATTGACGCTATTCTCGCAGACCCTGTCCTCACGCCAGAACATAAACCGTACCCACTCTCGGACACGGTTCTGTACGTGACTGTAGAGCCTTGTATTATGTGTGCATCGGCTTTGAGGCAGATGGGCATCAAGGAAGTTTTCTACGGTTGCGCGAACGAGCGGTTCGGAGGATGCGGTAGTGTTCTCGGAGTCAACGCAGGGTAAGTGGTGTCACTTCATCATTGTGGCTCTTTGTTTAATGACCGTGTACGGACAGGCTTGTGCATCCTAAGCATCCTGCCTATAAAGCGACAGCAGGATATTGTCGAGAAGAGGCCATCATGGTCTTGCGACGGTTCTACATCACGGAGAACACCAATGGTGCGTGCATAAATAACACCCTTTTTTGAGGAAGTCTTCTCATGTGCCTTCTCGCCTAGCTCCTGCACCCAAATCCAAGTCCAACCGTGTACTTAAAACGGAGATCCCAACGAAGTCAGAATAAAATGGCTGATTTCTCCGAGCGTGAACTGAGAGGACAGAACACTTTGGATCTACGGAAAGATACTCGCTGATGCTCGAAACGGGGGATCACTCTATTCTGTGCTCGGCTTTATATTGCATCTCCGAGACTTGGGTCTTTCGTTTTTGCTTGCCTTCACCGGTGTCTGTACTTGGTCGCTCGTTTTTTCTCATGGGCACTCCCAATACACAGTCTCACCCCGGCTGCAAACTCTTAGATTCCAACGACCTCTGCTTTCTCACTGGCCCTCCCATTTTTACGTCCGTAAATGTACCTGGACTGAATGCAACGCGAAACGCGCTCACGTGTGGGACGCGTCTCAGACCGGCTTCGCAGCTTCCTAATTCAGATACCGCGACCCCGGCAACGTCACCGCCGTTCCGTTTGTGACTTGGACTGGCAGTCCTCGGTGTACATGAAGGATGCGAGTTCTCCTACCACATACCCGAGACATCTCTCAAAATATAAGAGGTTGCTACTAGTACTCAGCAAGCCTCATCCTGCTCATCCCCATACCACCTTCATACCTCTGATTTTGGCACTTGAGTTCTGACTTTAGTCACACCAGTCCATCATCCGTCTTGAGTACGGTTCTTGGAGCATCCGATCGCGCTTTGTGACGCCCCCATTTCTGCATTCACACCCGTTAAATCTGCGTAATTTCCCGCCAGTTTGACGCACCCCTTGGTCTCCAACCACCACCATCACCAGGGCCAACACCATCCTCTCGCTCGCCTTTGTCTGCTCTCTCTCCATCGACGGTCGTGCACATCTCCCCGCTACACCTACTTCCATAAACCTACACTCTCTTTACCTTTCCTTTCTCCGTCATGTCCTCCTCCACCTTCAGACGTCACCCCGCCTCTCTCCTCCCATGCGGCGCGCACAATCCTCAGCTTCTCCAGCTTCTCCACCAGAATGTCTCGTACGACATGGTAGTATATCTTGCCCAACAGACCACGCTCGTCATCCCGGTAAACGATGAGGAGCCTCCCGCCACTTCGTCCTCTCACCTTTCTGCGGGCCCCGCCGCCAGTGCGCTCCCCACGCCGCCGCATACCCCGCATAGGACCGCTTCCTTCCCCGATTCACAAGCGTCCAACAAGGCATCCGGAATTCCACCTCTCGAGGACTTCATCGTTGCGGTCATCAAGGCCTCGAACGTTCAGGTGCCGACTCTCCTCACTACGCTCATCTACCTGGACCGCCTGCATCAGAAGCTTCCTAAAATGGCCAAAGGTATGTCGGTCCACTCCATGGTCTTCACGTGCTGTCGAGCTTAACATACCATCCTTTCTTTCCGTCCTCGTCCATAGGTATTCCCTGTACGCGTCACCGCGTCTTTCTTGCCACCCTCATCGTCGCCGCCAAATACCTCAATGACTCTTCTCCCAAGAATAAGCATTGGGCCGCCTACGCTAAACTGTTCGATATCGCCGAGATCAATCTCATGGAGAAGCAACTCCTCTTCCTCCTCGGTTACGACCTCCGTTTCGACGAACTCGAGGCCATCTCCCACTTTGAGCCCTTCCTCTCCTCACCCGCAGAGGAGAGGCGGTGCGCCGTCAACAGGGTCGCCCAGGCCAGCAAGGCAAGAGTCGAGAAGCAAAGGAAGGAACAAGCTCCCCTGACACCTCCGTACGACGCCGTTCCTCCTCCTTACGAGGCCGCCCCTCGTCCCGCCCCTGTCGCCGTTCCTGCTCCCGTCGCCGCTCCCCTTCCTGAAGGTCAACGCTACGATGTTCCTGTCACGTCGTCCGGGTCGTCCCAGAGCATCACCGCCACCGTGCACAACCTCGCCAAGCGCATCTCCTCCACTTATCTCAGCGCCAATGTGGCTCATCAACCTCAACTTCGTCGTCCCTCTTTGAACTTGACGAATAGTAGCTCTAGCACCGCCACTACCTACTCAAGGTCGGACAGTAGCGCTGCCTGCAGCCGCACTAGCAGCTACACATCTGTGGAGGATAACGACAGTTCTGCCGCTTGCTCGCCTTCTATGGACGCCGACTCTGACGACGAGCCGGAGTTCAAGCTTAGGCCTGCTCCTGCTTCAGTCCACAGGAATCGGAGCTCGACTACCTGCAGCGTTGTGCAGGGACCCAGGGGCATGAGCATCAGGGCCTCTAACTCGGACAACACCGTCAAGGACATGCCCTCTGGCATCTCCTCGCCCACCGCCACGCGTCGCACCCGCGGCGGACCTCAAGCTACCCGCCGGCCGTCCACTCCTTCAAAGCGCTCTGCTCCTGCCGACATGACCACCACGACGCCTGCCCCATCCACGCTCGCCTCTTCGGGAAGTTTCCTCAGCAGAATGTGGGGCGCGGCTACTAAGTCCTCCAACTCGATCTCTTCTTCGACTTCGACTTCGTCAGCTATGCAACAGGATGAATACCCTGCCCTCAACGCGGAGAGTACTTCGGGAAGCGTGGGGGGCGGTTTGAGGAGGTTGGCGCACCAGAGGAGTGTGTTGTTCGCTAAGGGTGGGCAGGAGTGCTGAGCACTTTGAGTCCTGCTTGTGTGTTGTTACGTTTGAAGGACCGGGTTGAACTCTCATAGGAGGTGTTGGTTGGATTCTTACCCGCCCCTTACGCGGACATTCGTTTTATATTACCACAAATGTTGTATACGTCGTTACCTGTGTCTTGATTGTCTTTTTCCTACTATTATGATCGCGTTTGTACTTATATTGTCTTTATTTGTTGTTATGTTTTACATCGCTACACCGGCGTACTCTAATACATCTGTACTCTGACGTCCCTTCTTCGGGACCATCAAGTTTGTTGACCGGTTTCGTCTGAGCCCATGCTATCGACTGATGAACTTCTACTTTCACCCATCCGCTCTTTTTGAGTGCACCTGTGTACCCCTTGTCACTGTAAAGGCCATCGACTTGAAAAGTCGACGAAGAGGGGGCACGTTGTCATTAGAATGTGAAGTAGAAAGCATCGAAAATAAATACAGCATCGACACTCTAATATGAATCCTTCTAGCAAAGCACAGAAGCCCAACAAGCGAACATTATATGTACATATCATCCAACCAAGAACCCTCGACACTATAACCCGATAGGCGGCAGCGACGTTCACTCTTTCTTATCCTTCACCTCAGGCTTTCTCTTCCCACCAACCGCATACCCCACAGTCCCCAAGCCTACCAATCCAGCCCCGAGCCACATCATCCAAACCGCCACATCCTCTTCTTCGCCTCCCGCTCCCTCACCACCATCACCCTTCCCTCCCATCCTGAACAACACGACGCTCAAAATCAGGGATACAGCCTTCCTCACGACGAGAATGAGTGTGACGGTGAGGTTATTCACGCGCGTCGTGAGGCGGTTGACGCCCGCGGTGCAGAGGAGTTGCGTGAGTGTGTTGAGGACGAGGAGTGGGAGAGCGGATGGGATAGAATTGAGGTAGGGAAGGAGGAAGGTTAAAGTTGTGTGGAGGACATAGGCTGTCTTGGAGGTCATAGGGAGAGGAAGAGGTGGAGAGAGCGGTGGAAGAAGGGGTGATCCTGGGCCGGGGAAAGAGGAGGATGAGAAAGATAGAGGTGAGGATTTTGGAGAGGTCAGGGAGGAGAGAAGGGATGAGCTCGATAAAGATTGGGCGAGGGAGGGGGAGGAAGAAGAAATGCGGAGGATAGATTGAGTTTGTGAAGTAATGTCATTGCGAACGAAAAGGAACATGGGCAATGAGAGAAAGTGGAGGTAGAACATGGACTCTTCCCAGGTGGAGGGACGGGTATCTTTAGGTTGTTGTGGCGTCGGTGGGGTGATTGACTCGGACTTCGTCGATGATGAGGAAGGCTGGGAAGTTGTTTTAGGTGCGGCGTAGTGTGAGTATGTCCTGTCTTGAACGATTCCCAAAAATCCAGAGAGGACGAGAGCGAGGGTCAAGATTCCAATCCCTGTGAGGTACATTTGAAGGCCGGATGATGATGGTTCAGTCGTCGACTTCACGTCTCCTGAAGATACGTTCACCGAAGGTGGCTTGCGTGATTTGACGGTAGAAGCTGAGAGACTTGCAACAATCACTCCCGCAGTGACTAGGAGAACGGACAGGACTTGCGTAATGGTGTACCTGCGTGTCCGTGTAAACGAAGCGGTTGGAAGAACGAAATGAACCCATACGTACCTCCTACCGGAGATCAGCCATCCCATAACCATACTGATGACCAGACCTCCACTCCTGAATATGATGTGTACTGGCATAGGAATACGGAAGGCAAAGGCCTTGTTGTTCAAGAGCGAGATGACATAGAATAAAACAACTTGAATGAGATAGGGTGTGAGCGGAATTCGGCGCCGTTTCAGCCATGGTATTGGCATGCCAAGTGGTCCACGTATTGTTGTGATGAATTTGGGTAGGCCGTGAATGGAAATGACCACGAATTGGGCGAAGGTGAGGAGAGTACCGGCAGAGGCATGAGTCTGTGTTATGCGTTCGAGGGTGAGGGCATTGCTGTCCCACAAATATACAAGTCAGTTTATATTTGGGCGTTGAACGTAGTGCGAAGTACCTGCAGCAACCACCAAACACAAGACTGAATGTTGAGGTCCAGTCAAATAGCAGAGCAAGCGAGAGACCACGGAGGAGGGCCTCTGAGCGCTTAGAAGACATCCTGGTTGTCGAACCAGCGATTCAAACCTCGAGAAGTGTGATGGAGAAAACCCAAGAAACTAGTTCACTGTGCTTTTAAGAACATACAGCGCGAACGCTGGCATTATCGAAGGCAGCATGATTGTCGACGTGGTCGTCGTCCCGAAGGCGCGTGCCACAACGTGCTGTGCCACACAGCTTCATCTCGGCGCAGATTAGATTAGATCTTCCAACCAAGTCCATGATAATATTGAGATCTGAAGAGACTGGTTTCATGTTTCTCGTAATTGTTGTCTCGAGAGGTCGCAGAGGATTTAGTAGAAATAACAATAGCAGAAAGAATATAAGAAAAAATATGTTGACCTTTTTGAGCCTGGACATCGTCTGCGAAGAGAAAGGCGCGGAGCAAGCTAGAAATAACGCGAGTGATTAATATTTACGGCATGAGATGAGTCTGCATAGGGGGATTACAGGAATTGTGCTCAATGCTCGGCGTGAACGACGGTGAGGAAAGATAGCAGCAATTTTGCTGGCATCGGAGAAGGCAACAATAACGGCGTACAAAACGCGCTTGTCACGTGACGTGCACTTTACTTCTTTGCAACTTCGACTCAGGCTACTCCTAGCTTCGACCGCTCTCTTCCTGCTCTCTTCAGTCTTCCTACATTCTCTTGGGCATTCGTTTCAAGCGTATCTGAGCTCCTTCCAACGGGATTGTTGTCTAGCCGACATGAGCTACGAACGGTCGTACGGTGGCTACGGTGGTGGAGGCGGTGGACGAAGGCGGAACAGAGGTATGCTCATTGTTATCCCTATGCTGTTAAGAGGCTAACATATGTCAGATTACGAATATGACCGCCGTCAGGAAGTATACGAGTCTCCCGAGGAAATCTTTAGGACGGCCGTCATTCGGTTTGGCGATGTGGTCAGTGCTGAACGAACGGCACCTCCAACATTCAACAACGCGTCTAACTACCCTTATTCAGGACATCGAAGGAGAGCTCCCCAGGCTTGCTAGCCAATTTCGGGAATATTTGCCTCCCAATATCCCTTTGTTCTCAGAGGCTCTTCGAATAAGGTGTGTAACGCCTCCATCCCACGTCAGACGTGGTCTAAGCGCCTGTACGGATGCTGCAGTGTCACCGAACAACCGTACAAGATTCCCCACTATGCTGCCCTCCTCGTCTCTCTCTGTGGGTCAACACCTTCTCAGGAACAGGATGGCGAGAACGCTTCTATGAATGCAGACGAGCCGTCACTTGGGAGACAGATTCTGGATGACTTTTGGAAAGGTTTCCAGACGTATCTCGACAAACTTGCGTGGCGAGAGACGCGTCTCTGCGTAAGCACATCCTCAAACGATCTCTAAACTCACCCGCTTATACTCTGGTCGATCTTCATGGCCACCAGGTTCACTTCTTTGCGCACCTGACCATCGCCAAAATTATCTCTGCGCCTTCAATGCTCGGTCTCCTTCAATCTTTTACCTCTGTGCTCGACGAATTTGGTGTCTCGCATGGACGAGCCAAAAGAGCGGCGCTTTGTGCTGCAGAAGGTCTCATGCGGGTGCGTTTCTGTCTGTTCAAGCATGATGCATTACAGTTAAGTGGCGATGTTGACTTGGGCCACATCAATCAGGCTGGTCCAGAGCTCAAAAAATACTCGGCTGCGTCGGTGAGCGAGATGATCATGGGGATTCAGACCTACAACGAATCGGTTCAAAGCTCCAAATGGCTTGTACAACCCATTCTGTGCCTTCACTCTACCGAACTCACCAAGGAGCACGTTGACGAAGTTCGTCCTTCTCTTCATGCCACTTGTACTCGTATACTCATGATATCGCCCTCCAATGCGTTATTAATCATTCTAGCACATCGACTGCGCCGTCGCGGCTCTCAAAACCCTCGAAGCATCCGACTTCGTTGACATACCTTCCATATACCCACAGCCGTACCTCACTCTTCCCTCCCCCCCTATCACGACCGCCGGCCAGTTCGACCTACCTTCGGTTCTCGTACCACCAGAGGTCATCGAGTTAGACAATATGCCAACCGATGAAGGTGAAGACGCGCTCGTGAAAAAAGAAGAGTGGCCAGACTACATGCTTCGCTTGTTTGAGAACGATGTGCGTTTAGTCCTCGGCCGTACACCTTTTACGCATGCTAACAAACAACTTAATACACAGGTCACACCAGACCTAGCATCACCAGCAGGGTATGCTGTGCGTGCAGACCTTCTGGATATCGTGGACATCTTTGAGATAAACAGAAAGGAATGTGCAAGATTGTTGATGGAATATCCAAAATGGACAGTGCAGGGGACATTCAAGCCCAAACCTGGAACACCAGGCGATATTTCAGACAGGATACCAGAACCGGATAAGGACTGGCAGCTTGAAAGCACTATCATCGAGGTCTATTCATTTCATTCCCTCTCTTCCGTAACTTCGGTTTAACACGTCCGTCGATGCAACGCCACATAACAGACGATCCTCAGCATGCAATTCATCCTCCCCGAGTCCCCTCACAAAACGATATACTATATCGCCCTCATTACCGAACTATGCAAGCTCTCTCCACAGACGGTTGGTCCTGCCGTAGGCAAGTCTATAAGGCGGCTATACGCGTATCTTGCGGAGGGACTAGACGTGGAGATCGGCAGGCGGTTTGCGGAATGGTTCTCTGTGCATATGTCAAACTTCGGATTCCAGTGGGTATGGAAGGAGTGGTATGTTGGATTTTCTCGTTTGAAGCTGGGTGGGGCTAAATGTGATACGGTATCGTGACACTACAGGATCCCGGATCTGGCTCTCACACCTCAACATCCGAAACGGGTGTTCGTTCGTCGAGCACTCGAGTTCGAGATCCGTCTGTCATACTTCGACCGTATCTTGAAGACCCTCCCTGAACCATTCCAGGACCCGGAGGCCGGTGCCATGTCTGATCAAGGGCCAGGGCCTGAGTACGACTACGATGATCCCAGTAAGTTTCTCCATTGTCTCTCCCGAACTCAGGGAATTTGATTTTGATCGTTTCATTTCAGGTGCACCACACCACGATGCCGCTCAGAGTGTGCTGAACCAACTCCGTGGCCGCGCCAAACCTGAAGACGTCCTCTCCCTTCTTACCTCCCTCAAACACTCCATCTCTGAATCCGAACTCGAAAACCCCACCACCTCCGGCGGCGCCCCGCTCAACGTCGACTTTGTCGTCCGTTCCATCGCCATTCAATCTCTGCTCCACATCGGCTCACGCTCGTTCTCGCATTTCTTGAACGCCATAGAGCGGTACATCACCTTATTGCGAACATTGACTGGCTCGACGAATACGTCGGGGAGTGTGGGTGGAGTCAGTGGTGGTGAGTCGGATATGAGCCCATCGAAAGCTGAGGAGGCGAGGATGGACGTACTAGGGATCGTAGCGACGTTCTGGAGGAGGAATAGGCAGATGGTGGGGATCGTCTTCGATAAACTGATGCAGTATCAGATTGTCGATCCAACGGATATCGTCAAGTGGGTGTTCAAGGTCCAAGGGAATCGCTCGTCAGATTCTTCTTCTGCGCCTGGGGCAGGTGGAGACATTGCACGGGAAGCTGGTATCGATTGGGACCTTCTGAAGGCTGCTGTGGATAAGGCGAATGGGAGAGTGGTGGTGGCGAGGAAGAAGGTGGCGTTACTGAGAAAGGAGGAGGACGAGAAAAGGGCGAGGAAGATGGCAGCGGAGGCCGGGAAGGGTGCCGGAGATGGTGGACTGACTACGGACGGGATGGCAATGACGGGGATGGAAATAGATGGGGAGGGGGATGAGGTCAAGCCAGGTCAGATATCAACCTCCTTTAGCATCATCTGTATACTGATTGTATATGGGCGCTGCAGAAGAAGCAGTACCAGCAGAAGACTCACCTGCACTGATGACAGCCCTCAAAGCCTTCGGTTCATTAACAAAGGAACAAAAAACGATGCTTTCCAGCGTACTAGCAGGCTTTGTCGACCAGGTATGCGCAAACTCTTCGAACCCAGACGTGGTCTCCGAGAAGGCGTGGGAGGACCGAGCTGTCTGGGGAGATGAAGAGTGGAGGCTTTGGACGACTTGGGCGTTGTATAAGCATTTTTGCAGAGCTGTGAGTACTTCATCTTTCTCTACTAACCTGATACTATGAGTGAACTTCCATTGACGGTTTGTCCTTTAAAGTACGCGCCATACCTTCGGAACTACGCCACAACGCTCGGGACGGTGGCCTTTGCGAAAATCGATGGTGCAACCGACGATTCTGCGTTGCTCATGAAAAAGATATGGAATGTAGCCATTGGGCAAGAGTAAAGATTATGTCCTCTTTTAGCTCCCTTCGATATCGCTTTCTCACTGCACTAGGACATCGTGTTACCGTCTTTTGTTGTCCATGTATACTATTTGGCGTTCGCCTGCTCGTTGACTTATGTTGTTTCGTTGTGTCGCATCCTCGGGGTGGTCTTTAGCTATATTTATGTTCTTACGCTCGTTCCTGTAAATATGAAGTGTTGTGCAGTGCAGAGACATCCTATCAAGTTGCTGACCTTCCAATAGCACCCTCATCGAAGTTGATCCCGGTGTTTGATTGTACGAGTTGTTGTTTGAGACTCCGATTCAGAGTCCGATGAACGCCACACAAAGTCAATCACTTGGATCCGGTCTATGCAGTACACCATGAGCGCTTTCTCGCTGAAACAACGACAGGTCGGTCAATAGTCTTTTCGCTGACGCTACCATTGAGCCTCTATATCTCAACCAATGGCACCTACCACTCGAAGGCGTTCTATGCCCTCTCATCGGCGTGTTCCTCACAGATCACCTCCGCCTCATCCCAAACGACCCCCACCCCACCGCCACATCACTCATATACTACGCCTCCCGAACGAACTTCTCACAGAGATAGTCATACTATGCTCTGAGTGCAGGCCGACACTTGCTGCACTTATTCAAACATGCAACCGACTACTTGACATTACCGCACCACACCTTTACCGATCCATCCGGTTCTCCTGTGGCGGTACTAGTCCGAGAACAAACGACATTCAGCGCGCTACATCTTTGTGTTCCGCTTTGCTTAGTGATTTGGAATTTGGTAATCACGTTAAATCACTCCGTCTCGACAACCTCAGGTATGTTGGGCAGCCTTTTACTATGAAAATGTACACCTGCGATACTACTACGTGCTCCTTAGTTGCGAGTTTCTGGACACGCACTCCACCGACCTTGGCGCACCGTTCGCGACTGCCCTTCGTAACATCCTCGCGCAATGCGTTCCGAACCTGAAGGATCTTCGTATTCGATGCGAGCAACTTTATCGTGAAGACCTACGCACCATCGATCAACAATTGGTTTACACGCCCTCACGCATGAATCGATTTAGGCATTCTCCCACTGGCATCCTCCAGAAATGCCACTTGCGTAACCTCGAAACCTTTCATTTCGAGATCCCTATCGCGAACAATCTCAACCTCTGCCAATTTCTAAACAAACACCCGACCCTCACCGACATCCGTCTGGGCCACACAGCTGGCTATTACGGACATATTGACTCAGAAACCTGCCCGAAACTATGCCTCCTTCCTCATCTCAAGCGCCTCTCAGCGCCTGATTACTATTTCTACGCTTTCGAAAAGCCTATCTCATCCCTCACCGATATCGAAGTCTGGATGGCACCAAGTCCGCACGGTGCCATGATGACCTTAGTCAAGCAACATCTAAAACACCTCCGTAAACGCTATACGGGCCGCGATGGGGACTCCGTCATCGTCACACAGCCAGTTCTCGATTACATAGCTGGAATCGCACCTTCTTTGAAGAATTTGATCATCATACATCGGCCTGGATACCCAGGAACTACCAAATACTTTTCTCGACCAGGCATTCATGTGAGTATCAGAGGCTATTGTGGTCTTTGCATTGCTGTCCAAGTGCATTTACTGTTTCCTACAGGATATACAGGCTGTCGAGAAACCACTTTCTCGTCTCAAAGAACTCGTAAATGTCGATTTCACTGCGTTAACCCTCCAGTCGGCCCTGGGACCTACTGAACGCCTTTGTATGGCCTCCTTGTGGAGCGATCTGTGTCCCACACTCACGACTTGCACGATAAGTCTGTACTCATTCGCCATCCTCTTCACTCGACCGAGCCTGAGAATTGTTTTCTGTTACTCATCGATCTTTCTCGCAGATAATCAGGTCCTTGTTCGTGAGGCGAACAATAACAATAGTAGTTACACCTGGACAGAACGACCATAAAGATCCAGGCCGACGATATTTCAAGTATACGTCAACTGGCCCTCAGAATTTCCATCTTCTCTACTATCCCAGGCTAGATTTTCAGACCTGTGAATAGTCGTTTGTCACTCGCGAGCCGTACACATGATGTGAACGGTGCTGTTTCGGACCTAATTACTTCGCGCTCTGTTCTTTTCTACGTATTCATACCCTCACTCCTCCTTCATACGTGTATCACACCTCTTCTGCAACCTAATACTATGTTTGACCTCATACCTCATTGATCGCATCCGATCCATATTTCCCTCCTCCAAAGCCACTAATTCCTCCCCGAGCTGCTCGAACATCTCATCGCCATACTCCATCCTCTTCAAACCTTTCACTCCCGTTCGCGGGATCACGTACTACGTGCCAGACATGACCCTTCCACGTTCACAGCCCCGTACTCCCTATCATCGAGGCAAATATAGACACGAACACGAAGCACCCTAGTCTTCCACCCACGCGCCTCCAAGTTGTTCCAAAACGCCCTCTTCCAAGTGAACCTTTTCTCCAGCAGCTATCCACCTTTGCAAATTTGGGTCCGTCTTCTCCTTCGAGCGTAAGTCGGTACTGTACCTTATGCACAATGCCTCCAGGTTCGGCGTCAACTCGGGCAGACGTTCGAAATATTGGTGATCTGGGAGATTGAGCCGACCCACATCGAGGACCCTCAAGCTTCCTCCTGCGCGCTCCAAGAACACAATAATATGCTTCTCCCAAGCCCTCATCAGCTGTCCCCCCTTCCAATCAAACCAAAGCGGAGTCGCAACAACCAGTCTCTCCAACTTCGGCACCTCCAGCCGGTTCAGAAAATCGAGATCGAGAACTCCCAGTACCAGCTCCCTCAGCTCTGGTAACAACCTCTTCTCACCCTCTGGTACGACAGCTGCTTCATAATTCCTCCTCGAGCCGGATGTCCAAGAGTCGAGTATCATATCGACGTGGGCACTCGGATGTTCAACGTCCCCAGGTCCGACGAGCTCGTTCAGTAAATCGACATTTCCGCGCCATCCCTGCGTGAATGTTGGATAAGCGAGAGCTGCGCGATGTAGCCCATGAGCGAGGTTCGCAAGGTCATCTCCTCGACTAGACGTCCACCACATATCTGGGTCTCGTTTCTTCTTAGGCCCGATATTCGACATCTTCAATGATATAAGTTTCGAGCTGAGCCAGGTCGAATCAGAACCTCCTGGCGCGACTCCTGGAGAAGGCGTGAATTTCCATATCACTTGGGCTCGTCCGTCGAGATGGAATTCAGCGAGGCGAGAATTGAAGGCGGGCAGCATTGGCACGGCATGGTACCATCCCCAATCCGCTGTCTTGTCCTCCGTCTCGATCTTAACAATGCTGGGCTGGATCCACGAGCGAAGGAGAAAGCGAATGAGATAGACCATGTCGAAGCCGTGCCACGAATTCTTCGAGAAGTACCGTAACACGTCGAGGTTATGCACGACGTTCTTTCCCAGTTTCCGAGTGGTTTGGTCGATGGTGCATAGAATCTGCTGGAAGGTAGACTTTCCGTAGTTCCTCGGTGAGACACGTTTGGGGTGCTTGGGAGGATTATCCCAGCTGAAGGTCATGTCGATATTGATGCTTCGCAGGCCGTATGTCCCGGACCGCAGAACGAAGGCTTGTGCTTTGAGGTGTGGATTATGATCGGTTTTTTTGATGGTGAGGTCGCGCCAGAGAGACGGAGTTTCAAGGGTGATATTCCGCCAGGTTCGACAGACCTGGGAGACCGCGAAAACGGATGATGATCCACGCCCGAGCTGCTCGCATATTAGGCGGAGAGGCTCCGCTGGGATGCTTGAGAATGGGGAATGCAACTGGTTCTGTTCGAAGAAGGTCAATGTATGCGTTGAAGCCAGTATTTATATTTGCGATGACCACACCCTTACCATGATCAATACCTGTTTATCCTGGTTTTCTTTCTCAAATATGACCCGAGCACGAAGCTAGTAGAGGGATAGGGTCGTCACAGTCAGGATTAAGGGGTGGTATTTTCAAATAATCACATACGTTATCATCTTCTCCACACAGACTGACGGCCTTCTCCAATAATACCACGCCGACTTTCTGCAGGCCAACCTTCTGTAACTGCTGTGACATGCGAAGCAAGACATCGGCTTTCTAGTGGTTATATTATGCGAGTATTAGCCGCCATCAACCAAACAGCAGAAAGAGATCCCGTTACAAATGTGATAGACGTACCACGCTCCCTGACTTTGAGTCGTCGACCGTTTTCTCTAGCTCATCATGAAGAGACTTTAGAGTATCCACAGTTATGCCCAGTTGGCTGATGACGGCGGGTAGGCTTTCCATCCAGGTTAAGCAGAAATTGTCACGATATAGGACTGCTATAGCTTAGGTCCAGGCAGAACTCGAGGAACAGGACGCGTCGGTGAAGATGATGGTCGCGTTCAAAGACAAAGAAACGCGTGCCACACCAAGTGGCGTAACCCCTGTCTGTCGAAAATTTAGGCTCCGATATGTGTACCGGTCCCCCAGAATTTGTGCGGCGATCCCAGACTGTCCCACTGTCGGGAATCCCAACTCCATAGCAAAGTCTCAGGCTGTGCGATAACAAAAAAGGATTCACTACTAAGTCCAGTACGAAGATAAGTAGACTATCCAGCCTGGACTCGTAGTGAAGATAAACATCCTGAATCTCACAACCTCGCGTTCTTCGGCATCTTCTTCAAGGCCTGTCTCACGCCCAGGTCTCCCAGCACATCCTCCGCGCCACCAAGAATCGCATCATACGGCGACGTCCGATGGTACTACACACAAAATGAAGCGGATCAGTATGAGAACGAGGCGTACTGGCAGTCATGTCATAGCGAAAAGTAGAAACGCACGTTCTCGATGAACTTGCCCATGCCGGTCTTGGTGATACCTCGTCCTCCAAATATCTGTGTCGAATCCTCAGCAGTTTCTCTTCCTGTCTTCGTGATATACCTGCGCACCATAATCGTACATCAGTATTAGGAGTCAATTCGAGTAAGGATAAGTATGAATGCCTACTGCTTCAACAATCCGATGGGGCCAGCGAGCTTGTCGGACTGCTCTGCATATGACATCTACAAGGCAGTATGCTAGCGTAAGAGGAGCAAGAGAAAACGAAAGAGGAGTCGACGAACATTATTCATTTGATGTGTGATCGTCTCAAGCCAGTTTTGACCAGATTCCACTCTCGAGATCATAGCAGCAAGTTTCGCGCGGATGACAGGTTGGGCATGAAGAGGTTTACCGAAAACTATCCGCTGCTGAACCCACCTATATCGACAGGAACAAGATGGTCAGCGGGGGAAATTACAAGCGAAGGAAAGATAGTGGGCAAGGAGACTGCAAGACACACTTCAAGCACTCTTCCAGGACCAATCTCTGCGCGGCCAAACTCATGCATGTAATCATCCACCTCTCATGATTGAAGTTGCTCAAAATGACGCTCATACCCTTTCCCTCCTTTCCCAACGTGTTCGCAATGGGCACGCGGACTTTATCGAATGTCACGTACGCTGTCCCTGCGGTTGATGAGTAGGCGGTCTTGATCGGTTTGGTGGAGAGGTCGTCGGAGCGCGGGACGAGGATGACAGTGAAGCCGGTGTCTGTCTTGCAGCCTACGGTGAAATAGTCGGCGAAAGTGCCGTTCGTAATCCACCTGTATACCGTGTTGTCCATATTAATCAACTAATTCCAGGTGGGGTGAAGTCCGGAAAACGGTTGCATACTTCTTAGTCCCGGTGATGACCCATTCATCCCCTTCCTTTTTCGCCTCCGTCTGCAGCCCACCCACATCACTACCCGCGAACGCCTCGGTGATAGCAAGGCAGATGTACTTCTTCCCCGAAAGCACTTCAGGGACGACTTTTGCCTGTATTTCAGGCGAGCCAAAATTGAGCACTGGAGGCAGACCAATGCAACCACCCGCAAGCATGCCATCGAAAAAGCCGCGAGCGCCAACACGGGAAAGTTCACTGTGGACAATGAGCTGTTAATCGATATATGTTAGTTTCAAGGATAGACAAAGAATACTGGGGTTTACCTCGTGGAAATAATCATACTCCTCTGGAGTGACCAAACCGCCCATGAGCTTCCGTCCTTTGAGATGCTTCCCAGGGCCAAGTCGCATAGCAGGTATTTCCAACGCGCTACAGAGAGCCCGGATGACAGAGTTCATGTAACGACATGACAGGGAGAAACTGGAGCAGAAGTGAAGTAACATACCACATCTTGTCCACGACCTCTTGCGATATCCGCCGTCCGGTATCTTCGCACTCCTGCGCTTCCGGATACATGACGTCGGAGACAAACTTTCGTACGGCTTTCTGGAAGACCCGGTGTTTATCTGTGTAGTATGGGCTGCTGAAGCCTTTCGCTAGCCATGAAGGCTCCGCACTATACATCGAACGCGAAAGCAATGATTCCTTTAACTCTGTGTATACTTGGTAGTGCAACATATGCGTGAAGAGTGGGATAAGAACTAGAGGACATACTAAGGCACTTGTGAGACCTCATCTGCAGCCAGGGGACGAATGACGGATTCTTCACCAGCGATAGTGCCTATTTGAAGGCGAGCGTATTGGGGACGGAGAAGCACTTCCTGTCGATGGAGACCGAAGAAAGCTTCAGTTGCATCTTTGCCAGCTATTGGACAAAATATATATCAGCACGAGCACCATGAAGTTCTGAGAGCATAATAACCTATTGATTCCACGTGAAGAACAGCGGCTCCTCCGGGATGCATATTAGCGAACCTGGAAACATCATAAACTTTGGCGTCGACGATGATCCACTTCACTCTGTCATGTCAAACCAGTTCAACACAGAATCAGAACACATGAGACTTACTACATCGCCTTCCTTATTATGCTACACGATGAATACGACCAAGCCCAAGGCAACAGTCAGTACGTTCACACCGACTCATACAGGCACCGTATACACAACTCCTCGTACCTTAGCCACATCCTCAACCGAGAATTGCTTCAGTTGCTTCTGCGCCATTGTAACAGACCAGTGAGTTTGATAGAAGAATCCTAGATGATGTCTCTCTGGCACAGCGTAGCCTATAGCAGAGCCCTTAGACGAGATGGTAAGAGAAGAGAGTGTAGCAAAACGGGAGTCTCTGTACAGGCTGTTGCCATTGCCGGAGGATAAAGTAGCCCCGCACTCAAACGCCGATCTCTATTCGCGGATCAACCAAATTTCACATGCTTCCTCGCAAACGCGTCCAGCCCGACTCGCTCCCTGAAACTCGGCGCATGCGCAGGTGCTTTGAAGTTTGAACCAGTAAACGCGCCACCGTGGCCCTTGTAGAAATTATTACTCACATCAGGGGCAGCCGTACTGTGTCACGAAGTTCAAACTCCGACAGGGTTCTATTCTGCACAGGAAGCGAGATAAATATAAACGGAGACACTGCTCTTGCTCTCCACCATACTTAGTCCATCTCATTATTCGTCGTCAGGCGTTTGCGTTCAGATTTCACTGGCCGAAGAAGTTGGTACATGACGTCGTAAATTCAGTCTATCTCGAGGATCTTCGGCGGAACAAATCATGTTCAATCCGAAACATCGAGCCCATATATCCCGAGGCTAGTACACCATCCAAACCTCTTCCCAGCCCATTTCCTCGCCAACATCTGCATCTCTCACAGCCGATACATCGCTCCAAACTTAGCGTACAAGAACCCATGCTCACGATATGAATTATTATACCCAACATGACACAACACGCACCCGTATCCGTACTTCTCAAGAACCAGAACCAGGTACCCAAGCACCCATACACCCAAGCTCAAGGGTGCCGTGCCGCAAGCAACGTTCCGCAGAAGATTCAAGCACATAACGAGGAGCGTGGAACAGAAAATATTACAGACACTTCATAAAATCGAGCTAGCTGACCGACTGACCGACCGACTGAACCGAACCGTAACAAGACAGCGAAATTCACGATACATAAGAGCTAGAACTAGAGCTAGAATGGAGATTCAACAGAAAGGCACCAACGGAACGACGCGGATACCACAAAGGAAAATGAAGTCGAAAGAGAAGCAAAGGGCAGCAAAAAAAAGAAAGAAAGAAAAGAAAAGAAAGAAGACTATACGGCGGGCGAATCATCGAAGAAAGCGCAGGATAGAGCAAGAGGATAAGAAAGGGATGATGTCCAGGAAGGTTTGAGGTGAGGTTCAAAAAATAGAGAGATTGAGCAGAGAAGACGGAGGATGGGACATAGAAGCATAAATTCAAAGTGTGGCTGAAGAGAAAGAGAAGCGGGGCGGGGGCAATGTTGACTGTGGACCAGGCCAAGGGCTCGTGAAGCGAAAGCGTGTTTGACCGACACATAGCGTGGAAAAAGGAAGAGAACAGACGGCGAAAGGTGAAGGAATATGAGAGCAACGAGTCATCGACAGCGACACAGAGATAGAGATCCGATAAGTACGTGTGGTATATCATAGATTTTTCGCCACAACGGCCAGAGCAAGGGAGCAGGGAGGCAGACAGGTAGAGTAGGAGATGATCGATGCAATGGCGAGGGTTATGACCAGTTAAAGAAATCATCCATCTGCGCCGTAACGTCCGCCGGCGACGAATGATGCGACTGTGACAACTGCTGTGGACCGACACTGCCTCCAGCACTCCCACCGGGCGTTCCAACATTATCGACCCCAACGAACCCCTGCCCCCCTTGCCATCCACCACCCGAGCTAGGCGAAGAAGCGGCAGCGACATTAGAAGGGAACCCAGGGTTTCGACTGTGCGCGCTCCCGGGTGGTGATGGGCCATACCCGCTGCCCCCTTGCTGCTGTGGCCACCCGGAGCCCATACCACCGTCGCTCCCACCGGTCATTTGCGGGTTAATGAAACCAGAACCAGGCCCGGCACTTCCTCCCCCACCTCCATGCGACCCAGCAGGTGACGGCGCACCCATGCTTCCACCAGCGCTGCCACCCCCGCCTACCGATCCACCACCAACAACAGGCACATTCCCCTGTGACGCGGCTGCCCTATTCATCATCATCACCCTCTGCAGTTCCTGCGCCTGTTGTCCTTGCGGTCCTTGAGGGATCTGTTGTGGCCCGCCGATCCTAGGCGTCATAGGCGATTCGCTCGGTGATCGTGTGCTCCTCGCGATACCAGGAATAGCCGCCGAACCAGACCGCATCATACCAGGAAATCCACCGTCAGGTCCAGGTCCTCCAGGTCCTCCAACTGGCGAATGCTGTGCCTGTTGCTGGTGCTGCTGTTGTTGTTGCTGTTGGGCGAGTCGTTGCTGGTGCTGTTGTTGGAGTAGCATATTAGGGTTCATGCCTGCAGCTGTTGGGTTCATCCCCCCACCGCCACCGCCACCCATGCCACCCATCCCCTGCATCTGCGGGTTCATCCCAGCACCGCCATTTCCACCAGCACCAACCCCAACACCAGCGTTCCTCATCTGCTGCTGCCTCTGCATCAAATACAGCTGTCTCTGGTGCGCCGGCAAAGTCTGCAACTGCATCATCTGCTGAGCGTTCAAGCCCAATTGTGCAGCGATCTGGATGAGGTTATTATTTTGGTTCGCATGTCCTCCTCCTCCGCCAACGCCACCGATATTACCCGGACCGTTGTTGCCATTATGGCCGAATGGGAGTCCAGCAGCGGAAGCTGACCGATCCGGAGAATGATGTGACTGCGACATGGGAGACGCCACGTTGGGTACGCCACCAGGGAACTGTTGTTGTTGCTGGGAGTGGTTACCGTTACCATTAAGGGGGAAGGGAGTGGAGGAAGAGAGGTCCCCGCTTGAGTTCTGGCGACTGTGCTGCTGCTGCTGCTGCTGCTGAAGCATCCGAACTTGGTTGCGTTGATGCTGAGCGATCTAAAAAGGAAAGAAGGAAAGAAGGAAGTAATGATACGATGGCGTTAGCATCAGTGATCGACGGTCGACATACATCAACGCTACGGAAGAAGGAAACGAAGTAGAGAGGAGATAAGGTGCGAAACGCGGACGTATAGCGAGCACCCATATACATGCGCGGTCGAAAAATCGAAGTATGATCCGCGATCATATATCACCCGCTTGGAGTGTAATATATAAAGCACCAACGACCAGGAAGCAAAAACGAAGAAGCGCAACCCATCGAAGCCCTCGACTCACTCCCACCCATGAAACCGCAGCCAAAAACACCCCACGAGTCGAAAAAGTGTCCAAACGAAACTCACCTGGGCCTGTTGCATCTTCACCACTTGCTGCTGCGTGCTCATCTGCATGAAATTTGGTACGTTCTTCACCATGTACTGCATGAGCGGGCTGTTCGTGTGCTGCAACATTTGGACGAGTTGCGCCGGACTCGATACCGGAGGATTGCCGCCACCACTACCACCCGCACCGCCATGACCGCCGCTGCCCTCCCCTCCACCACCCATTCCGACGCCTCCAATGCCCATGCCCGCCGCTCCCATCCCTCCCATGCCCCCATTATTCATCCCACCAGCAGCTCCCAATCCACCAACAGGCCCACCCATCTGCGGATGAGTCGGTGACATCTGTCTCTGCGCGTGCTGTTGTTGTTGTTGCTGTTGCTGCTGCTGATTCTGCATCATCGCCGCCCGCATCTGTGACTTCCTCTTCTCTTCTTTCTCCCTCAACAACATCATCTGCTGCGCCTCGCTCATCCCATCTTGCATCCCTCCAACTCCCATCCCGCCCATCCCCCCGAGACCTCCCAACCCGCCAATACCTCCCACACCACCCATCCCGCCAGTCATAGGACTGAATCCTTCCTGTCCCTGTCCCTGTCCATGTCCTTGGCCGCCACTCGCCTGCCTCTGCTGCTGCTCCCTCATCTGCAGCTCTCTCATATGTTGCTGCTCTCTCAACTGCTGCTGCTGTCTCGCCTGAGCCTGAGCCTGCTTCAGATTCATAGCCTCCTCAGGCGACATTCCACCCATGCCACCAACGCCACCCATCCCTCCAATCCCCCCAACACCACCGATGCCACCGATGCCAGGCGCCGGCGTCCCCGATGGAGGCGGGGCCATACTCGACCCCCTCAACCTCGGATCCTTCATCCCCATCCCCATCCCATTATTCGGCATCCCCATCGGCGCGTTCATGTTCATATTCATGCCCATGCCCATGCCCGCGTTTGGACCCGGAACACCACCGATCGGACCCGACATGGAGTTCATCGAGCCAGAGGCGGAAAGGGAGCCAGGGCCAGACGACCCTTTCCGTTCGCCCGTATCTCTCCTCTTGTGCGCCGGTGGACCTCCTCCCACCATTCCTCCAACGCCGAGCCCCCCTACATTACCGCCGATACCTCCAATGCCGCTCAGGCCGCCTATACCGCCGTCCATGGATATAGTGGATCCGTGGCCATCGTCTGGGCGTTCTCGCTTTAGCGAGGACGACGAGTGTTGACCTCGTTGTTGCGCCTGTTGTTGTTGTTGTTGCAGTTGTTGGGCTTGTTGTTGCTGCTGTTGCTGCTGCTGCTGCTGCTGCTGCTGGACGATGAACTGATGTCGGGCGATGTCTTTGGAGAATACGCTGGGGACTTCGGAGTATAGTTCTTGTATTCGATCTGAGAGCGGCGAGTCGAATTTGGGGAGGGGGCGGAAGTCGGGGAGATTCTGTGTGATGTGACCAAAGTTAGGATCAAAGTAAGCGTAAGTTATAGATGTCGCGACGTCGGAGAGGGAACGCACTGTCGTGTTTGGATTGCTATCGACAGCTGTGGCCATCCAGGCGAGATTTGACTCTATACGTCTCGCGAACCTGTGAAAGCGGGACGGCCACCATGCACGCGTGTTTCAGTTATTGTTCGACGTTAAAGGAAGAGGAAGAGAACGTACAAGAGGTATTTAGGATCGCTCTGGGGGACCGACCGAGCCTGGAAGTCCATGCAGATCCTGACGAAGAACAATTCAGTGAAACTTCAACGGAGTGAAAGGGAAGGTACTGAACGCACTTGAAAAGCTCTGCATTGATTTGAAGGATTAGATGAGCTTTTGAGCGTGATGAGCTATTGCTACCGGGCGCGTTGGAAGTAGACGGTCTCGACGTCGAAGGCGGGGAAGGATTAGGTGGATGTGAAGAGGATTTTGACGGCGAAGACGAAGGACCCGCAACAGGCGCTTTCGAGATGGATGGATTTGAGCTCGAAGGTCGATTCCGAGGTCGGAGTGTACGTGTCGACGGCGGAGGTTTCCTCGACGATCCATTCACTTTTGGCGAGGAAGTAGGAGAGCTCGAGCTCGGCTGTGATTTCCCGTCTTTGGAGGTCCCTCCGCCGTTCTGAGAAGAGTCGGCATTGGGAGCGTCGTCGTCGTCTTTCGTGTCGTCGTCGTCGTCCGGGGCAGGCGAGAGCTCGCTGAGAGGCGAGATGGTGCCAGGGTCAGCGACTACACCGGCGCCGTTGTCGCTGCCATCGACGGTGACGGTAAGAGTGGGCGGTGGCTCCTTGGACGACTCTGGTTCTTCCTCGCCATCCTTCTTCGCCGCGCCCTCCTCAGGCTTGCTCTCCTGTTCCGTGTTCTCCTCGCCCGCGCCTCCCTCGCCCTCTACGGCTGGTGGTGCCGCGTTACTCTCCACACCCTCGGTGGCTTCCGCGCCACCTGCTTCCTGCCGTGCTGGACTGCTCTCGGGTGCGGGCGAGAGCGAGGGACGCGGATGATTGCTGTTGTTGGTGCCGTTGCCGTTGACGGGTGTCGCAGGATGGGCGGCGTCGACGTTGGCTGACGTGAGCTGTACGTCGGGCGCGACGTTGTTCTTATGCGGGGGCCAGTTACTGAGGGCGTCGGGAGCGAGATTGTGGGGAAATAGCTGTCCGTTTTGAGGGAGTTCGTTGTTGACCTTTGAGGGAAGGGGGGAGCGATCGACTTGGATCATCGACATCATGGGCCGTCGCGATAGCAAGGGTCGGTAGTCGTAAGCTGCTGAGCCGGACGCGGGACGGACGTGACAAGTCGTCGAGTTGTACTTAGCGAAGGGTGTGGAATGTTGCGACGGCGAGTGCGGTGGGCGTCGTCAGGCGGCTGCCCCGGTTTCCGCGCGCGATTGTGATGGGATTATCCACGAATTCTGCCGTCGTCCGTCGCTGTGGCGGCTGCAAAGGCGATGTGGCGAGCAATATCTGGCCCAGGTTGAGAGCAGACGATAGCTAGCGTTGGGGGTCGATATTCGGCAGAGTCGTCCCAGACAATACCGTCTTCCACACCGCCCACCGTGGGATCCCCTGGCGGAGTCCCAATTCCCTCTGCGGCCGGCAATCATCGTCCCCACTCCGCTCCGGCCGCCCCGCCGCAATCTCCCAAGAAACATACATCGCTGCCAGACAGAGCGCACATTCGCGTTGATGGGGGGGCTGGGAGAACGCTACGTTTTATATCTTCACGCCCGGCGTAGCTCGCAGGCTATAAGTATCCCGCCGGCTTTCCATGAGGAACGAGGGACGCCCCATCTAAATCTTATTACAGCATGATCGAATCGATGGCACCCGCTCCTCCTCGAGCCTCCCTCCCGCGTAGTACTTACAGACGAACTCCTGCTATGAAACCCTATTGCCCATTCTTGGCTCCCACAGAACTCCTCTACTTTTCCCCGCATTCGTTCCCAACCCATCAGATGACGTTCCGAAATTCCCCACCGGACACAGGCACGTCCTGCCCGTTCTCCTCTGTGTGCCCCGATAACATTTTAAATAACCTGGAGCTATATATCGACAGTAGTCCAGCAAAGTCCTTCCACCTCCACAAATTCGGAAATTCGGGCTACGGGACGGGAGCCTGATAAGCAATTGCAGAATAGAACGCCGGAGGAGCCAATTGTGAGATTCGTCCTGCTGAGATCTGCGTTCGCGACGAGGTCCGAATCCGGGGGTAATTTACCGTCGCTCTGCGTTCCGTTGCTCGCTTTCCTTCGGTTCTTCTCCTCCTCTCTTCTTCTCCCAGGTGTAAGTATGATAATATCACACGCCGCACCCGATGCGATGAAATGAGATCCACGCGTTTCTTGGTCCTTCCAGATCTGAGTCAACCGTCCATCCATCATCGCTCGCTACGCAACAAAGAAAGGTATGAGCGCATGAGTGCACGAGCGGTGGTCCTCAGCTGCAGCCCAGCCCACTCACAGCTGCATATGAAACGACCCGAAAAACAGGCGTCGGAGAAAGATACTCGAGGCTTGCACAAATGCCCGAACGCGGACGGGACCATGTAAACAGCTGCTCCTGTGGACATAACGGGAAATAGCCAGTCCAGAGGGCGTCAGTGTTACTGTACATGCTATCAAGGGCAGGAGACCAACATGCGTACCGTCCTTCCATTTCTATCACGGATGTTCTTCGAACCCTTGTTCCCGAAGCAAAGAATGACAGGGTGCACGCAGGCGTAATGGGGCAAAACATGATCCAGTGGGAGCCATGGGCGGAAAGGGTCAAGGTATATCGCCGCAGGAGGAATGTATCACAGAGCCTACCATCTGGATGCATGCATGGACGGGAATGTACGACCGCAGCCACAATCACAACCGAGGATGGTGCCTGATGCAGGCGATCATATGCGCCGTCCAACACCACAGACATAGTGTGCAAAGTCGTCCGGAGATGGCCAACAGGCGTGTATTGCAAGGCGGGAGTGAGGGCCTAGCGTCCATGTCGTTTCCGGTGTATCCAACGCGTCAGAACATAGACATCATTCTTCGAACAACGATACGTATACAAGACGATAGGTAGGTAAGAAAGAGCCTACCACGTCATCCCTGTAACACAGGCAAGTAACGAAGGACGACATTCCAGGCAGCGACCGACGAGAACATCGTACCACCCGGACCCAAGTTCTAAAGACGAGTCGCACGGGCCTCCGAAACTTCACAAGCATAGCAAGACAAGCAAGAGTTCTCGATCAAGGCTTGACGTTCGTCGTCAAAGATCGGTCGCAGGTTCACATCAGGACAAGGCATCGTGGAGCCCTCACAACCAGTCACTACCAGCTCAAGTCAAAGTCTAGCAATTCCGAACGATCCAAAGTGTAGAGTCGGAGGCCTGACCAGCCTGAGGACCAGGACCCTGACAAGCCGACATCCAGCAAAGACTCGTACCCACTCTACAGTCCTTATATCCAGCCCACCAAGACGCGGTACCACGTTGACTGCCCGGGTGAGAACGAAGCAGATGGTCGAGAGCAAGAAGGAAAAGAGACCGCTAGCCTCGAGGTCGCTTCCGGATCCAGAAGGACGGTCAACCGGTGATGGGTACTTATGACATCATAGGGTCTGGCGGCGGGAGTGGCGGTGGCATAGAGTCGTAGACGATTGACTATCGATTCGCCCGAGGAGCCACGGATTAGCAGCTGTAAGCTTATGGTTATAACAATCGTTCAGCAGGGAGAAGTCTCGATGTTGAGTGTTGACAGGAATGTAGGCAGACGTCTTGGGACCGGAGAAAAAAAAGGCAAGTCGTGTTGGTTTGAAAATCTCTAGAAACTGTACAGTAATAAGTATCTAAGCGATAAGTCAATCAAGGGGGGGAAAGCGAGGACGATCCTACCATCCTCACGCAGCTGGACTCGCAAACCCATCTTCATCACGCGCTCGTAGCACAACCCAGCATCGGTACAACACCCAGCTCACAGCTACGACGACCCTTCCGCTCTCTCCTCTCTCCGCGCCGCCGCCCTCTTCAATAACCACGCCAAGTTCTCATAACACACGAACGTGACACAGGTCCCGGGAAGGACGCGAACGAGATTCGTCCCGAGTCCGCGGTAGAAACCGCGTGGGCCTTCGTTGCGATAGGTGTGTTTGATGGTGGAGATTATGGTGGAATTTTGGGATGTTGAGGTGACGGGGGTTGTGTTCTGTTAAAATCGTGTGAGTTCGTGAGTAGTGAGTAATTGCAAGGTTCAAGACATCTGTTAATAGAAGACGGGGAGAGGTGGACAGAGAAGTGACGAAGGCGAAGGTTGGAGGATCATTGTTTGCTCACCTGCATGCGCGATCGGATAACTTGGTATGGGTACGTTAATGTCAGAGCCGCAAGCTTCGAACCACCGGACATGACGGTGTACGACGTATTCGACTGCCAAATCAAAGCGTGCCACACACATATACACATTAGAGTGAATGAACATAGGAAGGCTGGGCACGGATACGCACGAGATGGTCATCCGAAGCCGTATATGCCTTCCCCTCCCTCTCCATTCGTCTTCGTTTACGTTCAAACCCCCACTTCTTCATCTCCTCATACATCATGAACTGCACCGCACCGTTACTTACGCCCACGAGCGCAAGAAGAGTGCCGCGATAGAGCCCGCGTATCCCCTCGGAGCGATATATTGTTCTAAAACCGTCTGGGATACGAAACCATTCAGCATCGGCAAGGCAATAGGGGGGGTAGACGGAGATGGAGAGACGTACCCCATAGGCCGCGATATGCTGTAGGATTATCAGCACGGGAGGTGAACATGCGCACTTTGACGACCCATATTGGGTTGGTGATTACGGCTGTTACGGCGCCTGAGTAAAGGAGGTGGTGAAATGGAAGTCACAGGTTAGAGGACAGTCTGCTGAGTGATCATGAAAGGAACTGCGAACTCGCTTGTGCTGAGCAGAGGAGGTATTGCCCCGCCGAGAGTGGTGGACCCGTCCCATTATTCGTAGCCCTCCGTTTCAGGTCGTTATAGCTGATACAGAGCACCGGACACAGGTTAGGACAAACACAATGTGAAGAACAGAGGGACGAGAGAACGCACAAAAGAAAGTATAGCCCCCAACTGCTCGCGTTTCCAGCAATGTTCGGCCCTACGCCGCGATAAAGCCCTCTCCAACCCTCGTTATGTTTGATGCCCTTCAAAGCAAGCCATATTTGCTGCCCAACATTTCCTTTTGGCTCTTCTGTCGCGACTTGAAACTTTACTTTGAGGAGGTCGAGGGGGTGCATGCATAGCACGGCCACGACGCCTGCTCCGATTCCGGCGAATGCATGGTCCTACGAAGATATAACATGGATGTCAGCACCGTTTTCAGTGTTTTTGATGAAGACATAAACATACTAGTGAGTGCGAGGGGAAGAAGCTTGGTTGGGAGAAAGATTGGGACATCCAAACGGTTTCTTCCTTCGTGGGCCACAGATCGCGAAGACGGTCGGAGGCTATCACGTGTGAGCAGATGTTCCGTGTGGCTCTACGCCACACCAGCTCAACACCCTAGTGATTGTTAGCGTACTAGCCGTTGCGGCGTTAAGCTCGAAGCAAACGCAAAAGGTATTCATATGGCTGCTTGTGCATCTCACGCTTTGGTTTTACGATTGAGTTCACTGTGAAAGTTGACAAGAAAAGCATCGAGCACCAGCGGACTTTTCGGCTACTTTTTGCACTGAAACATGGGTAAGGTTAATTTCGCGATCCTCCATACTCACGAACCATCTCGGTCTTTTCTCGTCCGCGATGGTCATATACGGTGAATTCTTCTGGTCTGGCCAAAGTCAGAGTTCGCGTGGCAGCTTCGATGCACAGCCACGGGTAGGAGGGCCGAGTGCTCCGCCATGTGTTCTTGCCAAAGCCCATTCTAGGAAGCAAGGCCAGGAAATAATTAGGAAAGTTTAAAATAAGGTGAATTCCTCTCCGTCTCGTATTCCCTCTCCCGCCGGTCGTTGACCACTCCCATGAATGTTCAGACCTGGGTGCTCGCTTGCCCGAAGAGTGGACAATTCGGCTGCAAACGCGACCCTTCGCTCGGGCATTTACGTGGCTCGCACGGGCTGACCGTCGAAATCCCCAGCTTTGCAGTGACAAAACGGCGCAGATCTGGCATTTTCGGCGTTATCCCCATTACCGTGCGTGCCAGACACGCCCACGATCCGATGAAAGCTGTCGTTGCCTGACGCAAACTGATTGGATTGGGAACCGATCCAGACTCATGATCTTCTCCAGGCGCGCATCGAGCACCTTAAAGCAGGCTCTTTCCGTCCGCTCCATCATCACACCACGCGTATCCTCGCCCTTGACTCGCTCGCTATCGATAAGCTCGTCCGCCATGGCTCGTACTCTCCCCTGGGCACCCAACAGATATCCAACTGCCCGACGGTCTGACCATGTAGACGTCTATGCCAGCGAGAAGCACGGAGAGGTCAAAGTTCCCGACCCCTACCAGTGGCTGGAGCAAAATACAGAGGAGACAGAACAGTGGACAACAGCTCAGGAAAAGTACACTCGTGAATTTCTTGACACCAACCCAGATCGACTGAAGCTGGAAGACGAAATTCGGAAGAGCACCGACTATGAGCGGGTAGGTTGCACGAGAACTATTCGTCTTGAACTTACGCCACCGGAAGTTTTTGACCGACGCGTTGTTCATAGTTCAGTGCTCCTAGCCTCAAGGAGGACAATCGCTGGTACTGGTCGTACAACAGTGGTCTCCAGGCTCAGTCAGGTACTGCTATGAGTTGATTCTTGGCCTCTCATCTTTGTCTGACTGTCATGCAGTCATATATCGCTCGACGGACTCTACCCTACCTACCTACGGCTCTTCGGGGCAGACTACCGCAAATACCGAGGTATTCTTCGACGTGAGGAAGGTACCATCGATCTCTTGAGTGCCCCCTGGCTGATCTGCATTCCAGCCCAACGCTCTTTCCGAAGATGGTACTGTCTCACTCGCCACCGCCGCATTTTCTCGCGACGGAAAGTGGTTCGCGTATGGAATCTCTCGATCTGTATGTTTCCCTCTGCTCCTGCATGCGGCTATCACAGTGAGGCCGCTGGCTTATGTTGACCATAGGGCAGCGACTTTACGACCGTCTATGTCCGCTCGACGGAACACCCGTTGACATCGTTCGGCAACGACAAGAGACTGGAGGATGAGATTCGATTCGTCAAATTCTCTTCTATTGCTTGGACGCCTGACAACAGCGGATTCCTGTACCAAGTATGTGACTGCGCAGCTTTCATCCCCGTATTCATAACCGCCAACCACTCCACCAGTCCTGACACTTTTCACAGCGCTTCCCGGATCGTAAGTCTCATGGTGATGCCGAGGAGGACAAGGCAGGTACGGAGACCGAGGGCGACAGAGACGCCATGCTCTACTACCACAAAATTGGCACGAAACAAGGTCCGTGTGGACTCTGCTCCCTCGTTTCAGGTCCATCTTATGCAGACTCTCCCTCGCGCTTGCCCGGCGTTGTTGTTTTTCCTTCCTAATTATCTCCAGCCGATGACACTCTCGTCATGAAGGATCCCGAACATCCCCACCACATGTGGGGTGCTGGGACGTCCGAGGTGGACGGCCGTTGGCTCGAGCTGTACACCAGACGTGATACCGCACGGGTATGTGCCATAGTGTCCATGCGCATTCCTTGTGTACCACACCTCTCACGGCGTTACGTGATTCTCACGCTTGTTTCTCTGGATTGGTTGTCCGGACGGATTGGTATATACTTAGAAAAACATGCTCTGGTTGGCCGACCTCGAGAAGACCACGATTGGACCGAACATCGATTGGATCAAGCTCGTCGATGAGTTTGAAGCGGATTACGGCGTGTGCGTATTTCTGCTTCTGCTTCTTCATTGCGTTTTGTTCCTTCTTGCTCCACCTCCTTGCGGCTTGATTGTACTGATAAAGCTGATGGTCATCATACTTTATTGGACGGCCGGCATGAATGAACGTGTAACAGCATTGCGAATGACGGCACTAGGTTCTATCTTCGAACGAACGCGAACGCCCTACAGTACAAGGTCATCTCCGTCGACATAGATGACTTTGTCAAAGCAAGCAAGCAAGGTCCCGTCCATATCAGCAAGATAGCGAAGGACCTCATTCCAGAGGACAAGGATGCATTTCTTGAGGACGTGCTCGTGGTAGGCAAGGATCGGATTATGACTGTGTACAAGCGCAATGTGGGTCTTCTTGTCCTCGTGATCAGAGAGATATTGGCTTAAAGTATATGCTTCAGGTCAAGGACGAGGTCTACATCCACTCACTGGCCACCGGTGAAAAGCTCAAGCGACTGGAGGCCTCACATGTCGGTTCTATGCAAGTATCTGGGAAACGCAAGCAGAACTGGGCATTCCTCACCCTAACTGGCTTCACCACCCCCGGTACAGTCTCTAAGTACGAGTTCAAGGACGAAGAAAAGAGCGAGGCGGGCTCCTCGACTGTCTGGAAACAGACTGTGGTCAAGGGCCTGGCGGGGTCTGGTGGCTTCACTGCAGAGCAGGTCAGCAATTCCTGGTTCTGTATCGGCCTAGGGCCAGCGATTAATGCCTTTTCTCCATTCTACTGTTGTATAGATCTGGTACGAGAGTAAGGATGGGACCAAAGTCCCTATGTTTGTCGTCCGCCATGAAAGCACCAAACTTGACGGTACAGCTCCTGCGCTGCAGTACGGTGCGCTCTTCCTCCGTACCATCGCCTCATAGAAAATTTCAACTTCGTAACACTTCAATGTTTGCTCATTTCTTCTAATAACCGCATCTTCTCCTTCTATATGCGTATAGGTTACGGCGGCTTTACTATTTCCATCAGCCCGTTCTTCAGCCCATCAATGCTCACCTTCTTGCGCGCCTACGGTGCCATCCTCGCAGTTCCCAACATCCGGGGCGGTGGCGAGTTCGGTGAGGAATGGCATTTGGCGGGGACGAAAGAACGAAAGGTGCGTAGTGGTTGAACTTTGTAACGCCACCGAGTTCAATGTTGTAGATCCGAGGACGTCCTCCGGATCTGCCTCGCCTCGTGGTGGACGTGCTGTACTTGGGTGCTTAAACTGATTAACTTGCTATTGTCTCGCCTGTGGCTTCTAACTCGAATCGGCCGCGGACTCTGTCGGATTATGCGCTGGAAATGGATTAGGGTAACTGCTTTGACGACTTCATTGCCGCGACGTACGTGTTTCAAGTTTTCGCCTAACCACAGGGTGCTTGATTCTTTGTTGGTCCGAGGAGATCGAACTGACGGATTGGTGGCGCCTGTTCTTCTTTTTCTTTTCGTTCTTTCTCTACAGGCAATGGCTAGTCAAGAACAAATACGCCGGTGAAGGCAAAGTGGCCATCAATGGAGGGTCTAACGGCGGTTAGTCTTGAATTCCTTTATCTTGAACTGCAGATACCTCTTTGTCTGATCTAAGAGGATATTTTCAGGACTGCTCGTGGCTGCTTCAGCTTTGAGGGCACCAGAAGGTACTTTCGGCGCTGCTGTGGCAGAAGTGGGTGTGCTTGATCTGCTCAAGGTAATGCTTTCTTCCTCTGCCACGACGCTTCGCTGATATTCGGATCTATGTAGTTCGCAGACTTCACCATTGGACGTGCCTGGACGTCGGACTATGGGAATCCTCACGACCCGCACGACTTCGACTTCGTGTATCCGATCTCGCCCTTGCATAATGTCCCAGAGAAGAAGATCTTGCCGCCAACGATATTGTTGACCGCGGACCGTACGTATTCTTCTTGTACATCTCGATCTCAAGTAAGCAACCTCACTTTGCGTATAGACGACGACCGTGTTGTCCCTCTCCACTCGTTCAAGTTCGCCGCTACACTGCAGCACGTCCGCGCCGATAATCCCAACCCTCAACTCATACGGATCGAGAAGAAGGCCGGTCACGGGGCAGGCAAGGCGACCGAGCAAAAGTACGTTTCTGAGTCCCTTCCACTTTGCTGTAGTGGCGCTGTATATGACTGTTGTCATGCTCACAATCTCTATCAACTCTGTAGAATCAAGGAAGCAGCAGACAAGTGGGGCTTCGTTGCACAGACGATGGGGCTGAAATGGGGGCTCTGAAGAAGAATACTCGTATCGTTCGAGGAACAACACTCGGATGGCGTTGACCGAGCAGTTCACTGGTAATCTCATCCATTTCTATTTGGGTAGAAAAGTTGCCAAATTATCATCGTTTAATTGCGTTTGGACTATTCACCTTAACCCTCTGGCCTTGGGCCTGAAGGACTGTGACCAGGTTACCTCGCATCACGTCCAAGTCCTACCATTCCCACCGCTAACTGAGTTCTCATACGAACAGCGGCTCTGCCGCTAGTGATTCACTCCAGGCCTTTTGGGCTTGGAGAGTGCTGAGTTTTTCGATGCCGATTCTGGGTCAGTGCGTGGGATGTCGATGACCCAGAGGTCTGTGAGGGCAAGTGAGGAGGAAATGACGGGGAACTGGATGGGGTCATAACGGTGTGACCGAAGGGCTAAGTGTTGACTCAGCGCTTCAAATGCATGATTTCTTGCTTTCCAGACGTCCTCCATAGGGAAGGCTTAGGGCGTGCGTCATAATATGTAGTATTAATCCCCTAAGGCCATGTACGATTAAGGTGATTATGGACGGTAGAAGTCCATGATCCCAGCATTATAGAGCACAGCATTTCTATTCTACCAGAGGATTGCAGACGTATCGCAAACTCGGAGAACAACGAAGTGTCAATGTTTTGTGGTGAAGGGATGACAATCTGTATGAAATGACGATTGGTATCCTCATTTCTTGAGGGATTGTGGCGGCTGTGAAGAGTATATCAGTATGTTCCCTCATGCCACCCGGCCTGTGGATTTCAAGGCATTGAACTTGTCGAGGGTAGAAACCCAATGCGCCTCCGATTGTGGAAGATGTTCCTACCCTTTTCGTTCGGCGGTTCTGAGCGTAGTCCAAATCCAGTGTATGTTCTGTTACTCGCCGTCAATAAAGGAAGAAACTTTGAGTCTATGCAGAGCGCTTCGGGTGCTGCATTGACAAAGAGCATCAGCCTCGAAGCTGGAAGCATAGGGGGTGACTTGTGTGGGCTTTGCTATCTAAGTGTCTAAGCTAAGGCGCAAATACACTGCATTGATTTTTTGCTTTGTAGTAGATCTAGTATTTGACATGACGAAGCTAGCGTTGAGGGAGGCAGCGACACGGTCCATAGAAGTGGCAACAGCAACTTCGTCGCGGCCACTACAGTAACGCGACGCGACGAACTCACGGGAGAGACCTCGGAAAGCACGTGACTGGCGGAGCTCCAAATTGTCTCTTGAGGCACAGCACGATATCGACGCCGCCGTCAACGCCAACGTCAAGCACCTATTTTGTGAGTCGTTATGCTGCCCCCTTGCATTACCAGCGACCTCCAGACGATCAGAGACGACCCCTGCACCATTCCTGCGAAAACCCGGTCTCAGACGGCTTGGATGGAGGGTGGATGGGCTCTGTCGACTCTGGCTGACGTTGGGATGTCTACTCTGCCCGGATTTGATTCTGACGATTCTTCTCGCTCTCTCTAGACATTAACGATGGGTAGGGTTATCAGGGCTCAGAGGCGCTCGCATGCCATCGTACGTTCTATCGTAGACCTGCAGGATGCGACTACTCGAGCTCACTCCAACATGTAATTGTATAGTTCTCGGCACACACCCACCACAACAAGACCCCGGCCCAATTCCGTGCCCTCGACTTCGCCGAGCGCAACGGTTACGTTCGCGGGATTGTAAAAGAGATTATCCACGACGCTGGCCGGTACGCACAATATGTTAGGATGGAGAATTACGAGGTTTATTGACATAACTATCGCCCTGCAGTGGTGCTCCCCTCGCCCGTGTCGTTTTCCGCGACCCCTACCGCTACAAGCTCCGCAAGGAGACTTTCATCGCCACTGAGGGTCTCCACACCGGTGCCTACGTCTACTGCGGAAAGAAGGCCGCCCTCTCTGTCGGCAACGTCCTTCCCGTCTCTGCCCTCCCCGAAGGTACCATCATCTGTAACGTTGAGGAGAAGGTTGGTGACCGTGGCGCTCTCGCCCGCACCTCCGGCAACTACGCCACCGTTATTGGACACACCCCTGAGGAGAACAAGACCCGCATCCGGTTGCCCTCTGGCGCGAAGAAGACTGTCAGCGGTGGTGCTAGGGCTACCGTTGGTATTGTCGCTGGTGGTGGAAGGATCGACAAGCCTCTCTTGAAGGCAGGCAGGGCCTTCCACAAGTACAAGGCCAAGCGTTACAAGTGCGTATTCGTGGGTTTAGATTTCTGTGAATTCCTTCTGATCGTGAACTTCAGCTGGCCCCGCACTCGTGGTGTTGCTATGAACCCCGTCGACCATCCTCACGGTGGTGGTAACCATCAGCACATCGGAAAGGCCTCTACCATCGCTCGCTCTGCCGTCCCCGGTCAGAAAGTCGGTCTTATTGCCGCTCGCCGGGTAAGTGTTTCGTTTTTAGTCATGTTGCCCTACCAAGTTACTGAGATATACCTACCTCGACATGTAGACTGGTCTCCTCCGTGGTTCCGTCAAGGTCAAGGAGGCATAAGGGGTTGTTGGATCTTCTTTGTAGTCTTTACTTTTCCTATGCCACGTCCTCGACGTTTTCACCCTCTGCTTCGCTGTCACCTCGCACAAAACTTGTATGCACAGACGCAGAAATGCATATGCATTCCACCATGCCGCTTCTATGCCGTACCCGTCTTGAGATGGAATAAGCCGCATCTATTTGACGATCTACCGTCTCGGAGTCAACGCAAGAATACATGTCGATACATTTTGGATTCGTTCAATCTATGCTGCCCGCTTGTCTATCTGTTGCTGCAGGGAAAAATCAACTTCATGCTTCACTTCGCCGCATCCTCCATCTCCTTCCTCCATCTCTTTTGGATATCAATACTCTCCAAGAAGATCTTGTACTTCGCGTCTAAAATCTTCCTGTCCTTCTTCGACGCCTCTGGCTTCACGATACTTCCCTTCGGCGTCATCGCCACCATGATGCCCCAAAGCCTCTCACAGTGCTCCTTCTCGTCCTTGAACTTCTTGCCGCTCGCATACTCCGCTGCGAAACGACCGAGCATCGCCGCGCCAAGCACGACGGCGGCGGAGTAAGAGTGCGGGAGGATAACAGGAACGGAGCAAGCGTTGGCGAGGAGGGACATGAGGAAGGCGTTTTGGGCTTGAGAGCCTGACATGTAGATGGAGTTTATGGAGTGGCCTGAGGCATTCATTTGGGTGAGAATGTGTTGAGTCTGGAGGGCGATGGCTTCGAGAGTGACGGCGTATTTGCGAGCTAGGTCGTGTAGGGTCGCGTCCTGGAGTGTAACCAGAATCGTATTAGTCGAATGGACTGCGTGCGACGGTGAGAAATGTGCGTACGAGGGCAAGACCCATCATGGAACCGCGCATGCGGGGATCAGCGATGGGAGAACGGTTGCCTAATATAAGATGCGAAGTAAGTTTTGTGAAGAGAACGGATGAAGCAAGGGTGACCGACCGTGTAAATCTGGGTAGAAGTGGATGTCCTTGATCACCTCGGTGAACGATTCTGCACCCTCAGCTTTCCTGATCTCTTCGAGGGTATCGCGAAGAACTGCAGTGTATGCATTATCAGTCGGGCAAACTTGACCAGACACAGGGGTTCACCGACCTTGATGAATATTCGTTTTACGTTGCTCGGCAAGTTCTTTGAGTTGAGGGTAGGCCGGGTGGGTGGTGATCATGAAGTCAATGAGCTAGGCGGAAAATAGGTTCAAGAAACTACAAGCTTGTGAGGGCTGGTAAGCATACCTGGCCCGTAGAGGACTGCCCGCCTTCGTTCATCCACCAACCGGGGAAGACGGGACCCTAGAGGCGCAATGTCAGTACGCGACAATATCCAGAACAACCAATGGCCCTAACCTTGTAAGGGCCCCATACGCCCTTGACAAACACGCCTTCGGGACTCTGTAAACTATAAGATTAATTCAGAAGACGAGGGCGATGCGATGTAAGACTTTACCTGGACGATGTGACAGGTGCTGGTTCCAGCACAGGCCGCCAGTCGGTGTCCAGACTCTTCGAACGAGACGAGCTCTGACAATTTCCCATTCTCTTCATGGCGAGCGGCAACTGTTCCGAGCCATCCGGCATACCTAAACATTCGATGAATCGTGCATTAGTTCCATCCGTAGCGAGAAAAGGAAATTAGGATGGCTCACGCATCAATAACCCCGCTTCCAACGGGCGTGCCCTCCACCAAACCCAGCTCCTCTGCCGCCTTTTTCGACAGCCCTTTCCCGACGGGCGTTCCAGCAGTCAATACGTCCTCCTTTTGTGTTCCGAAGGTTTCCCCTGCCTGAGCTGCCTCAGCGTCATGTGCCGTCCTCGTTGCACCCAGCTGCTTGTACCCGTTCTCGTGCAGTTGCTGCAATCCGATGCGGTCGAGGAACTCGGATTGCCATCCACCCTTGGAGGGCACGTAAGAGCATTTGCAGGTGAGGGAGCAGACGGAGCGTGCGGGGAGGCCTGTGGCGCGGTATGTGAGCCAGTCAGGGAGATCGAAAAATTGACATTTGTCAAAGTCGGAGGGAGACATGTTGTTTTTGAGCCAGAGAACCTTGGGGATCTCCATCTCCAACTAGACAACCGAAGTGCATACAGATCAGCTGGATGAGCGCTTGCGGTTCAAATAAAATACATACGCTCATTGTTCCGCCGACAAAGTCTAGCGGAACAGAATGTTTACTGTTGATAAGCTCTGCCTCCTTCTCCGCTCGATGATCAGCCCACAGAATGATGTTTCTCTCTCCCTTTTTTCCCAGAGGCTCTCCCTTCGTGACGCTGATGGGCTCCCCATCGAAGTCTGTCACTGCAAGCGAGCAGGTTGCGTCGAAGCCTAAGCCCTTCACATCCTTCGGAGAGACTTTGGACTCTGAGAGAACAGTACGGATAGCAGTAGCAATGCCCTTCCAGACGTCCGTGGTAGATTGCTCGAAGATGCGGTGGTCCTGATGATCCCGCCATGTCTGAGTGTCCTGGGTAGAGGATGCGACTAGAGTACCGTCTGATTTGACGAGACCAGCACGCGCAGAGCCTGTACCGACGTCGATCCCGATGTAGTAGTTTTCAGCCATGATTCGTAGTCAGCGTTGTCGTGGTCGGCGTTGACGAAGTATGATACAGACGGTGGGGCAAGGATCTGATAGGATTCTCTCAGCGGAATATTGATGAATGCGGGGTGCCCCGGATACGTCACCGGCTTCAATGTGAGCGGTCCGGAAGGATCCGTAATGCGTGGTGGAGACTTGGGAATTGCCGGCTGCCGGCGGAAACCTTGCTTAGATTTTTGAGAGGACGCTTGGTCGAGCAGGTAATCATCCTGAAAAGGCCTTCTGGTATTCGGTCTCTAGTGGGCTTTGACTCGCCACAATTACGGGGGTTGGAAAGACCTTGCTGGCGAGGTAATGTTCCGTAGGATAGAAGAACAAAGCAAAAACAATGAAGTTCCAGTACAGTCAATAACACGACGAACATGACACCGCTATGCTTTCCCTCCGCCTCCAAACAGACTGGACTCCTCCGCCTCCAAACAGACTGGACTCCTCTGACCACTCAAAAAAGTGGCTGACAGGCTGGCGGAAGAGTTGATAACGTTGATACTGTGTACTTCTCGCACCTGAATAACGAGATAATCGGTAGATCTGTTGTGAATGGCATACACATGCACACATCAATGAATGAAGTGTCACAGAAAACTGGACGCTCGACATAATATCCTCTTACAGTACGGCGGACGCTCGTACGAGGCATGAAACCCTCTTCTTACCCTGAGAATTTGAGCTGATGGATACTGGCGGTATCGAGAGCACTAGAGCAGCGAAAAGTTTTCGGAAGAGACACTCGGAGTTGGATGTTTCTGATGCAAGCATAGCGTATTTTTGGTGTGTGGGTGCGAGTACATGGGTTCATGCATAGAAAAAGAGGAACATATCGAACAAGACCAATACAAGAGCAATCATCTAATCCGAGCTCGTTGTTGAGCGGGCTGATTCCCAAGATGTTGAGTCAGTTACGGTCTGCTAATTAACAGGGAAAAGTCACGCACTGTAGATGAGCTGCCCGTGGTGGTGCACGATTGCCTTGATCTGCCCCTCCTTCTCCAAATGCCTGATTGCGACGCGGGCAAGAGAGCCACCGATCTTCAGCCTCTCGATGAGGATAGATTGGCTGATGAAACGGAAAGTGGGGACCTCCTTCATAATACGGTCGTAGGTGGGCTTGTCAATCATGACGGCGTGCTGGGCCTTGTCCTTGACCTTTCCCTTCGACCACTTCTTCTTCTTGGCGGACTTGCCGCCGCTTGAGGGCGGAGGGGCTGCTTTGGCTTTGGCCTAAACAAAGACAGAGAGGACCCAGTCAGTATAAGTGTTCCAACGACATCCGCCGGCTCGACAGGCCATCCATCGCGAAGACGACCCAAGAGTGCCTCTGGGATATCCAGACTCTTTGGAGTGTGGCCTGCGGGCTCGTACGTCGAACCAGAATAATAACAGCAGCGGGATACTCACCATTGTTGTCGGCCTGGTCGTCGATGTCGGGAATACTGCTGCTCAGCGCACTGACGACAAGTACGCTTTCGAACTCCGACACTTACATAAGCAGTGAACCACATCAGCGCCACACCTCGTCCAGTTGCTTTGTGGACGCAGTGACACAATATCAAATCCTAGTGGTCTATACATTCTCGCTCGACTTGGTCCTGGTTTCCCTCTAGGCATGTTCTTTCAATATAACAGAACCTAATCGATACCGTCCTAACTTCACGGTTTGTTCAGTCGATCACGAGTCAGCAGGGATGATAAGTAGTCTGACAACCTCGCCATGAACACTCTTCCAACAGAACTCGTTCGCAGCATCTTCCTGTTTTGCGCTAGGGATGAGTCGCTTGGTGGACTGATACGTCTTGAGCCGAAATCAGCGCCTATTCTCTTGACACAAATCTGCCATGAATGGCGCGATGTTGTCTACGATAGCCCAGAATTGTGGTCGAACCTGATCCTCCCTTCTCTATCTGGTTTTCACGATCGAGAAACGGCAGAACCGCTACTGCTCACAGTAAGGAGATGCATCGCCTTGTCCTCTTCACTTCCTTTCTCCTTTCGTTATACCGACCTCCAAGGACCCACCGCGCTCGTCAAAGAGTACCTCAGCATTCTATACGAGCATGCACATAGATGGCACACTGTCGATCTGCATATTCCCAGCTACGACGCACTGGCTAGGATGTCACTCAAAGCTACGCCAATGCTCGTCAGCATCAAAGTCTTGGCTAGCTCTACACTAGCGTTTGACAGTATTGCAACAAACCCTCTCATGCACTCCCTACAGCAATCGTCGACTCTACGCAACCTCTCCGTCGGTTTCATCGACCGCATTCTCCCCTTCGTACGGGCCATATCTCAGTGCGGCGAGCTCCATTCCCTCAGCTTTCATCACATACAAAGACGATTCGAAGATGAACATGAGACCGACGTTTCATCGCTTTTCATGCCGCATCTGAAGCGACTATCCATGACGTGGAGAGGTTGGAATGTAGGCTCCGCTTACAGAACTCTCCTTCCACTCCTATTCGCGACGAGTCTTCGGGAACTGAACCTCGAAATCTATACGAGCCCGTCGTCTACGCTTCGCGGCTTGTGCGGCCCACTGCACGCCATGCTTTCGCACTGTTCAGAAACGCTGACAAGCCTGAACCTACGTAACGCATTGATGTCTACCCCCGAGCTCATCACCATCCTCGATTGCGTCCCCAACTTGATGCACCTTACCTTGTACGGCATGATTATAACTGTTCCCATCATCTCCGCTCTCACTCTACGGTTCTCCTCGTCGGGCGTCCTGCAGTCCGGCCGTAACACGCGATTGAAAGTCATCGTCGTGGGCGGTATGTCCAACCTTCGTCCGGAGGACTTCACGAGGTTCCATGTTGATCGAGGAGAGTTAGAAGCATTTTGGTCGAAAGCGATCGCCATGGTCGAGTCCAGGTGGCGCCTGCCTACCGATGCGTCGAATGCGGATGGTTCTCGGGTTGAGCGTCTCGAACGGTGTTACATCGAGAGCGAATGGACCGGGTGGCATCAGCGGAGCCATATACGACAAGCTGCTCCGGAGCAGTGGACTCGGGTACAAGGCATGGTGGCAGAAGGATTCGTGTGGGGCGAGCGGAGTGCTCACTGGCAGTAAAGTCTAAGGGATGGATATATGGGAGGTTAGTTAATACACCCTATCCTATCTAATTGTTTTCTGGACAGGATCTCGCTCATCATGTTTTTTCTTGTTTCCGCTCGACCCTGTGCAGAAATGACTGAGTGAGAATGAGGGCTCAGAACTTGATGAGAGATGATAGAGACGGAAAACCGAGCTCTCTAGTGTTGTATGACTGAAATTAGTCACGCAGCGACGCTAGCGTGTTATCAAAGAATGAAGGATCTACGATATGTCCATAACGTTGCTTCATGAAGGGTATATTCTTTGCTTCGGTTTATGCCCGCTTTGTGCCCGCTAATTTACCACCACAACAACAGGTGGAGGAAGCCTGCAGGAGCGAAAGTCTCATACACATACCAGCATACATAGCAGAGTCGCTGAAACTGGCGCAAGAGTACTTGGCTGCACTAAGTATCTGTGAGTTTCAGAAGGAGGGGGTATAAAACAAATATCTCTGTGCCGGAGTATAAAGGTAAGTCACCTACCCGAGTCAAAGTAGAATTCCAGCGGCAGGAAGTATGGCTAGTACGAACCTCAGTCGTGCGGCAGCGGCGAGGTGGAGAGGCACCAGCGGTGTTCAAAGCTTTCGGCTATCACCGAGCAGGTACACAAATTTCGGCGGCTGACTCGAACTTCTTTCCGCTTTGCTCTCTTACGTTCTCTCCCGAAGCCGTCGATATGTCCGCCTTTTCTATTCACAGCAGCAAAGACGATGCATCGACCATGGACAAGGATGAAATTCAGCTGGTAATATCGAAGTCGGGCAGCTGAAGGGACGGACCAACCAGGCAATGAGACTGCTGAGCCATTATCGTTCAATCGGTAACGTCGATTTCTAGTGGTGTAAACTGGAATGGCTGCGGGTATCCTTGTTCGTTCGTGCAATCATTGTCGTCGGGCGGTCGTTTATTCGACTCGTCTTGGCGATGGTGCTTTGCAGGCGGCAGGGATTGAGATTATACCGCTTGAACCTGATCAGCGCTCAGACCTGCGTAGGGAAGCCCCCAGTGTCACACTTACTTCTTTTCTCCCTCCTCTCTTCGGAGGGAGTGAATGCAGCGTACTGACGTTCTTTAATCATTAGCAACACCTCGGATACACGCAGGTATGTAGTCGTAGCGTATTCAATATCACGTTTTAACGAATGCCTTGCAGCAACTCCATCGTAGCTGGCATCTTGTAGAAAGCTTCGCAGCAAGTTTCTGTGCTCTGAATTTCATTGGTGGTGTTAGGTACGGTCGCACACCGTTTCCTACCTTTATCCCTCTGCTCAACTTATTTCACAGGTCGGCGATCTTTTTGGGACTCCTAGCGGGTGGACCTGCGGCGATATGGTACAACCAAACATCAATGTCTTCTTCCGTCGATCTAACTCAGCCAACAGGTCTTCGTACATCATCACGATGGTCTTCATGTTCATCACAGCCTTTGTACTCGCGGAGATCTGTTCGGCGTTACCTCTTAGTGGTTCCATCTATATTTGGACTGCTGAGAGTGCCGGTCCCAAGTACGCCAGATTCTTCGGTTTCTTGGTCGCTTGGTGGTCGACCACTGCATGGATGACTTTCACCGCCAGTAACTGTCAAGTAGGTTTCACCTCTCTTGTACCATCACAATTCAACCTGATTGGGCTCCATCTAGTCGACCGCAAATTACATCGTCTCTCAACTCAACGTCTGGGAGATCGAGTTTCCCGGCAACATGGACAATACGAACGTGAAGTGGAGAGCAGTCATCTGGGCTATCTCTGAGGGGATGCTCGTCATCTCCATCGCTATCAACTACCTTCCGCCGAGGATGTATTCGGCTGTTTTCAAGTTTTCCGTCGGTCTTATGATGCTCGACTTCTTCCTCTGCTTGATCTGGCTGCCCATCGGTGTACACAACACCTACGGATTTCGGTCAGCGAAGGATGTATTCACTTTGACCTGTATGTCATGAAGTCATCTAGAACGTTGTATCGTATCATTGACCCTCCTCCTAGATAACGGCACAGGGGCTCCTGCGGGTTGGAACTGGATTCTGTCCTTGTGAGTGGTGTCGTGATCTCGGCATAGATCTCTCTGCTAACGGACCACTCCTAAGCCTTTTCACGGCCGGAACCCTGACTGGTTTCGATGCGTCCGGGCACATCGCGGAAGAGACGAAGAATGCTAGGTACGTGATCATCACTGTGTCTGCCGTCATCGCCAGCTCCTGACATTTTGCTTCTACGCCATAGTGTTGTTGCTGGTCGTGGTATTGTTTCTTCTGCCATCGCGACGGGCGTACTTGGATTTGCCACCACGATCCTATTCTTGTTCTGCACACCCGACCTCGACACGCTTTTTGCACTCGACGCCCCGCAACCTTTCGTTCAAATTTATGCCATGGCCCTTGGCAAAGGACCTAGCATTTTCATGACCGTCATCGCCATCATCGGTCTCATCATGGTTTGTGATTTTCTCTACCCGTCAGCCGCATTTTCACTCATCTTCACTCCTTGCAGAACACAAGTATTGCCGTAGTCGCCGCCTCGCGTCTTATTTTCGCCGTGGCTCGTGATGGCGTCCTCCCTCTCTCGGGATGGATCGGTCGGGTGGACAGCCATGGACAGCCCAAGAACGCCGTTACAGTCATGTTCGTCTTTGGCGCAGTTCTGCTTTGCACCATCCTCCCCAGTCAAGTTGCATTCACTTCCCTCGTGTCCGCCGGAGGAGTGCCTACCATCGCCGCGTACGGTTTGATCGGCTTGTTGCGCCTCACGATGACGCCGAACAGCTTCAAGAACTCGTATTTCTATCTCGGAAAGCTTCGTCTGCCGTTCTACCTGGCCACGGCGTTGTTCAATGGACTCGTCTTCGCTGTAAGCCCTGGCTATATCTCTCGGTCAACCTCGAACTAATAGTCACGCGAATGTATAGGTCATGATCTCCCCATTCTACTTCCCGGTTGACTCCGAGTCCTTCAACTTCGCCTGTGTCATCTTTGGCGCGGTCACCGTCTTCGCCATCCTCTCCTGGTACTTCACTCCCGCCGAGAAGTGGCTGCGCCAGGAGCAGATCAACGCCGCTCTACGCGAAACCGATGGGTTCCCACCGGCGAGCGATGAGGGCGTCTACGTGAACGACGATTAGGTGCATGAATCGGAATACGTTCGACGCATATTTCCGCTCATACAATACTTCGATAGTGGAGACTTTCTCGAAATACAGGAAGCTCGTTATATCGTCATATACACGCTCAAATACTTCATCTCCTTATGTCTTACTCGCTTAGACCTTTCTCTTACACTTTCATAATCAATGTCTATCAGGGGAAGAAATGCTTATCACCATAAATGTGTACTGTGTCTCACTTGCTTGTAGATCCAAACAAAACTTTTTGCCGACAGTTTGTTGTAATGTGCCATCATTTGATGTTTCGTTCGAATGCGATAGATGCGTAGAGTGTTACAATTGTTGCGGATATGTACAATGAGATGTGCACTGGTTTCCGAGCATCCAAGCTCTAAATGGTGAATTTAGAAGGACTCCAAGCCCAAGAGGCCTTGGCAGGCTCCCTCGATGTCGACGATCTAGTTGCGTGAAAAATATCAGCACGAGACGAATATGTAAAGTCGTAGGATGAAAGAAGCACAATACCTCCTTGGGAGCTGCCGCACTCAGGACTACGGGGTCATCCTGGCCAACGAGGACCTCGTCCTTCAATCAGGGAGCAAAAAGAGTCAGTCGCAGGTCAGGGCGGCAAAGAGGAAGGACGCTGACTTCGATGCGGATGCCCATGCCATGGAAGTGCTTTGGAAATGATGGATCTGCCGGGACGTAGACTCCTGAGGGGCCACAGATGGATAGTGGCACTCAGTCAGCCAGACGTTTCATGGGTTCAGACGAAGGAAATGAACAAACCTGGTTCAATGGTGATCACCATGCCTTCTTTCAACCTGATTGTTGCGGTGTTCAGTAAAACATTTTGTTCATTGAAGAATGAAACAAACTTACGGTTCACGCCTGTCCACGGTCCCTCCCTCATGCAGATCTGAAACGTCGGACTTAGTTCAATAGTGCACAACATAACCGACACTAGAATACATACCAATGCCGACTGGATGAGCGAGATAGTGCGGGTAAAGCACTCGCTCCAAGACGCCCCCTTGCCATCCCAAATCAAACCCTATTTGCTTCAACTCCTCTCGAAGGACCTCAACAGAACGTCGGTGCAGGTCGTTGAGTGAAAACCCTGTGGAGGCGGTAGACAGCTGGACGAGAGACTTTTGGGCTGAGAGAAGGGCGGAGTAAAGTTCGTGTTGGGCGGGTGTGAATTTGCCGTTGGCGGGGAAGGTGCGAGCTGAGAGGAGACGTTAAGAACTATTTGGGGTAAGGAAGGAGAAAGGAGGAACGCACTTATATCGGACGCGTAGCCGCTACGGGATGTCAAGTATATTAAAGGCATGATCCATGTAGGTTCGCAGTGATGATTGCTCACTTATACTCGCAACCCGCGTCGACTAAGACGAGTTCGCCGTCTCGAACAATATGATCGTTTTGCGTGTAATGGATAATGAGTGCGTTGGCGCTGAACGTATAAAAGAAGTGAGCAAGTGACTAAGTTCGAATGGAAACACAATGACACACCCAGAAGCTACTACTGGTACATAAGCCGGCCTTTGTGACCCTCCGCGCGCACAAATGTACTCGAAGTGAGCAGCAAGGTCTGCCTCGGACAGACCCGGCTCTGAGAGGCGCATTATCTATGCTAGAAATCAATAAACAACGAAGGGGGCCAGGAAAGATATGGAATATGTAGGAGCCAAGGGAAGCTCACCTTCGTATGACCTCTTGAGCTGATATCGGCTGCAGCTTTTAATACACCCTGTTCGAACTTACTCTTGATGGCCCTCATCTTCCCCACAATCGGCGCAAGAGGCTTTCTCTTCGTCGCGGACAGGCCCTCCATAACGCTCTCATAATCTGCTTTTGCGCTACTGGAACTGGCAAGAAACTTCAGGAAAGACTTCATGCCGTGTGCATGACGTCTCGACGTTGACGGCGGTAGATCGACATAGACTTGTGAGCTCGAAGACACAAGATGTTTGAGTTCCTCGGTAAACGATTCGATGGGACGGCCTTCGTCGGCACCAAAGATTGTTACGACATCGTCGAAGCGAGTTTTGGCGCCCTCCCACTTCTCTTTGGCGGGGTCTTTGCCGGTGCAAAAAAGAATCATGCGGTAGCCTCGAGGACTATTGTTCTTCTCTGTGGGGAAAGTTAGGCTGAGTACAGAGATGATAAGACGCAGTGCGCACCTAGCACAACAGCAGAGTCTGGCTCCTCGAAGCCAGTCAAGTACCAGAAGTCCGATGCCTGCCGGAACTTGTAGCTTCACATATGAACATGTCAACCGTAGGTCTGAACATCAATTGAAAACGAACTCACAAAATGCCTGAGGACGAGCAGATCAGATTAAACGATTCAGCATCTATAACGGGGAATGCAGCTTGACTAGACCTACCAGCACTCATATACTTCACCTGGGCTGCCACAGATACAACCAAGCTTCCGTTCGGTAAGCCTTGCATGAGCTCTGAGCGTCTTCTCTCATAGTCCTGCGCCGGTATTCCAGGCGTAGTTTCATCAGGCTTCACTTCAATCAAAAACAGTGTTAGACTTTCGAGATATTATCATACCACCAGAACAAGGGACATCATACACACCGAGGTGAGGATGACTGTGGAATGTCGGTTGGCCAAAAAGAGATGGTTTTGCGACGTGAATCATAGAGGGCTCAGCCTCCGTTGCATATGTTCGTGACAGTCGTAGACGGCATGGATTGGATAGCGGCGAGAGGGTGTGACGGACAGGGACAGAGCCAGTACGGGCAATCCGTCGCGTCGCGTTTGAAGTTGATGGCCGCATTCAGATTCAGAATTGTGAATCGGGCTCGTTCGGGTTAGGGTCTTTACTCTCTCGGCCTTCGCCGTTTCGATCTTACCTCCCGCCACTGTGGCCCGCACATACAATGGTGGGCCTTATTACAGCCAAGAATTCGTAGTGTCGGAGGCCATGAGACGTAGATTATCCGCTTTTTCTATGACTGTTATACAAACAAATAAAGCGAGCTCAAAGAACTCGGAGGCAACTGAGGCAGCTAAGAACAACTGGCGCCACATCCGACTGCACGCTTGATGCGTGTGAACCTCCTGCCAAAAGGGGTGTGATGTGGTTTATCGAATTCGTTGCTCAGCGGACTTGCCAACGACTTGCTAGGAGCTTGTCTTCCTCCCCGACCCTTTCTTTCCTTTCTTCTCTTGTGTACCCTCTTCTACCGACCCAGGCTGGTCAATCTCTCTTTTCTCTCCTCACCTTTTCAATTCACTCCTTGTCAATCTCGAGCCGGCCTCTATCTCTTCACCTCGACTCGCTGCTTCACGCTTTGAACTTGTACCTCAGTCGCTCTCCAAGATGATGTTTTTCGGCAATACCCCGCGTGACCCCGCGGTCGCTGAGAAGAATGCGCACTCAATCACTTTTGTAGGTTGTTCTACATGAGACTTGGTAGTAATAATATGGGCTGAACAGCTGGTCGTCTTACAGTATCTGCGTCGCAACCAGCCTCCGCCTATGATGCCCATGGAGCTATCCGGACATGTCAGTGCTCATATTGTTATGCTCACCAATAACGTTCACGTTGATATTGTTGTTTGAAGGTGTCTCCCGATTCCTGGGCGAGTCGTCTGTTCACACTCAACAGAATGTGTGCCCAGTACCACCGCCCTATCTTCGAAGCTATCTGGTTGATCATGGGAGTGATGTGAGTAACCGCCTCTCTCCTTGATCACCCCACAACGTTTGACATCATTTTGTTTCATCTACATAGCGCATCCATCGCCGTTCCTGCCGTCGCCTACCGTCTGATCTTCAACTCGCTCAGGGATCCTGATGACATCTTCAATCGTCGCGAAGAGGGTCCCTTCTTCCAGGCTAGAGTCGCTTCCCTCGGTGTCTTCGTTGGGGTCTGCCTCATCTTCTTCGTCCCCTTATTCCTGTGGAAGAGGATCGGTCAGAAGAGAGTTGACTCGATGGTTCGGAGGTGGGGACACGATGACGTGAGAGTCAAGGGGCAGGGGGAGTTCATTCCGGTGTGGAAGGTTAATATGCCAGGCGTGTTCAGTACGCAAGCGGTATGTGTTTCCCCCCGCTGTGTTCAGTATCTTTGGAATGCTAACTCAAGCGTGTGTTGCGTATGTATCTAGGAGTTGATACTTTCCCTTCCCGCGAGCCACCCATCTAACTTCCACCCCGCTGCATACCTACCATCAGTCAGTGACAACTACTGATTCCGTATCCGCAGCGCTTCTAACTCACATATCCATTCACTCACAGTGGATCAATGCGCCCATCGACGAGAAGGCACCCGCGTACTACCAGTCCAACGCCGCCTCCACATTCCCCCTCAACGGACCCAACGGTATGGCAGTTAACGACGGCATCCCACTCTACCTTGACGATAAGGCACCCGCGTACTACCGCGCAGACGAGAAGGTCTAGGACGTCCTTTTCAGCGTCACCAAAGCTTAGTGTTAGGCTACAGGACATTGAGCTACCGCTGCTTTATTTAAAGGACATTCTTGTACAGATAGATATCGATGACTTGTAGCTTCTCCTTCCTGGGGTGGTCCGGGACCATTCCTTGTATATACATTTTGCTCCTCCGACATGCTCTATCGCAGTTGCTGCCCGCGTTGTCCGACCTGTACAGACGAAGCGATGTCGGCCGTAACGACGAGTGCGGCGGTATTTTTAGATTTGACGAGATAGAGCGAGTTGTCCACTAGTGTGGGTTTTCACTCTTCTGCAGCCCAATGAATAGGTAAATAATTATTGCCCCAGTCACAGGCGACCTTGAGGTGACCTCTTTATTCACGCTTTAGGCATGGTGCTTCCTGCCGATCACAGCTCGAGCCCCTATCCGCACGATGGCCTAATTAGTCGTCACCACATTCCTTTCCAGGACGCTGAGTCCAAAGGAAGGATATAAATACGTTCAATCTGTCGTCCGATGTCCCCTTCCTGTCTAGTAACAGAGCGATAGCATTGCGAACTGCAACTCATTAGGTAGCCATCAGCTCTCCAGCAGGTATCCACATCCACTATAATTACAGCCACCAACTCCGTACCACCATCTCAAAATCTCATCCCTCGCAAGCACTTCACAGCTCATCCTTCTTCTTCCCGTCGTCCTCCAACGGCAAACACAGTGCGGGACTCGTTCCTTCAAACAGGTACTCGCACTTCTCCAGTTCTGCGATAGTCAGCAGCGCATTCTCCGTCCCGCACTTCAGGCGGAGATGCGTGCTTCGGTGAGGGCCGTTCCAACATTTCGCGCCGTTCGTGTAGTCTTGTTGGCTGTAGTATTCGGGCGAGCCTTCGGCGGCGGAGGGATGCCAGGAGGAGAATTTGCTATAGAGTGAGGAAAGATCATATGTCAACGACGCGAAACGAGACGAATGGAGGCGAAGTGGATGATGGACCAGGTCAATAAACAGAGAGAAAACGCACCCGAGACTAAAGTTTTGGCCGCCTTTGTTGGGTTTCTGTTTAGCTTCGCCGAACAGACAGACTTCGTATGTATAGCTGTAGAGACGCGCTGAGCACCGGTCACGCTCAAGAAGAGATGAAATAACTACGTACTCTCCCGTATCCTTCTCGAGACACAGACCGTCGAGTTTCTTCCATTCGCCCTCAGGACCGAAGCCAGTGACGTCGAACAGGGCTTCGAGGTCGAACTTCGCGGTTTCGAGTTCCTTTTTCGCAAGTTTGAGACTATGTTCAGCGTCGTTGAAGATTTGGCGCGATTGAGAGATATCTGCAGGCTTTTTAGAATGGAAGGAACAGAATAGTGGGAAAGGGGGAGCGCGCACCGCCTGTTGCATCACTGGGAGATGAAGATGCAATACCGAGCCATGAGGAAACGCTGTTCTTGAGCGAGTCATATTGTGGTGCGAGGGAATCAGGGAGATACGCCTTGACATCGAACGCTGCGGCGAGAAAATTAGCTACAGCAGCCCTGGTATGACGATAGTGCAGGAAAGTGCTCACCTGACTGAGCGCTCCCAGACCCAATATGTTTGTCGTGCTCGACAAGTAAACTGACATGATCCGTCTTCAACAGCTTAGGCAAATCACTTTGCAGCTGCTCCTCCGTCCACGCACCCTCCTCTAGTTCCTCGACTGGGTTATTCTCACCATTGCCCTCTTCGCTCGTCTCCTCCTCAGCCTTCTCCTCCTCGCCTATATGTGGTAGACCGGCAAAGTATTCCCACCCGCGAACAGCTTCGAGGACAGCCATGTCCTGGTAATTGGGATTGTAACCACTTCGGAGACTGTCCAGGATGTCGCCGAGGGCCCTTTCACGTTCGAGGTGTCTCTTGTATTCACGTTGAAGGGATTTGAGGGCGTTGTGGTGTGTAATGAGGGATTCGTAGAGGGCTGAGATATGTCTTATTACTGGCAGACATAAGAGTGTATTGGATGTACGTACGGGACGTCTTTCGGAGTTCTATCGCAGCAGCGGACAAGGACTCTTCGTGATCGAGAAGGGCTGTCGAAAGTTGAGCGAGATGTCTAATATAACGATGGAAATAGCGAACCTTTCAGCCTAGTGACCTCCTTCTCCCGCGCAGTAATTTCGCGTTCTGAGTTCGCGATATCGGTCTCCAGCCTTTTCTTCTCCTTCTGAGCGAACGCAACATAGGTTGACCTGATTTTGGATCCCTTCGGCAACGTAAGTTCGGGAGCATGATAGAGCAGTCAGTCGAACATACAGTTTTGCGAATCTTACGCTCGGCCTCCGTCTTCGCTCTGTAAGCCTCGCCGATCTCCTTACATGCATTCGGACATACACCAGTAGGTTCGTCAGACCCATCGCAGCACTCAGGTTCTGCAAGTCATCATATACTAGTCAGTCGTAACATGGAGCGAGACAGAAACTGAGGAGACGTACGCACCGCAGAGCCCATCGTTCACTCTCGAGCTAGGTATGTTCGCGCCGATGTGGCCCTCGTTTCTGCAGTAGAACGTGGTGTTCGGACAGGCACCGGTGCCTACCTTTTGTCAACTTCCGTACGCTCATGCAAGACAGCAGTAGTTACACACCTGGCTCGTCACTCCCATCAGGACAGTCGCAATAATCGTTGTTCACGTTCGCCCAAGGTATTGTCTTTGACCCGTCTAGACATTTCCAGCTTTCGCCCGTGGGCACGTATCGGTCAAGGAGTGATGGCGGTAAACCGTGAGTCTTCTCAAGCGCGAGACTTTGTAGTGGTGCAAGCAGAGGGAGTAGGAAAAGTAGGGCAGGCGACATGACTACCCCACGCAAAGTGAGTGAGGGTGCAGGGGGTTGTCTACGGCCAATGCGATCGGTTGTACGGTGCTGTCGAAGTCGCGAACTACGTGGACGCGTCTTGGAATTGGATCGGATCGGCAACTTCCATGAAAGTGTGCGGCATCTCCCGCTGTGGTTCGTGCGGCGCCACACTCGAACTCTTCTGCTCTGTTTGGTGCTTTCCCGTGTCCTGGTGCTTTGGACTTGGACTGGTGAGCTGCCGAGGGTTCCACTGATGTATTTTTGGCTTCCACTACTTAGTTTTGGGTCATATTCCTCCTTGTGGCTGCATAGGACTCTTGCCCTTAGGTATGTAGTCCTATTTGTCAAAGTATACATCTGTATTAATGGCAGCCTCATGGTTTCTGTGGCTGTCTGGGTTTGGTGCCACAATAATGACCTCCATAAAGTTTCAGAAGGGCATTTGGGGGCTGTCATGGCAGGACTTCTTGAGACTGCTGCTAATTTAATCAATTCAGATAAGCTTGAATATCTACTTTTAGGAAGAAACTCTCTGATCCTTATTTGCTCTTGCATCAATCAAACTACTTCCTATACTCTGATGAATCCTTTGTAAGAGTGCTTCTACATGTCTAAATATCATGACATTGTCCTGTGCTCCATTCTCTTCAAGATGAGATTGTGATTTTTATGCTCATAACAAGGTCAGATTATAATCACCAGGATGTGGATATATGTGTCTTTGTCTCTTTATCATTATGTCTGTTCAAACAATTGTCCACTTGACCACTCAGGGAAACATATCCTTCACCACATATTTTTGAGATTTCTCTCTATAAACACAACTACAGAGTAGGTCAGCCTTAAACAGGCAAGATCATCCATAAATGCTACTGGTTCTTATCTTACCCAAAACAAGGCCACTATCCTGTTAAATTCGGGATTTTCCGGATCATATCTTCTATCTTATCAGGCTTTGTCCAATGTTTTGCCAAGCCCATAGGCTCTGATCTAGATGCACTGACATCATTTGTTGACTGTCAAAACAAAGCTATTAATAAAATCCTTATAAACTCGGACTTGAAGCATCAGCAGCATCAAACTTCTTCCTTCTCTCCCCATCAACCCGGTCATTTTGATAGCCCATAGGTGCAGCATCTACATATTTGATGCAGTTTTGTACAACAGCCCATTGTGATCATTACCTTTGAGAACACTGCCTATCAGATAATGAATATGACGGCTGAGCATTGTAAGACTATCAAAGTCTGGCATTCATCCTGCCATATGCTAATACTGCTCTTTCTTGTATCGATAATTGTCATCTTAATACTGCAAGCTGAAAATGTGGCAAAAAGTGATATTTTATCACCAAATCCTCTTGACCAAAGGAAAGCGTATACTCTGATCCTTATCAGGCCTTTCTCACTTATGACGGTCTATCCCACATTTTAGTGCAGCACACTTGCCAGCTCATGACCAGAAAGGATGTACAATCCTCAATACTGCCAGCTCAAATGTGGGCCACATCGATGATCCTTCTCAGGCCACACCAAGCCGTCGGCCCAACTCGGGATCAATCCGGAACCCTCGCGCCACTCCCATTCATTATGCTCAGCTTGCCGATGTTTATAACGCCCAAGCACAAAACCAACGCCACCGCCCCGCTGCGCTGCTATTCCCCGCCGAGGGTAAACCTCCAGCACATTCTCCCCGACCCCGTCAAGTTCCTACTGTCCATGTTCGGAAGTTGAAGGATGTGCGGGATGAAGAACGCAAACGCAAACGAGATCGGCAGGTGTTTGAATCGTCGACACGGTCAATCGTCAACCGCGGCCATGGATTTCCGGACACCCGTACAATCTATAGCGTAGACCGTCAGCGAGTCCCAAGGACAGCTTCGGTCAGTGTGCACGACACACTCTCACTCTCCGGACAACCTCTGCGGGACACCTCTTCGGCCCATCGTTACACGCCGACAGGTCAAAGTTTTGATCACGATGCCAGCAACGATCGCTTGGATGATCTTAGCACGCGTGAATGTGAGTGCTGTCTGTTTTTGTTTTTCGTTTCCGTCACTCATCATTTTCCGCCTCTCCATACCCGGGCCTTGATCACTTGCGACGCACGCATTGTCATCCTTCCAGCAATTACTACTACTCAAACCTCTTCCGCAGCTCATTCCCCGAGCTTATCCCCTCTTACGAGCAGTACCTCGACATTGCTCAAACATCAAGTGCTTCGGAAAAATCTCCAAACCTGGTCGGGGTGGAGCAGTTGGAAGACCGTCAACGGCGCAAAGACCGTGAGCGGCGCGGCATTCGACGACCTTGTGAATCGCGAAGAGATCGATCTCCTCGGTACGGCCCCTAGGGAGACATTCCTCGCCAACTTGGGACAGTGGCCTCGGTACGACCACGTTGATGCGAAGGAAAAGATTGTGCGATGGTGGGCAGAAGTAGCTTCTCTAGCGCCTCCATCTGAAGCGGTGCGTACCTTGTCTGTCTATATCTGCCCCCGACAAACCAAGGACACACATTGGGCCACTTCTTGTCGCTTGGCACTGACCTGTGTTTTGATTCGGCCATCGTCAGCATGTTCAACTTAATGGTGCTAACGATCATGACGTCGATATCGCCACTCCCGCATCAGAGCATACTCCCGTTCCTCTAGACATGGACGTCGCGCAAGAGCTCGCGAACATTTTGATGCGACTAAGAAAGGGGAAAACTGCTTCAAATAACCCGGTAAGAATTTCGTGAGCCCAGAGTCAAATTGTACATGACCATTCCATCCCTGTAGACCGCCGAATCCGAGCTTGCAAGCGATGTCGTGAGCCAAATTTATGACACAATGGCGTCGATCTCTCTCGGCACACTTACGGTTCGTGCTCCTTAAATCTTGAGCGTGCATGACATATGCTTATCTCGGTTTTCACACTAGAGTACTGGGCTCGGGCTCAGTATCCAAGCTCTGGAAACGTGGACTAACATTCCGTTCGACGATGAGCATGGCGTACAGGGCCGTGCAGCGGAAATCGCAAAATTCTTCGACGAACGGTTCGGCACTCTGCAGTGGGCGTGAGGGCTGAGACGAGCAGTCAGTGACCTGGCTAGCGCGTTGCTTAGACTGAGTCATGATTTTCTTGGAAAACAAGGATAACGTGTCTATCCTGTTTTATACGCCCTCCTGATACTATTAAACATATTTCTTGGATAAAGTTGCCCGTGTGCCTTTACATCTGTGACTGTTTCCAGAGACATCTTTTCCTGATTTTTCGTTACTCATCAGTCTACACGCTCCGCGCATAGCTAGATCAGATGATACACTCAAAGCTCGGACGTCCTTCTCGGACGGCCTGCTTCACAATCGTCTCGAATATCAAGCGAACATCCGTTCGGGTATCGATTCATCCTTGCTCACACGCGCTCATGTGAGCCATTGAATGCGAGAAATTCAACATATTTTCTCAGCGACGGTGTTAGCATTACTTCTTCGTACGATATGTGATCCCTCTCGCACCCACCGCATGGGGATCTCGTAGTCACCCTTTATGCTCGTAACAGATAGTCTCGCCTGCATTTGCTCCACATCCCGAGAACTCGTCGCCAAACACCGTTGTTGAAACATTGTCCGTCGAAGCCACCCCACGAAACGAAGCCGCTCATGGAGGGTGCGCCGACAGAGGGACAGTTTGTCGGGGACGCTCGGTACGATGGTGACGAATGCGGAGTACGGGGCGTATCATGTACGCGGAGCGGGCGTGAGGATTCTGGCACAGATTTTGGTGAACGAGGATATCGAAGATAACGATGGTGAAGATCGGGGGACAGTGAATCGGAGAATTAATGCGGGACCGTATGAAGGACGTACTTGTCTCTGCTGGAACAGGACCTGTCGCTGGACGTACAAGTCGGACATGAGTCTAGTGTAGGAGAGAGGTTTTTTATGAAACTCTTACTTAGCTACATACATATAGGGTTAGTGTTGCTTTCTGTGAGCCAGAGGGAAACCGGTCAAGGGGCCACAAGTGCCACAAGAGGACGCGTTGCGCGATGCGTTCTCTCGCGTGCTCGGCCTTCCAGGTAGTCCTGTATTTCGCGAAGAATATATCCCACTCTCCTAGATTGGTCCTGGATAGGAATCATGTAGCCAAGTCTGTAGACCTTGATATTGCCAAACGCCGTTATAGAGCCTGAGGACAGATAGACGCGGCATCATCACTTTGGGGACACGCACAGGTGTGCACTGTGCAGACTTGCACGGGAGGGAGGGCATGGTGGAAGTCTTATGTCTCGAGGAATGGTACACTACCGAGGAGGCGAGAGCTCTAATGGACTCGGGTGCTTGGGAATAGCGCCAGGTGCATCAGTTCGAATGAGGTCAAGTCGGCAAGGAGGAAGACGGATATGCAAAGCACGTATACCCGCGTGGACCAAGAGCGAGTTCCGGTGTGGAGGTGAAACCAGCTGAGGGATAGGCGACGCAGTGTATGTTCCTCCGGCGAAGAGAGCAGCCTGGTATCAGGCAGTACAAAAGTTGGTTCTCGTGTGCCATGAGTCTGTAGCGATCAATGTTGTTCAACCGTGGTGAGAAACAAGTCGAGCGAGTATCGTCAAGCGAGTCGCAGTACATAGATACTCGCAGTAAAGGACAACCGCTATGGGAGAGACGATCGAGTAGCCAAAGAATCAAAGAAACAAGGCGGCAACTGCCCGGACCAGATTCGCGGCAAACGCCGTCCGCCAGGAGACCCAAGGCAAGCTTGAGTCGCTGCTCACCGTCACAAACCATGGCCGGCCGTATTCTCGCTCTCGCAACGCTCATCCCCCTCGCATTTGGTTTCCAGGACACGTATCCCATCGTAGCATGGTCTTCTCATAAGTACGGCCATTGGGATAATCGAGACGAGCGTATAACTCATACTGTGGCACGCGAACTGCTTTAGGTCGAGGGCTTTGGACGCGCTGCCCGCTTCTCGCTCATCACATTCCAACGTTGTATACGAGAATATACTTCTTCAAGACGATGTCTGCGAGCATGATGCTGTAGTGCTTATTGACCAGCCAGGGGTATGCTTATATTTGTCTCTAAGAACCGCGAAGTAACTCACACCTACGTTACATGTCAGCTTCACGCCTCGGACCTTCGTTCACTCTCCTCGTCATCTCCCCTCAGCTCTATCCTCTCTCGCTCAGCATCTTCTGTTCAACTTCCATATGTCCGCCAATCATCTGGCTCTGCATCTGTACACGACATCGCAGACCTTCTCTCCGAACGATGTGGCTCAAAGGTCCTGAACTTCATGCCGGGACAGGGTTCTATCGAGGATGCGGAGAAGGACAAGAAACATGTAATGTGTATGTCGAACCCTCGATTGGACGGAATGGCAGGACATAGGAAGGGATTCTTCGCCGAACTGGGTGCGTACCACCTCCAGTCGAGCTCCCGGCATCGGAGCAACATTGCTAACGGTGTCACTAACGCACAGAGTCGACCATCGTCCACGACCTTGAATCCCTCGCCTCTCTTTTCCCCAAACATCTAATCATCTTCTCCGGCTCACCCTCTTCTCCCTTCGAGCGCCGTCAATCTCCCGACTTCGAGGACCCACTCTCGGAAGAAGACTCCCTCTACGACGCACCCCTCCTCGATACCACCACCTTCATCCAATCCAACGGCACCCTCCCCGAAGGCGGTATCCTCAAGAGGTACCAGCTCCTCACGCCGGCACTGATCACTTCGCTGTTAGTCGCGTTGTTCGTGCTTTTGCCGGTGGTGATGTTTGGGGTTAGCGCGTTGGCGAGTATCCAGAGCCCGTTGAGGACCGAGGCGCCGAAGGGATTCAATGCGCAGGAGAAGAAGATGCAATGATTGGTATGGTCGAGTCTGAGTCGAGTCGAATCGAGGTGCTTGGGACTGGGCTTGGTGGAGAGGAGTCCATTGTCTAATGTCGAACAGCTGTATCGTGGTAGCGGTTTTGGTCACGGCCCGCGATTCGTGTTGTCGAGTGCTAATTTCATGCGGACAGTACCAGTACAATGTCGGAATGCAGGTTGGGCAAATTGCTATGGTCAACCATCTAAACTAGTGCACCAAATCAACGGATGCTGTGAGGCCATACAATGACAGTCGAGGCGGAAGGCAGGCGATATCGGTATTAGCGGGCGTCTAGCGAAATGGCACAATAAATGACTGGAGACTCGGATATTATATAGTTAAATCGGCGACAATGAGAACATGAGACAGACAGACAGACAGATGGCAAAAAGACAATGCGAAATCCACTCCGCGAACCAAGTTGGTAGAGTACTATGTGGTGACCATGAAATGAGAGAATGATTGTGAGGGAATATTGAAACTGCTGTAGAGGTGGAGAAAAGGATGAGGACAAATATGTATACAGACATGACATGACTATGATGCGAGATGAACATAACCAATCAAACAGAGCACCAGTGAGAAAAGGATAGGAAAGGATAGTTACAGAGATGAATACAGACCGAAAAAGGAAAACAGAAGACGAAGTGCGAGGATTGAAAACCAATTATTGACAGCTAATGATACTCATGACCCATTCGGCCCACTCCCGTCTACATCGGACCCCCCACTCAGCACTGCATCCATGACCTCCAAAGCACCTAAATGACACGGCAACATCTCCTTCGCACTCCCATCCGCACCACTCCGCACCCCCAAGCCCCACCTTTCTCTCCCTAGTAAACACAACTCGTGGAAGTTGGCGACGACCTCACCCGGCGTGTTCTCCTCTTCCTCATCACTTATAGTGGACTCGGCAGACTTGATCGTATGGAGGAGATGGACATGGAGCATAGATATTGATGTATGATCGGGTGTACAAGGAGCATGTATGACGGTCGTCGTACGCAGAGGTCGCAGAGGGAGACCAGTGAGCCATGCCGATGTCGGAGAGGGCGTGAAAAGCGAGATCGAATTAGACAGGGAAGGTGATGGTGAAAGTGCTGAGGATGGAAGGGGGGAAAGATCTCCGGGGTCAGGAATATATGGAAGTTGAGAAGCGAAGTCCTGTGGCGAAGACGGTAGAAGGGTCATCTGCGAACGATGTGTGAGGCGGTGGTTGGAGGAAGAGTTGTCGACAAAGACGGAGTTGTTGGCTGCTGATTTAGAGGGTCGGTGTGGTGAAGTGGGACGTTTGGAAGCGTGATGTGGGGCAATGAACGTCCAGGGGGCATCTGGTTCGACGGAGAGAAGCGAAACGTGAACCATGGGTAGCTCTTGACCATCTGGGATGACGGTCTCAAGATGGTTGACCCAAGCTGTAAGAACAACCGCAGAATTTCACTTTAGTCTCCGTCAGCATTAAATTTATTCAGGACAGACGTACCATCCAACTCATAAGCCGACATTGAGCCAAGCTTTGAGATCACAATCCTCCACTCCACACTCGCCTTCTTCGCAAAGCCCATCGCAAAGGCCCATAGCTGGAGTACCAAATGTGCTTCCAAATTCTCCTTCTGCGCGAGCCATACACCCAAATCATGCGCCTCGCCCCGTTCATCGACACAAGCGGCGAATATCCACTTTCCGCAAGAGGATATCCGGTAGCCCAAGTGCATAAATGTATGCCGTTCCAAGACATCTAGTACACGGGGATGAGGTTCTCGCGTGAGATGGACTTTGCGTTGAGAGGAGCGTCCAATAAGGAATGCCGGGTCTTGAAAGTAGCTGCGAGTACGCTCTCCATGTTCGAAGAAGCGCCGGGACATGACGCGGTCGACTGGACGCAGGATGCGGTCGTAGATGCTTAGGACGAACGGTGATGGACCGCTGTGAAGGCCTTGTGGGTACTGCAGCGTTTGTATGAGGTGGGCTGGTAGAAACTGAAAGAGGATTTGAGCTTCGGAGTAGATCTTCTGGGCACGTTTGACAGCCGACAGGACTTGACGAAGAACCGGGGATGACATGGATATGATGGAGGACGGTATAGCGATGTAGAAGACGTAATTGGCCGTAGGGGCAGGGAGCTCCTTCACGAAGTCAGCTATGATGTACCAGATCAGTCAAGGTCTGAGCGAGATAAAGAGGAACGCGACCCACTCAATGTCCTGCGAAAGGTCTCAAACTTGACGGGTACAAGCCCATCCTTGACGCAGGTCTTTGCACGACCCGCAGCATGTGATCCCATATTCTTGGCCTACAGTCATCACAAAGGTAAGTATCATAACTCCATCACAATCACCAGACCGAGCCTCATAAGAACTCACCACATACGCTTTCCCCATCCACTTCAACCATTCCTCCGCCATCGCCTGCATCTCACTCATTCTTGCCTCCCCATCCTCCATCTCCTGCGTTCCATCATCATCATCCTCATAAAACACAAAAGCCACAACGTCCTTCTTCCCACTTCTAGGTTCTAATCCAAGCTTCTCCCAGAACTTGAGAGCCGTAGGAAGGACTTGTGTGATCTGGCCCCCCTTCCCGACGGACAGCATTGTGGGCTCTAGTGCCTCGAGATAAGGCGTGCTAGGTCCATCTCTCGATTTAGTGGAGGACTGAGAGGACTGCGACGAAGATAGCGAAGAGGCTGAGAATGCTGATGCGGAATCTCGGAAGACGGTTTTGAGGTCGAGGGGTGCTTCGAGGTTGGGGACGGAACGAAAAGCGGCAAGGACGCGCTTGATGTCTGATTGCCACACCTCTGCCGCCACAGGTGATTTCGTGTTACGGTTGGTTGAATTTAATTGATCATGTCCTGTGGCATTCGAACGCCACTCAGCATCCCAGACACTACTCTCTACCGCCTCCCTCGCTAGTATCCCAGCAGCTGCTTCCAGCGACTTCGACTTCTCGCTTGCCGCACCGAGCACGGCGGCAGGGGAAACTGGCGTTGGAACAGACATGGGCCCAGAACCGGCTGTGAGGTGAGCAGGAGGAGAAACGGCGGAACCGGGCGTCTTCAGTGGCGAGCTGAGGCTCAGGAGCTCAGAGTGATTGAAGTATGTGTGGAGGAGGGTGGGGCCTAAGGGCAAGTATGAAGGTGCGGGTGTGGAAGGTCTAGTACCCGGTAGCGTTTCCTCATCTTCACCCCATTGCTGTTCATCCGAGTTGTCTTCTGAATCAGAATCGTCGTCATCACCATCGTCCATTTCCGCGTCCTGATCTGCCGGAGTCCGTAAAATATCGGCTTCCCATTCCTCGTCAGCGCAAGATGTGAACGGTGAGAGCTTGGTACGCCGTGGTGCTTCGTCTGTACTCTTGCGTCGAACCCCTACCAACTTCTTCACGAGCCCGACTCGAGGATCCGTAGCATCGGCGTACTTCCTCGCCCATCCCGATAACGATCTATGCACAGGCGGGAGATGTATTTTCGAAGGGACACTTCTCGATAAATTGTGGATCGGGAATGTGTACGCTTTATCGTCCTCGGGCGGTGGGCTGGACATTGCGAACTTGCCAGCCGTGTACTTCCCATCTGCCAGCTTATGCACCGCGGCGAATGGAATCGCATCGAACGCGCTACCTCTTCGAAATAAATCTGGTTTAGAACCGACGATCTTGACTTCTGCTTCGGGCAAAATGTGTACAGCGGGGGTGGTAGGCGCGGAGTATGTAGAAGGCGTCTTGGTAGGCGAAGTCGGGATAAGGTCTGGTACTGATGTGACACCGTCGGCACCTAAATTCCCGTCCGCATGTGGTGTCGCGAAACTCTCCGCCAATGCACCAGGAACCCAAGGCGAAGTCTGGGATTGCGCTGGAGTCGTCCCAGAAGGCGGACCCGGACCCGGAAGGTGCGTCGTATCGCCAAAAAACGAAGGCGACATCCCAATATCTAAACCCATAGATGCAGGTCCAGCATTGGGTGTCAAACCCGTCGATAGACCAGGTGTAGCAATCGGACCGGAGACAGCTGGCTTCGCGTCGAAGAAATCAAAGTCGGCGTCGGTGAAGATGTCGTCCATGTCTGTGTCCATGTCCATACCAACGCCGACGCCAGCCGCACCGCCGCCTGGGCCTGTATCGCCAGCACCTGTGCCCCAGCCGCCGCCCGCCATGGAATTCATGCTTATATCCGAACTGAAGGGCATGGTATTCCCGCTTATACCGTCGATGTCCATACCCATGAAACCGGAGGAAGTGGGCTGGGGCCATGAAGACGTGGTCGCAGCTACTGGCCAGTCCGCGTACGTATCGTACAAGTCGAACGTATTTGGGATCGTCGAGGGACCAGCAACGGATGGCTTGATGTCGACGTCGCCGGCGGTACTAGAGTCGGCCATATTGATAGGGAGAGACGCGGATGCGCTGACTGGGCCTGATGCATCGAATGTAGACGCTGTGGCGGCTGGAGCAGATTGTGATGCAGAGATGTTCCCCGTGGAAGATGAATGGAAGGTTCCCTGGTGCGGATTAATGGCTAGCGGATGCGATTGTTGAGGCGTCACGACGTGAGGTTGCGAGCTCGGGCCGGCAAGCGGTGAGCTCCCCAGAGTCATCGTGCTGCCCACACTGGCGGGCACAGGCGTCGTGGAGACCGTGATAGGAGGCCGTACTGTGCTCTGCTCAGTTCTGCTCGGTCCGGGAGTGGGAACGGGTACGGATGCGAGCGCTGGGACAGGCGAAGCGAGAGTGGCACTATCTTGTTGTTTCCTCATTCTTTCTCTCACCCGTTCCCGATTTTTGACCATAGAGTCGACATAACCCGCCGCTTCAGTCGCGACGACATCCAGGTCTAGACTCTTTCCCAGTGCGATAGCACGCAAGCTGGCAGCAGGCGTTGAGCGGGAACGGCTGAGTGCTGGTGGGAGGGGATTTACGGCGGGAGGAGTATATGCGGAGAATGTGGAGGTGGTGGGAGATGGATGTGCGCTGGTGGATGATCCAGGATGCCCATGAGATGCGAGGGAGGAGAAGTTGGAGGGAATGGGATGAGGAGCAGCAGGTGGTGAAGGTTGAAGCTGAGCAGGTAATTGAGGAATAATCGTTAATGATTGACGAGCATGCGGGGATGGCGATGACGGAACGAAAGTAAGCGTGAGGCTGGCGGGCCATATGACTGTCAGACCCTTCTCCTCTCCTTGTTTGTTTTGAACGTTAATCCAAGCAATGATATAGGTCGGGCCTTTAGTAGATGATGACGCGTCTGGGTCGCGATTGTGCGGCGGACGAGGAGAATACTCGATATGCCAATCCGAGCAACCAAGGCCCGCGAGAGACTGCGAGAATTGGGCAGTCAAGGCAGAGGTAGGGCCGGCATATGTTGTGAGATAGTAGGCGGGCGTTCCGTAGGGTAGGAGAGTGACCGGTGTGCCTGCGGGTAGGGGTAGCGAGGGCAAAATTGGCAGAAAGTATGATGGTCGAAATATGGGTTGAATGAGAATCCGGGTTGGTGTTGAGAAGAGATGGAGGTAACAATGTATAAGAGGTCTGTTCGACAACAGCATCAGCAACAGTACTAGCATGTTTCAGGAGGAAATAGACGATCACCTATTCCGCGAATGATGTTCCCAGCCTAGTCCCCAATCCGACACGTCCGAGGGTGGAAATATGAGGAACCCGTCCTTCAGTCTTCGTAACCTTCGCCCATCCTTCGACGACTCGCACATATCGTCCGTCAGTCGTTCTCGTACCGCCTGCAGGAACTGGGCATAGGGGCGTCTAAGAGGTTCGCGGGGCAGGTGCCGCAGGGAGGGAGGATATCGAGCTTCGGATTTCCAGTGAAGAGTTTCGAGTTTGACTGATGGGTCTATGCAGTGGTTGCAGGCCGAGTCCAGGGAAGCGCATTCGGGAGAGCATGGATATAGGTCGGCCGGGGAGAATGACGAGACTTTCGACACTGCAGGGTAGGGGGCTGATCAGCGACCATATATGGCTCTTCGGGCGAAGGAATTGGTGGGAACACATTCAGAGTTTGCTGAGCGACAGAAAGAACGGTGCTCCCGGTCTAAATACGAGAAGAATGACGACGGGCCACACGACGGGTTACAGCCGACAAAGGGCCACCCGCGTCAGAGGGGAGATGAATAGGCGTATCGTCCCAAAGCGCTCTGGACATGAGAAATCGCGTGTTCTTGAACACGATACGCTGCGGCAAATACTTAAGCATACCCATTGTGTATCGTGTACACTAATAAAACGCTCGGCCTACTGTGCACTGGCAGGGCCAGGTTCCGCCCCAGAAGGCCACACAACGAGTCAAAATCTGGGGAAAGAAAGCACTCACGAGTCAATCCGTCAAAATTCAGTGCTTTCAGCGTTTCTGACCATTGCATAGTCTCCCCTACCGAGGAGACGCCAAACACGTAGAGGTGCAACGTCTCCCTCTCCACCAAAACGCTCGCCAGCAGACTCTCGAGAATCCCATGCTTCGTATTGGGTGTTGCGGTCGTCCTCCGTCTCAGAACCTCCCGCCTCGCCAGTTCTACGTTCTCAGAGTGCACAGTCGATAGCCCAGATGTAGAATATATCGCATACGCAATAACAGGTTCAGAAGGAAACTTGAGCGCAGAGGATAAGACGTGTGAGGATAATGAGATGTTCGGTGGGTGCTGGGCTAGTGCTGCCGTCGCCGAGCTCTCTGGCGACGCTGCTGCGGGTTTAGCAGCCATGGGAAGGCCGTGCGCGTGTTGATGTTGTCGCAAGAAGAAAGGATGAGGGGAAGGAGGGCTGGCGAGGGGAGGAAAGCATTCCCGGAGAGATTGTGTAGTTGTGGCTGAGTGTCAGGCGTTTACGCCCGCTCGGCTTATACCATCCGCATTTCGCTTGCATACTTTATCTCTCCGTCCTCCCGGAGACGGCCTTTCTTTCTACTCACTGTCACACACCACATCCGTGGTTAAACGTTAAACAAGGGGCACAAGAAAGCAAAAATTGGCATAGGCAGCAGAGGTATTATCAACACGGACGATGTTTGAAGCATTACGGTAAATAGGGGCAGACAATGCAATTCGGACGAACATTCGACGACGATCGTTTGGCAGACAAAAGAACAATTATCCAAAAAGGCAAGAGACAGTGTAGAAAGGTATGTACAGGCAGAATCAGAGCTCGAGCTCGACGGGAACCGAGAGAAAAATGTCAATAGAGGGGAGGTACTCATAATCATACTGCAGACCAGCCATACGAAGCAATTACGCGACAGACAGGGTATACTCATATTCATGCAGCTCCTCCGCCTCCGCCTCCCTCGCCATTCTGCCTCGGACCTCCTCCACGGGTGAGACCAGCGGCCGCGAAGCCTCTTGCAGCAAACCCACCACGTCCACGTCCACCACCACGGCCGCGGAAAGCGCCGTTGTGCTCTCTCGGCTCTCGGTCTGCGATCTTGACCTCTGGGACACCGTCGTTGAGTTTCTGAAAAGGAAAGTGATATCAGGTCGATGTCATGTACGAGGCAAGAAAAAAAAAGACGAACCTCAGCATGCTTCGTCAGTGCTGCCTTCATCGCTTCCTCATCCCCAAACTCGACGTATGCAATCTTCTGGTTCCTGCCTCCGAATGTGTTAGGGAATGTGACACGCGTAATCTAGCACAATAGTTGAATTAGAACAGAAGACAAAATAAGAAGAACAATGAGATAACTCACCCCCTCCTTCGAATCCTGGAAGAAGTCCCTCAACTGCGTCTCATCCGCCGGTACGGTCAACCTCACGAACAAAGTCCAAGGATTCCGCGGCGGTTTCCTACTCGTCGGCGTCCTCGCCCCCGTGCTATCCGTCCTCGGACTATGAACCCCCTCCATATTGACACCCAATCCACCGTCCGATCCTGGCTTCGGCGACGAAGCCGCAGCAGGCTCAGCAGGCGCAGATGTCGAAGCAGATGCCTCACCATTCGCTGCTCCAGGCGAAGTCACCGTCGCCGCCGGAGCGTCTTCCTTCTTCTCGCCCTCAGCGGCCGGGGCGGCACCCTTTGCTGCGGCCTCCTTCTCGGCCTTCTCCCGTTCAGCTTTTTTCTCCTTCATACTCTTCTTTTTCGTCTTCTCCCGCTCTGCCTTGTCGCCGTTCACACCGTTTACTTTGACAGTGGCTGGGGTAGGGGAAGTGGAAGTGGTGGGAACTTCGGGCGAAGGTGCGGCGGAGCGTTGAGGTTGAGCGGGGGCGGCTGGGGTGGCGGGCTTTTCGGCGGGAGCGGGCGTGGCTGCTTTTGTCGGTGGGTTGGAGAGCGAGGTTGTCATTTGGGGTGGGAGGGAGGCTTGGGCTTCGTTGGGTGTAGAAGCGTTGGGAGGGTTTGTCGCAGTTCGGCGGTAGGCGTAGTTGAATCCTGGAAATAATGAATATCAACGAGAGAGACGAGGGTAAACATATGTGGCCGGAGACTGACCTTGACTCTTTAACTCCGCGCTAACACGCCCCTCCTTGATATCCAACACTAACGACCCATAAGCAGCATCGCACAAGTTCCAATTCCAACAGTTCTTCCACGCCGGTTCCTCCCCTGCGATCCCATTTTGCGTAGCCGATCCTAGTGCGGGCGGGATTTTCTCAATGACATTCAACGCTTTGTTGAGCAGCACCTGCTGATTCTCGTCAATCACGGCATTCACCTGGCCCTGCACGCTCTCCCAGACTTTCGTGAACGTCTCCTTGCCCGCCTTCAACTTATTCCTGAACCCGTCAAAATCGCCCTGCACGCTGAACTCGTTCCACGACGTCGCGTACCGGAAATGCAGCCCGGCGGAAATAGTAAGGTCCGCTTTGAGAACGAGCGCGAGAGAGGCAAGAATGCCCTCACGACCGGGGCTCGCATGCGTCACAAGGAGTCGCGTCTCAGAAGGATCGTACACTCTCTGTGCGGTATCGACCAACTCGCCGATTTGAAGCACAGTGGCCCACATGGTCCCTCCCCCACCTGCAATGGTCGCATTCCCGTCCCCGTTGTCGAACATCTTATGCGGGACGAACGCGCCGCCGAGCCCGAACAGGCGCAGTTTCACGCCGCCGATGTCGAGGCAGCGCGTCGTGGCTTCGTCGATGACCGTCAGGTTCTCGATCGCGATCTGGCCCGTGCGGATCTTTTCGAGCAGGAGGACGTCTTCGCAGGCGCCGACGACGGTGAACACGGGGACCTGGAGTTTTATTTGGCCGGAGAGGAGGAGCGGGAATTCGGAGAGCATGGAGATGTTCATGGTGGAGCGGACGGAGGCGGGTGTGTTTTCGTTAGAGAGGAGGTGGTTGCGTTGGGCGCTGGGGATGAGGGGGGAGTACATCGTGAGATGGCGGAGGGTGCGGTCATGGATGCGGTCGATACTTGACGCCTCTGAATTAGGTGACCGTGTTTTAGTTTTAGTTCAAGTTCGCCGTTAAACAGGACAGAGAAAAGACGGGGACGCACCGAAGATGCCAAAGTCGCCGGTGTGGATGATAGCCTTCGCATTCGCTTCTCTCGCGAGGTCGTTCAGGCCCGAAAGTCGTCCACGAATGTCGGCGATACAGAGGATTCTACCGTGGACAGAGTCGATCACCTTCGTCTGCGTGTTCACTTGCGTTACTGGCGGTGCGCGTGCGCCTGGATTGGGAGAGACGCCCGGGCGAGTCGACGTCGAGGTGGGGCGCGTACTCATTTTTTTTTGTGGTGGATATGTAATATGATGGAGACGACGGGGGACCGGTGTTGAGGAGGATGGGGGTGGAGATGAAAGGTAGACGGTGACGGAGACCGACAAGTACGAGTTACTCTTGGGCCGGCCAACTCTCTCAAAGACGCGATGCGCGTGTGGGTGTCACGCGTCACATAATTTCATTTAGATCGTCACACGCCACCGAAACAAAGAATGAATGGCTTAGAACCTGGCATTCTACTATTCCGGTGGCGGAAGTATGGGAATGGATGCTTGCTTTATCGATCAGAAGACAAGCCATCCAGGTCGTGATACTCAAGTAAGATACTTAAATAAGGTAAGTGTAGCTCCCACTTCCACCGTTTGCGTCTTGGGCCTTAACTTGCTACAAAAAGACAATCGATCGCGGCTACGTAGGCGGTCAATGAATGCGCGTCATGAAGTCGAAAGGCGTTATGTTATATACAGTACACACCGTTAGCTACGATGAACGAACGAAGGGTTATGTATGTGCATTAGACGAACGGCCAGGGATCCACCACTGGCAGCGAGGGACGATGCACGTCACGGTCAAAAGCCAGTGAACGATTGGAATTGTAGTATCCACATACAAAGGAGAGCCCACCGTAGCGTTCAATCCTGCCAGAGTCTTGATTAGCACCATCCGCACACAGCACAGTGGCCCCTCCCATCTCTGTCCACGGCCTTCATCGCAAAAAAAACTGAGGCTCGGTAGGAGTAAGTGCTCGAGATCGTCACGGTGGTCATTTTTCTTGTTCAGGAGCGGCTGGTGCGAGGTCCGGGAGAGGGTGGGGGGTTCGAGACGAGAGGAAACGCGCGAGGAAGTAGTGTCCTCGGTCCTACCCGCCCCATCATAGCTGGCGGTCTCCGCAGCGAGGATACCGGTGTGAGTTACACTCTGCGTCGGGGTAGTAGAAAGACCCAGTGGACGGCACCAATTCAAAAAAATCTTCGTCCTTGTTTCTGTGATGTTCCGTTAGCGGGGGCGGATGGACAATATCCACGGTGGATTGCAACATTACAATCGCCCTTTGAAAGAGACCTTGACTGAGCGTGAAGCTACGGCCATAAGATCATTCATCACTCTTCTCGGTCGTCGTCGCCTTTGAATCCGGCTCCCGCCCTTGAACGACCTGAAGGAAAAAGATAACAAAAGTAAATGTCAGACATAGCACCTAGCCAGAGTGACGAATTGACGCATGGAAAACGCCAAGACGAAAAAAAAGCCTCCCCACCCCACCCCCCTCCAAAAAATTTTGAGAAACTCACTTCGCCCCATCGCCCTTTATCCCACCCATACTCCTCCCCTGGGACATAATCGATCTCGGAGCGGGGTATCCACCATTCGAGAACGGCGAAGAAGATGCAGTTGAGGATGAGGATGATGGTGGAGATGGGGCCGAAGAAGGGGCCTAGTTGCGTCGTTCTATTATAGAGTCAGTGCGTGCGCCCATTTTTCACGGACGGATGAAAGACAGAGGGGGGGGGAGGGGGGGGGGAGAAGATGGAGGTGTACAGTGGGAAATGGGAAATGGGAAAGGGGTAATGGGGGAAGGCAGAGAAGCGTACCGCATAATCCGCGTCCACACCCCCATCTCCTCGCTCTGCAGCACATTCCGATACACGACCTCCGTCCTCCGCGCGATATGCGCCCAGTCGTAGAAATCTTTGATCTGCGCGTGTGCGCGGTGCGGGTCATGCGACCCGGCGGAGACGAGGGCGATCGCTTTTGAGGTGGCTTCGAAGATGTCTTTTCACGCCCAACGCAGCAGTCAGCACGCAATAACGGACGAGTAGAGAGGGAAAGAGAGAGTGGAAGAGAAACAAGGAAGAAAGAGAGAGCGTACCGTCCTCAGTCGGATTAGCGAACGAGATCATATCTTCCGGTAAGATCTCAGGCACGCCCCCGACGCGGGTAGAGACGACATAAAGACCTGCACAGGCGGCTTCGAGGATCGCGATTCCGAAGGCTTCGGTGAGGGAGGTGTTGAGGAAGATGGAGCCTTGGACGAGGACCTGGTCATCGAGCCATCGTCAGTCAACAACAAAACAGAGGGAGGGAGGGAGGGAGGTAGGGAGAGGTGAAGGGAAATGGAAGGGAGAGGGGGAATGGACGGACGTCTCGGACGTCACGATGGCGGACTGGGCCGAGGAGCTCGATGCGGTCTTGGAGGAGGTGTTTTTCTCGCATTTGGAGGAGGTCGATGAGTTTGGGGCCGTCTCCGCCTAATTGACGGCATCAGCGATCAGCATCGTCATTGTAAACTGGGAGGATGTGAGGAGAGGACGAACCGATGAGGAAGCGGACGTTGGGGAAGGAGGCGCAGATGCGGGGTGCGGAGGCGACGAGGAGGTCTATGCCTTTGCGGTATGCGAAGCGGGAGATGACGACTATCGTGACTTGTTGACAAGGATGAGCGGGTTAGAGTAGGTATGCAGGACAGAGAGAGAGAGAGGAGAGCGTACTTGTGTCGGAGGTGAGAGGGACGTCTGCGGGTTTGAATTGGGAGGCTACGAGGGCGTTGGGGATGACGTAGACGTGCTCTGGGGGGAGTTTCGAGCGGAGGACGGTGTTTTCCCGTCTGTCAAAGGAGATAAAGTTAGCATGATGGGATGATACATTTCGACGTGCGAGAACGAAGGATACCCAGTATGCGAAACGCAGATCGCAGCGTCCACGTTTCGTAACATACCCTCAAGCAGTTTATTCGTCAATATACTCGCAGCGTCCGAAAATCCAAAGAGACTATGGTCCGTGAACACCGTGCGCGCGCCCATGAGATGAGCCTGCAATATGCCCTCATGTGCGAGCGAAGAGAGGCTAGCGTGGCCGTGGACGAGCTGTATGCGTTCGCGGAGGACGATAGTGCGGAAGTAGGGAAGGAAGGTGAAGAAGTTGGGGAGGGTGGCGGAGGAGGCGATGGTGGGGAACGGGATGTAGTACACCTTGAGCGAGGGCAGCAGGTAGCGCACTCCGACGCGGTCTGGTGGGTGACTGTGGGTTATGACGATCACCTACATAGCGAACGGTTGGTTGGTGTGGCGCAGGGGCGAGGAGGAGGAGGAGACGGACTTTGTGGCCCCGTTGGATGAGGTTTGCGCTGAGCATGTAGATGTGGCTTTCTACGCCGCCCACATTCGGGTGGAAGAAGTCACAAATCATGCTGGAATATATACGTTAATAATGGTCATTTAATGTGCAGAAGAGGTGGCGCTCACGCGATGTTGATGGGATGCATGTCCAAGTGCGGAATTGCGAATTCGACAGACGCGTCGACATTGCGGTTGGCGCGTGATTGTTGGTTGCCCTTTCACGCTCTGAACGCTGTGACGGCCGAATGGACAGACGATGACTCTCTTCATGGCCCTCAACACTCTCGTCGACAGATACGGTCGCTACACCGTCGACATCGCCTCCACCGCCTCCTCCTTCGGCTTCGCCGCTGCCAAAGCAGGCACAAGGCTCGGCGTGCGTCTCTTTCTCTCTCTTCCCCCTCTGGTCCTACTACTACTACTACTACTAACTAACTCGCGCCACAGTTTGGCATCACCCGCGAAATAGCCTCAGGTGCAGCAGGCCTCACCGGCTCCGTCCTCGACTACGCCCTCTTCGGCGGTCGCGCCAACACAGGCGCCACCTTCTCCTCCACCATCGCCTCCGCCATCTCCGCCATCGAACAGCTCACCCTCCTCCCCATCCTCCTCGGCGAATCTCTCACTTCTGCATCCATCGTCGCGGCTTATGGCTCCATCAACGCACTCGCTGCTATATTCCCAGGCTCCGACGAGGCTTCGTTCTCACTCGCTTCGTTCATTACGCTCGTGAGGAAGGAGTGGAACGATCCCGTGCTAGGGGAACATCTGCCCGAGGAGAGGTATGGCGTTGGTGAGGTCGCCCAGGCCTTGGTGGCGTGGGGCGCATTGCAGGGCGTCACGCATGATTGGCAGGTGGCCAAGTGGATGAAGGCGCTGAAGGAGGTCCCGTTCCATGATGAGTCCGAGGAGGGAGGGCAGCACGCGGAAAGGGAGGCGAGAAAGAGGACGGAGAGTAAAGTCAGCGTCATGAGCGACGTTACCTCCGGCTTTGGAGGCCATCAGACACAGATCATCACCGCCGACATCACAGAGGTCGACGAGCTGCAGCCCACCGCCAAGCCCCTCCTCAATTTGAAGCCATTCCCGTCGTTACCGCCACAGAGCCGCACTGGAGGCAAACCGCTCCGTGTGTCCAATAAGGACCTCAAACATACCCTCCGCCGTCTCTCGAAAATGGTCCTCGCAGGCTACGGAGGCGCCTCCCTCCTCTTCTTCGGCGTCTCTCCCGTGCCCAACGCGAACCCCTCCTCCGCACCCACCGACGCCACACACCACCCAGCCGAAGCAGCGACGCTCACACAGGCCGTTGATGCGTCTGAAGTCGAGGCCTCGAAACTCGACGGTGAGGCTTCCATGCCGAGTCCGAGTCCGAGTCCGAGTCCGAGTCCGGCTGGGATATCTGCACCGCAGGCTGGTGCGGGGTATTCGTGGTGGAACGTCTTGTTGGGACGACATGACCGTGAGATCTTCATGGGTTACGCTACCACCGGTCATCCCTCCCCCTCCTCCCCTTCCTCCTCCTCCTCCTCCTCTTCCTCTCCTTCTTCATCTTCTTCTTCGCCTGCTGCTGCTGGTGCTGGTGGTGCTGCTGCCGACGGCGCTCGACCGATGTCAGCGGTCATAGGCGACGAACATCGCATGCCCCGCTTTTGGGTCCTCACCGATCACGCGCGGAGACAGATCGTGCTTGTGTTTAGGGGGACGATGTCGTTGAATGAGTTGGCGGTGGATTTGACGTGTGAGCCGGAGGAGTTTGAGCCGGCGAGGGAGGAGGGGGAGGGGAGGGGGTTTAGTGCTGGTGCTGGGAGTGGTGGGTATGGGTATGGATCGCGGGCGTATCAGCAGAAGGATAGGACGCAGCAGGGAGCGGGAGAGGAGACGGAAGTGGGGGAGGGGGAGGAAACAGAGACGGAAGGGGGAGAGACGGAGACGGAGGAGGATTATATGACGGCGAGAGCGGAGAGCGATGGGGAAGGCATGCCCGGTCTATTCCCCTTCCCCTCCGTCCACGTCTCCGCGTCCTCTCCCACCTCCACCTCCACCTCCCCCACCAGCTCTCGCCGCCAACCCTCAGTAACACACTCCCGCCAACCCTCAGTAACACACTCCCGCCCACCCTCCGTAATCAACTCCCGAATGCGCACCGGCTCTTTCGTCAGTCTCGCCAGTTTCACGACATATACGGATGGTGAGAATGTGAGGCCGAGGTATCAGGTGCATGGGGGGATGTTGAGGATGGCGAGGGCGATGGGAGGGAAGGGAAAGCCGGTGCATGTGGCGGTTAGGGAGGCGTTGAGGCGGAATTTGGGGTTTGGTGAGTTGTTTTTTTGTTGTTTTTCAGCGTGTGAGGGAGGGAGAGGATCCTACTCTTGTTTGGTGGATTGAAGAGGAAGTGGGGGAGGACTTGGTTGCTGATTTGATTTGGTGCGTTGGTGGGTTGTTGGGTTGTAGAGCTGGTGATGTGCGGACATAGTCTCGGCTCGGGCGTCGCTGCGTTATTAGCCATGGTGTGTTCCTTTCTCCGTTCCCTTCTTCAGACTGCCCAATACTTGCTTGCGCTTACGATGACTTCTCATGTTCTGAATGGATGACTAGTCCTGGGCGGATCCGACGACGTGTCTGACCGTCAAAGCGAGCGGTCTGCCCGTCGGGAGACGCGTTTCGGTGTTTTGCTTTGGGCCTGTACGTCTTCCCCCTTAATTTATGTTTCCGTTCTCGTGCTTACTTTTGTCTCTATTCTAGCCGTACGTCGATCTTTTACCCCTCCACTGACCAAAGTTCTTCACCCCTTCACTCATTAAAATCCAACACCCTTTCACCTTTCACCTATCACCTACTAACCATCCCCCGCATACACTACAGATGCCTAACAGACCCCCGCCTCTCCGCGCTCGCCTCCAACCTCGTCACCTCCTTCGTCTACTCCCACGACGTCGTCTCCCGTCTCTCACTCGGTTCCATACGGGACATAACACGCGCCGCCGCCTGGCTCTGCAACGCGAACAACGCGTCCACATCTAGCCTCAACAACGCCAACCCCTCATCCCCTTCCCCATCCAATGCCAATGCCAATACCAATGTGCACCCAAACTCAGACTCAGACTCGGAAGACCCAAGCACAATGAATAGGAACGCAGGATATACCTCGATCACCCGCGCCGCACTGCGGTGGAACACGGGCTTTGGGAGTCCGGAGGATCCGGGGTGGTTCTTGAGTATTAGGAAGACGTTGGAGGCGAATATGATGTGTGGGGAGATGTATCCGCCTGGGAGGGTGTTGTGGGCGGTTAGGGATGGGGATTTGAGGGGGATGGGGGCGGTGGCGGGGATGGGGATGGGGGTGGGTGAACAAGATAAGGGGGTAGGAAGAGGAGGGGCAGGGAAAGGGAAGGGTGGGAAGGGGAAGGATAGGTTGAGGTTGTTTGAGGTGTTGGATGTGGAGAAGGTGTTTTCGCAGATCGTGTTTGCGAGGGATATGTTGAGGTGCGTTTCTCTCTATCTCTCTTTCACTCTCTCTGTCTTTTGGATTTATACCCCTTGGCGTGGCGGAGAGTTTTCGTTGACTTATTTTGGGTTTGGTGATTGATTGTAGCTCGCATTTGCCGCACCAGTATGATCGGGTCTTGGAGGAATTGCTCTAGACTCTAGGCTCTAGCAATTGCAAAGGCCTTCCTAGCTGGTATGATTGATGATTTAATGAGTTAATGATTAATGAGTACTTTATTATTCGCTGTTCTGTCCGTCCTGCATTCCCCATAATTATACGCACGGCTCCATCCATCCATCCATGCACGCACGCACATTTCTCGTCCTCTCACTCACACACTTGCAGCCCCCTCGTCTCGTCATTGTATCATTCGCCTAGGACTCTCTACTCTCGCCCTATCGTGGTGGACCCGTTGTACTTTTGCCCGTTGCCCGTTGCCTATTGACCCTTGCCTCGACATAGATGATAGATATGGATATAGACCGAGACCGAAACCGACTGCTTCGTTGTTGACTTTTACCTGTACATTCCTTTCTTTTCATTGATCATGCACTTGCGCTAGTACTGTTTTATTGGGGTTTCTCGTTGACCATCTGACCGTCCATCGTCGGAGCAGACCAGCTTCGTATTCTCGTTTCATGGGTGTTTGTTACGTTGTCGAGGGATTATCATACCATACCATACCTGCCGTGGTCGTTGCGTTGTAGTTGGTTATAATGTGTGTGGGTTGTGATTTGTGATGTGCGATGTGGTAATTTAGACCGTAGCGTAGCTTATTAGTGTTCGATGGTGTGTTTGTACTGGTACAAGGATCGGAGGGGCGTTTGATATAGATTACATGGCACATGAAGCTGAAGCTGAAGCCGAAAGCCGGAGCGCGACTTTGATTGCGTCTCGGAAAGCATAGAGAAGCGGGAGGGTAAAGTGGGGTGATTTTTGGTGTGGTGTGATGGAGGATGGGTGTGGTGTGATGGAGGATGGGTGCGACAATAGACGAAAGGGAGTGCAAGAACGGGGATGTGGCGGCGAAGGAGGAAGAATGCGGTGTAGGTGAACATCAGTCCTGGTCTGTCTGGTCTCTAGGCCGGTACTTTATCCCTCGGCTTTCGAGCTCTGCTTCGACGTCCTCTGGGACGCGACCTTTCACGCGGACTGCGTACATCCCTCGGACGTATTTCGCTGTATAGTTACAAAAATCGAGTCAGTATCCGTTAAGTATGAATGTATGGCAGGATGTAGTGAGATAAAGACGGGGGGATGTGTAGGAATAGAGGAGCGCAGGAAGGAAAGACGTACATGTCCGCTGCCACCTCGCCACCCAGCTCGTCTCGGGGTCGATCACGGAGATGATGCCGTCGAAATAGGTCGTGGTGCATACTTGGATACGGTCAGGCGAGCCTTTCATCTGCTCTCCCAGTCGCGCATCAAGGACAAGATACGTCCATGAAATATCATAAACCAAATTCGCCGCACGGTGAAGTCGCGTCCCATAGAAACATGTACAACGAGCTCGTTAGCGTCCTCGTTCACGACAGTTTGAGGAAGAAGAGAGGGAAGAGAGAGAGACGCACCTGCATGATCTCCTCACAATTCGGGCATCCTACACGTCGGAAATCGGACGGTGTTTGGATGACGGAGCATAAGAGGCATGCGCGGAGTTGTTTGTGACGCGCTTGAGTCGGGATGGCGGCGGTTCCTGAGGCGGACATTTTGGCTGGAGGAAGAGGTTGGGGGTCTGGTTTTCAAGGCGTGTTTGTAAGAGTGAGAGGGTGAGAGTTGTTGAAGAAGTGGGGATGATATGATGGTGGTGGTTGAGGAGGAAGTTCACGGTTATGTGGCGCTCTTCTTGGACTGGAGTGTGGGAGAAATTGGTTGTGGCAAAGGCTTTGTCAGCAGTTTGAGTTCCTCTTCCACGACCCTTTATTTTTCTCAGTCTTCAAGGGTTGATTTGAGTAGGAGGCTACTACTTGCACGAAGAGTAGCATCGAGAAGAATCCCACTGGCAAAAGAACTGGTCCATAAGTATCAATATATTCACTAAATATTCCACATCCTTCGTTATTATAAATAATATAGACTGTGTGCTTGCATGATATAAAGACATTATAAGCCGCAGTAAAGTAACATTAGAATGTCCAATAAGCAGTCGCCACAAACCTGCACTGGCTTCAAATCAAGGAAAGGGAGTGTGAGTAGATTTCCTACGAACAATAGCAGTACTCGACGAGGCGTCGACCCAGAGCGCAATCCCATGAAGCTTCTCCAATGCGACCATCGCAGTGTTCGTGATGCAGCATCTGTCGAATGTCACTTGTTTGGTCGTGAAGCCTCGTCGGTAGCGCATTTCGAGAGCAGTAGCCAAGACATCGAGATAGCGCACGCCGTCCAGCGGCCCTGTACTGCTGATAACGCGGTCGTGGCCGAGCTCGGTAGGTAGCCCAAATGTAATTGAATGAAAGTGGATGTTGTCTAGCTCCGAGAATAATGCTGGTCCGTTAGGGCTGTCGACAGTCAACAGTGTGTTGGGGAAAACTGCGGGTGCCGTGTCGTGGAAATGCAGGCTCTTGAGTCGGCGCATGTGTTGGAAGGCGTTGACCCAGTGTTGACTCGTAATCAAGGGAGGGATATTGAATAAATGAAGACGCCGGAGTGTTGGGAGATGGATGGTCTGAAAGAACTGAGAGAACGTCGTGATTGTATCCTGTTCTAGCCATGGACCCCGCGCAGCTAGAATCAATGTAAAGGAACTACGCGTGCCGGATTGGAGAGGGATGTCGGAGAAGGAGATGATCTGGTCGTTCGCAGCGAATCGGAACTGGCACAAGGTCCTAGTGAACGAGACGGTAGCAAGGTTTTCGGCCAACATCGCGAATAGAGTGCCGACGTCTCCACCATCAGGAAATGCGTTCAACACAATGACTTGCAGATGTCTAATACTGGGGCAGTCGAGGGGACAGATCACTGCAGCACAGCTGGCGATACTGCCGCGGAAATCGATTTGCTCTAGCTGAGGCATGTTGATTGGAAACCGAGGAGCTTGTAGGCGATTGGCAGCGGGAAAGACATGATGGAGAGTAAGGTCTTCGAGCGATGACATGCTTGAGAGTGCGTCGAGACATTCATCTATTTCTACCGACCAGGACTGGGCATCTGTGAGGTGTGTAGAAGCGACGGGGGAAATGATGCTCAAGCGTCGCAAGTTTGACCCGAAAAGAGGGGATGCCCACGGAACGGCCACCATATGAAGGTCAAGATGTTGTAGGTGAGGAGAAGCGTTTGTCCGCGAGATATGTTCAGGTAAAGTGAGGATGGTCGATGAAGAGCTTTGCATGTCGTCCAAAGTGTGGGATGATCCATTGCAGTACACCACGAGCTCCCGCAGAAGCGAAGGATGGGTCACACAGGCATCGAACACCCTCTGCAACTCCCTAGCTGAACCGCGAAGACAAAGAGACTCGATTCGAGAGTAGTGAGAGGGGATATGGTCCGAAATCCGCGCACGCGCCTCCACACAAAATGAAGCGACATCATATGGCGGGATCGGTTGCCTGTGAATGGAAAGCGGCGCGGTTCTTGCTCTGCGGAGCATCTCGTCGATCCACTTCGAATTGTTCCAGCCAGTGGGATTCGACCAGAGCAAGGAGTTGCCTATCGCACATTCACGCCATCGGTGGCAGACATGGGAGACCGTGACCCAACCCAGCGCGCGAGGACTTGATGAATCGCCATATTCCGAGTTCGAGTCGCCGACCGCCCAGTCGAATGATAGGACCAAGAAGATGTGACACAGGACCTCAGTCGGAAGTCGATTAGCTGGAGAGCATTCGTTATGTCGACGTCTGGAAGACAAAGGCGAATCACCAAGAACGAATTCCGAAAAGGTCCGCCACAAAGCCCGCCGAGTTCGCTCCATTACAAATGGCAATGACGAGACAAAAGCCAACGAGCGATGGCTCGAGCTACCGTTTATGGAGATCAATGAGACCAGTTTCGCAACAATGTGAGAGAAGCGTTAAGACTCACTGAAATCGTGGAGCTGGTACTAAGCTCCTTGAGGATAATGGATGGAGAGTTCGTCTTTGACTACCGCGCTTCCAGCTTTTGAAGACGATCCCTGCGCAGAGCATGAGGAAAACAACAGGGACTTGGCGAGGGAGGAACCATAAAGACGGAGAGAGAGCTAGTGCCTGCCACTGGCTTGCTAGAACAACATCGATAGTATGAGCTACTAGCCCAGCAAGTGTCAAGATGGCGCAATCAACGTCGGAGAGCATGACTGAGGCGCGACTGCGACGATTTGGAGATGTGAAGAGAGCGAAGGAGCGGTTACACGTCAACTTCAAGCTGAAGCGTGATTAGAACTTTCGAAAGGTTATAAAGTGGCGAATAGTGAAGGACAGTGGGGTATCGGAAGTTATCGCAGCTTGGGTGTCGTGCATAACGTCTTTGTGTCACTCACTCGGATAGAAACTTTATAATCCGACACGAGGCGCCTAATCTCGGCGTTCACCGGTGTGGCACTCGAACATGATCCACAGCCCAATGACCACAGCATAAAGCAATGCATATCAATTACTCCACAATGCGAGCAAAAATCGTAACATGAGACACGATAAATAGTAGGCAAAGTGATATAAAAATCGAGTCGACGGATGGTCGGCTACAACGTGCAATGTAAACAGTAGCCTAGCCCAGCGATGTGGCCACATTCCGCAAAGTATACCTCCGGGTTGAGGAGCTGTTCCGTACTAGATAGAACTTGGCAACTAAGTTCGAATTGAAGATACAGATTATCAAGCAGAAGCGATGGGACTAATGTTATACTCACGCGTCATCGTAGCCATAGGACTGGTGGGCAAGGGTGGGAGCGCCGTGAGGCGCAGAAGGGACAGAAGTTGAGCTCGACGGCATAGGGTCATTTAGGAATTGTGATAGATAATCCAAGCTACAGGTAGACGGCGTTCAATGAAATTCGGCTATGAAGAGGTGAACTTACGATGACATGTCTCCCATAGAGGTGGTGGCAAGGGTGTTCGGAGCGACCGATAATCCTCTCAAAGGGTCTACTGAGGTTAAATCGCTGCGTAGTTGAAGTACGTTAGTCACATATGTGATCAGGGAGGTAGTAGCGCTCGTACCTAACTGTTGCGAGCTGAACAGGAACAGTCCCGCTCTCAGTGCCGACTGGCGAGCTGAAGGTCGTTGTTGGACTGAAAGCAGAACGAGAGAGGTCTTCGAGCCTACGGCATGAATCGATTGTTGATTTAGGAAAATGCGGAGTCAGTAAGCATAATTATGGCTGCTCACCATGACATGTCCCCCTCGGCGTTACCTCCAGTAGTATCTGCCAGGGCGGCATAGGGAGCGTCAAGGTCGGTATCCTGATAGGCGCGCACATCCGTCACGGAAAAATGAAGGCCAGGACTGCTATTCATAGAGGGAAATATGAGCCTATTTGCGTAAGTGCATATAGGGACATTTGTACCTTGCACTCGTAAGAGGAGTTGTTTGTATGCCACTCTCTCCAGACGACTCGGAATCTGCAGGAGAGCTAAGGGCAGAACAGCAGTTAGTTAGACCGCATTCATTATATATAGATCTGTCCGGCGTACTCACCTCTGAGATATTGCATGCTCTCCACCCTCCAATTCAAACCGCATCCGTAGCACGTCTTCGCATTCCATCCTCCAGTCGATGAACTTCGACCACAACGTCATACTAAGATCCTTCGTAATCGCACCCTCCTTCTCGAGCGCTCCAAGGTTCTTGAGTTTAGCTCGAACGAGTGGGTCGGAGGATTTAATGTAGTCACGAAAGCTGCGAGCACGTTTTCTAGTAGTCGATGACGAGGAAGGGGATGATGCAGCTGGGGTCGTTATCTTGACAACACGACGGCTGGGCCTGCGACGAGGCGAGATGGGTATGCCGAGCACGCGCTTTGTGTGGTTGTTGATATACTTCTTGACCCTCTGATGTAGAGAATGAGGTAGTTTAATTAGCACAGATCAGCTTGGTAGATAGTAACGTTTTCCGACAACAAGAGCTGATACTTACCTTGGCGGTCATCCTTCCGTCCTCTCCAATAATCCCTACGCCCTCCTGATGACGAAGCTTCGCCATGAATTCTTCAACGACAATTTTGATCCATGCTTGACGTGCAGACCCGTCATTAACGTCCGGCCCCTTCAAGATCTTGTCGTCCAGCCAATTACGTCCGGCGACGCTCATGAAGCAGCGTGTACCAACCATCTATCAATCAATGGATGAGTAGGGTGTGATAGCCTTGGTCAAACCAACCATGAACGGACCAGAAACTATTGGATCACTATCCGTGAAGAATGATGTTGAAAGGGTGAGAAGGGGGTGGCAATACCTAGACCGAGCTAGAGGAGGAAGAGATGAAACCAACTCAGAAGAGAAAGGTGGCGAAACAAAGTATTACAAGGACCCACCTCTATATAGATCCTCTACGGGGGCGCAAACGCGACCATGCAAGTTTAGCTCAACATCCTTGACTACGCACTTCTGACGCGACCACCACAAGATAGCTGTAAGGACAGCAGAGAACCGGAGATTGAAGGACGGAGGGAACTGGCAGAACGGATCTGTGAGTTGGAGCTGTTGATCTTCAGATGAGATCAATGAACCTACTACCAACCCTTTCCTGTCCTGCCGATCTAGACGACAGTCGAGCCAACTAGTCGCCCATAGGTATCATTGGGTGAGGCGCCGGATACCAGGATCGGCCAAGAGACATACATATACAAGTCGGTGATGCATGCCTCGGAGTAAGTGCCGCTGTAAAGCTTTGACTACGCACCCCAGACGCGTTCGCAGAACGGCACAGCTATAGAAAAGGGAGCGAAGAGTAGCTGTGATCTATGCTTCACATCCCAAAAGGAATATAGATAGCCGGCGCCGTTCAATGACAAGAGAGGGCTCGACGATGCCGTGGTGCGCTCACGGGATTCAAGATCCACGCAGAGAGTGCTCCAGGTAATCAAGAGATTAGAATGCTCCTGGATGGGTAGATGTGTTCATCGCCAGCGCCGGATAAGGACGAATAGTCGAAGAAAGTAGTCGTCCGCAAGGCAGCTTGGGGCGGGACGGGGAACATAGAGATTGAGGAAGAGTAAGCTTAAAACGTGAATGTTCTAAAACGGAACAGTCGGACGCTTCATAGCGTGCTGGAGACGAAGTCGTTGGCAGCATCTAACAGACGTTACAAGAGATCTGGTCCCCATTCTGCCAAACAGTCGACACACCTAGTTGATATCTCTGGCAGGGCCATCCTGCCGGAAATAGTTTTAGATAGAGAGCTGGACACGGCATTCTTCCTTGATGTCACTCGAGCTTGTGTTGGAGGGAAGGCACGAAGCAGTGACTCTCGGGGATCGGCCGCCTCGCAGCGCACGCGTACTTGGGTCACGGCGCCTGGGTGGTACGAGTTGTTGTCCGTTTATGGGTAACAGTCGCTGCTCCTAGTCGATACGCGTCTAGATATGTTGGAGGAGGGGCTTATGCAACAGGACAGCACGCCTGGACTCATGTCGAGGAATCAAAGCCCGCGCCATCGAGCGGAGCCCTCATTCGCGAGGGAAAGTCCGACGAGCTTTGAGGCCGATACAGTATCCCACGATGCCTGCTCGTTTGTAGGCGTAGTCGGTAGATCTAGTCAAGCGCCATCTGTGGGGCTGGGGCATAGGCCTGCGCGTAGTATTTACAGCTCTTTTCAAGTTTGCACGAGCTTCGTGTTCGAGTTGAAGTCGCCGTGAGAATTTTCATTCTCCGCAACTCCGACTCCTCTCGAGACTCGGTTCAGACTGGTAAATGTTGTAAATGCTCTCAATCTCTAACTTTGGAGTTGAAGTTATGAATATCAGGTGTGACTTGACTATATGGGTATGCCACTGGCTACTGCGCTCGCCTGAGGCATATATATATATTCCTGGTTTGCAGTAGAGCTTGCGCTGGCACACCGAACCAGTTACCTCCGAGTCCCTTTTCTTTTCTGATCGCTGGTGGTTTTTTGTTTAGACGGATACCGAAGCCTTCGAGTTTGGCTTCGATGATCTTTTTGTCGCCGAGGGGTTTTAGAACGTCGAGAACTATGAGGATGAGATTGCAGGTGCGGGCGACTGGGGTTCAGTGTGTCTTGGGACTCTTGGCAGCACAAGTTCTCATGGGTTGTTTTGCCAGGCCGCAATGTCCGAGCAGTACAGAACGCAAAAGAGCAGGCCCGATCATTCACGATGGAAAAGCAGTTGCCAAAAGGATATAGCGTCTACCACACAGCATTCCGCCACAGCCGACCAGAAATCAGCCAATCGAAAAAAAGATCGGGACTCCGCCCGACCTGAACTGGGACGACGGTAGTGGGACATCGAATGCTATCATTTCACTCTCCGACCGTCCCCGCGATCACAGAACCGTGTACGCCCTGTGCGATTCCAATTAGCGCTCCCTCCACCAGCCTCGGGAAAAAGAGAAATATCTCACCCAAGAAACGCCCAGCCCAAACATGACCCATCCGAGCAAGATAATCCCCATCCCTACCGCAGGTGCCACAACAGAGACCAACATCTTGCTCGCCCTCTTCGGCGCCTTCAACACCTTCTCCTTCTCCTCCCAACTCAACTCATCGCCGTCTCCGTCCTCGCCGATCACTTCGCCCCTCAGGCTCGAAGCGTTCGCCATGCCCTTACTCCACATCCTGTCGACCTCCGCCTTCTTGTAGGCGGGCGTGATCTGGCTGAGCGTCGAGGCCGGGAGGAGGTTGGTGAAGTGCGAGAGGAAGACCATGAGGCCGGAGAAGAAGACGGAGACGAAGGCGTAGGCGAGCCAGAGGGAGACGGCGGGGTCGAGGGAGTTGGTCGGGGAGAGGTCTTGGAGTCTGCCAGCGGCGGTGGTGATGATGACGATGGAAGCTTGAACGACGGATTCTGTATGGAGACGAAAATGAACAGATGAGAGGTCAGATATGTGAGGAAAGAGAGGGAAAAGGGGGTGATTGTACTTTTGATAGCGAATCTAACGAGAGAAATGGGGAGTAGTTAGCACGATCATAGGAAGCGAAAGGTGGGGAGAGATAACCCACCCTGTGGCAAAGTACGCGGGATCAGGAATGATAGAGCGGACAATCTCGACTTGTGGCGCGGGGGTTACAGCCTGGGACAGAGCGTAGAACACATACGCAGCCACTGACAGACAACGCAAAACGTTAGACACCTGTATAACAGTAGATAGTGATGTAACTCACCGAACGTAGGCACAGTGTGCGAGAACTTGAGGAGCAACATCGAGATGAGGAATGTGACACCAGACGCGAGCACTATCGACAGACACGCAGTCCAATATCAACAAATGTCGGCATCACGATAATAATGTAGAGACTTACGGAAAGAAACACGGTGACCGTACATGTCGATGAAGATGCCGAGGAAGGGTGTCAATCCTGCCGGAAGGAGGAGGTAGAAACTAGAGACCCATCCACCGATAACGGCTCCCTTCTTCAACCTCTGTTGTGCAAATTGTCTATACAGTGATACACGTCAGAAGGGCTATCCCAAATATGATGAGAAGGGAATGAAGAAACTCACGTCGAGATCGACACAAAACTCTGCACGCCCGCATTCTCGAACACCGCGAACGCCACGACCAACCAAAAGCTCATCGGCAAACTCCTGATCGCCTTCAACTTGAAAACGCCCGCCTTCATGCTGATATTCTCGTTCGTGCTCTTCACGTGTCGCTTGCCGGACGTGTGGTCCGTCACCTCGTACTTGTCGCGGAGGTAGCGGTCGAGGAGGACGAGCGAGACGGCGCAGAGGAGGGAGAAGAGGGCGATGATGGACGAGATCCAGAGCGTCCAGGCGTAGGTGCCGAGGGAGGTGGAGATAATGTTGGCGGTGGACTGTCCGGCAAATTGGGCGAGGTTGGCGACGGACCTGAATACGATTCTCAGTATTTTGGAGTTTTATTATTCCACTGAAATCTGGCGCACTCACCAAATCGCACCAATCGAAAATGCGAAGCCCTTTCCAGGTGCGAAGTATGTCGAAAAGATCCTGTGCTGCGCGTTATCCAGGGAGCCGTCTCCGACAGCGGCGAGGACTTTGCCGACGATGAGGAGCGGGTAGCTGTTGAGTCCGTTGGTCGCTGCGCCGGCCATGACGATGGAGCCTGCAAGATGGAAGGCCGCAAGAACGACGGAGAGGGAGGCACCACCGTATTTGTCGATGCAGTAGCCGAGCGCAATGCAGAGGAAGGTGTTCATCTAGTTTAGAGGAAAAGGAGGAGTGGAATTCATCAGCGTTGTGAGAGAAACCGAGAGGAAGAAGATAGGGGAGTATGTATGGGGAGAGCCTTACGAGATTGGTGACAGCGACCTGGAAGAGACGATGATATGAATTAGACTTCTGAACAGTGGAGTTCTGAGGCAAGGATGAGTGATAGGGAGACGTACCAGAGTGGCGAACTCGGAGTTGTTAATCTTGAGGTTGCTGATGATCGTAGTCTTGAGTGCACTGCGATTTGCACGACACGTTTAGCATGGCATCCTGCATCATTTCATAACAACATAAAGAACTTACACAATGAGAGCCTATTCTCCAAACAATGTTATGATCAGTGGTCTGCGTCACACATCAAGCTTCAAGAGCCAAAGAACGCATACGTTCGACCAATGGTTCCCAACTAATAAACATGAACCAATGTCAGCACATAATACACTACATCGTGTGTCACTAGACCATGACGGGACCACAATGACTCACAAGCACAAAGACAGGTCAAGATTATCATCACCCCGCGCCATGCGATCGGCAATGGCTTCCTACCGCCAGAAAGTCCTCCATAGCCCAGAGACCTCTCGCTACCGACGACCGAACCGGTCCCCGGACGGCCTTCGAGCGAGGACTTCTCTTTCTCCTCGACGGGTGTCGTTGCGACCTTTTCGGATTGTTTGACAGTCGACATTGTCGTCTGCACAACTAGTCAAAGATTGGACGAGAGAGTATGGACAGAAGAGCAGAGGGCCACAGGACGCGACGAAAAAGTCAAACGCGCAACGACTGGGGGCACAAGGGAACCGCCTTCTCTTGCGCTGCTCACATCCTTTTATCAGATAATCGAGGGTGTGCGTCTATCTTTTCGGATGCAGACCCGGCAAGGATCTTTCTAAAAACAAGAGAGGAAAGGGACCAGGAGGGGGGTGATCGGCATTTGCGGCAGGCCTGTCATTCGTGCGCGGGGTGGCGTTGGGTGTAGACGTAGGGACTGGATATGGGAGGAGGATGGACGAGGGGAGTAAGCGGTGGGAAGGCGTCTCACAATCTGATAATCACGTCGTGGACCGGTATGATAAGCCGTGGGAGGAATGAGAGCTGATGAGAGATGGAGGTCAGCAAGGGAAGAATGGAGTGAGAGGGGTGGGTATTTACGCCTTTTTACGGAGTAAATGTGAACAGAAGAGAGCAGGCTGCTTGAAGGAGGGTGGCGAGACAGCTGAACGAGAGCGAGGTGAGAAGAAATATGTTCGGGGACGGGTAGGGCGAAGGCGAAGGAGGGTAGATGATGACGCGGGGTAAGGGCAGATGAAGGGATCGACGCACTGGTTCTATGGATCAGGTGGAGCCAAGCGTGCTCTGCGGGAAAGAAAGGGTGATTAGGCTTGAGCAGGTGCATTTTCGTGACAAATTTTGCCCACATTCGACATCGCGCTTTTGAGTGGCAAGGATGGGAGGATGTCCAATACTTGACGGTCCGGCGCAACATAAAATATGATAATACAAATGGAAGGCACGCCAGCTATAAGAATAGGTACAAGACCCTGCAAGGCCGCAAGCTTGCCAGTGAACGTTATTTATAACGCACCAGGAATAGCACTCGACCTGGGGTAAACGGCAGGAGAACAAGGACGTGCGCAAGGCGGATTGACGGCTCAGCGAAGAAGTCGGTGCTTTGATCATGCGTCATTGTGGAAAGATTGTCGCGGCCGCGCTAAAAGAACCTTGGGAGCGTCCGTCCGTCTGCGACGACGAAAGTCGGGAGTCGTAGAGTAGTCGCAGATTGCGTAGAAATAGGTCGGCTGGCTGTCGAAGCCGTCAAATATAGTCGAAAGAAGTTCTTCTGCGCTAGACAGTGATTCTGACGTAGGCGTTGTGGACCAAGCAGAACACGTCCAAAACGGGTCCATGCAAATAGGCAGTGTCAAGAGACAGATGTACGCAATTCGTATTCTTCAATCAGAGAATCCCGGTCAGCACTGTCGCTAGGGTGCGATATTCTATCACGGAGTTTTTGCCAGACTCGAAGGGACTCACAGACCGTGCAGCAGTACAGAAGAGTAAAACTATGTGTCCCAGGGTGGACGCAGAGCACATTCGAGTCATGGCAATTAAGCATAAATTATGTGTGGTGGCAAAGAATTGAAATGTCGTGGTCGCGTGCGAGGATGACGAGAATCAACTCTCATCTGATGCCCCTCCACCCATTTCCTGCACTTCCAACAACATACACGAAACTACGCAGCAAATTCAGTCGCTGCTGAGATGCAGGACATTCACTGGCCGGTAGAGGCTTGACAGATTGACCATAGGCTATTTACCGCGGAACACTTGGCTGAGTGGACGGAGGACGCGTCATCTTCTGGAGATGCTCGGAAACGGAGGTAGGGGGAAGAGCAACGGACTCGGCATAGGTTGCTAGTTCCGCTCGAGCTGACAGAAAAGCATGCGTGACGAAGGTAAGCAAGACACGTTGGGGTACAGGCTGCGGTATGGTAACGTTTGCGTGCACATTGCCGCGAATTGACGGTCTGTGACTTGTTGTTTCAGGCCGTAGGTTTTCTATATAGCATCGATTTCAGCATGGTAAAGCGAGGACATACGAACTCTTGTCAGAAGAAATATGCATGGTGCGGATACGGGTTTAACATGAGTGGAGAAGCTGATGATGAGTCGAGTGGAGGGACGAGGGAGGCATGCGTCGGGCGGAGCGGGAGTGAGACACGTGTGTGGCGGGACGTGACCGATGTGACGGCGCGCCCCCACGCGTTTTCGGTTCTGGCGCTCGCTACTGGTCGTCGACATCTCGCTCCCTCCGCTCGTCACTCGCCACGACTTAGACCACAGCCAGCTCACTCTCTCCCCCGACGTACCATGCTCGCTCTGGCCCATCCCGTACAGCACGATCACCCAAATATTCATAGTCCCCCAGTGCCCCAGCAGCCGCAGAGACAGCAGCCGCCATCGTCCAGGAGATCCTCCTCGTCCGCTTCATCTTCTACCTCAGCTTCACGTCCATCCCAGCCCAACGTGGCGTCCTCGTCCTCCACCCACCCTTCACTGTCGTCCTCGTCGTCCTCTCATGCTGCGTCATCTGCCGCCTCGTTGTCCTCTGCATCATCCTCTACACCCCATGCCACGCAAAGGACTGACCACAGACCACATCCGACGTCCGCTTCGGGTCAACCACCACCGGAGAGCTCGAGACCGTCGGTCGATATTCACCAATATCCCGCCCAGGATCTCCTTCGTCTGCTTGCATCTCTCCTCACTCAGATCGCCGCCGCAAACGACAACCTTCCGTCCGAATCTCCATCTCATTCCCACTCTTCCCATCATACCTATCCAAACCTTCCAGAGCTCCAGCAGCGGCCTATCTGGCGTTCTCTCACAAATGCTTCCCGCAATGCACTCGCCACCCCTTCATCCTCATTGTCCTTCCATGCCCGCAACGTCCCCACAATCTCCCTTGAAGCATACCTTCTCCGTATTCTTAAATATTGTCCCACAACGAATCAAGTATTTCTCTCCCTCCTCGTATACTTTGACAGGATGGCACGGATAGCAACTGAGGCAACTGGGAGGTCCTTTGTTATCGACTCGTACAATATCCACAGGCTGGTCATCGCCGGAGTCACCGTCGCGAGCAAGTTCTTCAGTGATGTATTTTACACCAATTCTCGGTACGCTAAGGTATGTCCATATGTCTTTTGCTAATTATCCTCGTTTGTCGGGTCGCACAATTGCTGCACTTGCCGAAAAAAACTCGGTGCACGTGTTCCATATGTGAACATCCATGCCCATCTCGCGTTAGCACGTGTGAAGCGCGTTCAACAAACGCTTCTCCATATGTGCAACCCTTGTCGTCCCCTTTTGGCTCCTTCTCCGCAAATCGGTATCGCCGTAAAATGACTTCCACTGAATTATATCTCTTCGAATAGGTTGGAGGTCTCCCACAAGCCGAGCTCAACCAACTTGAACTCCAATTCCTGCTCTTAAACGACTTCCGCCTCATGATCTCTGATCACGAAATGCAACACTACGCGGATCAGCTCATCCTCTTCTCCCAAACCCACTCTATACCGCCCTCGCCCTCCTCGAACCCTATCGCCCTTGCCGGTTCTGCTCCCGGCACTCCTTCCGCACCACAACCCTCACCCCTGAGCCCCCATCCACATTCGTCATTTGTACCGGGTGGACTGTCGGCACCAGCACATGCTTTGGGAGCTTTCGATGCTTATGGCCCTGGTGGGCGATTTGAGCATGGACATCCCAGCGGTAGTTCTCACTCGGAAGTCAACTCCACACACCACGCCCACACAAATCACCATCCTCATCCCCACTCAACGCCCTCGCATCACTCATCCGCTCACCCGTCTTCTTCCTCCCGCACTCCTTCTGCTTCCGCTACCCCTGGACCAGGCCCTTCGCCCGTGGACGCCATCCCTTCATCCTCTGAGAACGCTCGTACCCCTTCATTCCATGCTTCCCGCTCCACAACCTCGCTCGTGAGTCTTAGCTCTGATGTGACGGACGGTACGGATACGGATACGACGGAGATGACGGAGACGGATCGGGAGACTGATTTTGGGAGTACGGATGATGAGCCGACTATCAGAGCCAACGGAAGTGTGGTCGGAGGGGGCAGGCGAGGCGACGACGACGACGATGACGACGACGACGACGACACGGAGGAGGAGGACGAGGATGGGGAAGGGGGCGGTGGATTGTTTATTACAAGGAGAGGGACGGCGGAGGCTTTAGACGGCCGTGGGGGTGGGACACGGGTAGGCACTGTGGCGGAAGGATTCAAGGGAAGGAGAGCGGCGGGAGATGTGAGGATGGCGAGTCCGTAGAGCGCTTGCGTGCTTTGGAGATCGAGGGATGTTGCTGTCGATGCTTGATCGTGCTTTGTCATGAATGGATGGGCGGATTTCTTTTTGTTCGTTTCGTTTGAATTTGGGCCGCTCGGCCTGCTCGATTTTAATTGACGGTTTTGATCGCTGGTGTTCTGCTGAAGGTCCATACTTACACATGTCGAGTCATCTCATTCTCTTCGTCGCAGCTTCGTCAGTGGTTCTTCGTTCTCGTGTCTACTTATAAATACTTTCGTTGTTAACCGTTCAATGTTTTTGACTGGCTCCTTGCGCGCTTCTCTTCTTTGATCCATTGATCCGTCCATCGTCGATTATCAGTGGTATTTGTTCGGCTCCAAGTCTCAATCTCCGTCTTCGGCTCTTTCTCAAGTTTCAGTTTCTCCTCATCTCCTCATTGTCATTCTCACGTCCCATCATACTCTCCAAACTCTTACACCTACACGTACATTTACAAGATACAATTACGGATCGGTCTTATGGTTCTCTTTCAACCCCTAATGCGAGCGCGCGCTTCCGAGACTCAGCGAATGGCTGATATTATTACAGGGAGTGGTACTTACACGTATATATATGTGACTTATATGGGTCATGGCATGATACTGAGGTCGATGGTGGCAGGAACTTGTCTAATTTGAGGTGAGGATCGAAAAGGGTTCTCGCCGTGATTCTACTGATGCGGCGTCGACGAACCAGGACGCGGAGAGGTTCGCGGAGAATGAACTTTCTACTTAGCGGCGACTCTGAATCGGATGCGCGACAAGTGCGTGGCCCGTAGCCGTTCAACTTTCTCTCCTATTGTATGTGTCATGGATGTCTTGGGCTTCCGGCAAGTTGTATGGTACTTGACTTGGGTTCTCCGTCTCGCTGGTGTTCATGTCTTGTTCTCGCACCTCCTGCAGCTGGCCGGCATGCGGGAACTTTATGGTTGTCACCAAATTTAAAATTAACTCTGGCACACCGTGACAGGCCCCCTTTGATGGTCATCCATAGTCTGGTTAGAACAGGTAGCCTTGACCGGTACTTAGTCAGAACAGTCTCTTCGTCCGTGTCTTGCGCATCATCTTCGGATGGCCTTCGAGCTCAGCATCAGGATGATCAAATGCATGAATCTGGTGGAAATAATGCCGACTGTCTGCGATGCTTTATGACATCAATATCCTATTATACCCCTAATATGTCCGTTCAATTCGCTTTGAGGAAGCCCCACTCCATCGTCTGTCGGAATTCGAGGGTGGCACATTACTGCCAAGATCTTTTGCCAGATGCCGGACAGAAGAAGCAGCTTTGCATTTTCTGAAGCTAAAGGGTCCTTATGCTTTGAACACTACAATAAAAAAAAACGTCCATCTTACAATCGAGAAGCATATAAGTACTGTACACGTCCTCCTCCGTGATCAAGCAAGAACGCCACTTGCGCCACACGACGGCAATCGCCGCGAGCGCGTCAAATGCTTTTGTTTTCCACTTCGACGCAACTTCGACTGTCTCCATGGTCGTGTCCCTCGTGCCCCCCTTGATCAATGGCCCCACCCCAAGGATACTCGGGAGACGTCGACGTCGTACCTATATCTCCACAATGGGTTTCTCCTTTTGTTGGCTACTTATATTTGACCGGTTCAAGTTCATTTTCTGTCCATTGACATGGGCAAGGCACGCAAAATCATACAATTCAACCCAGCTTACGAAACACGGCGAGTACTTTGTTATCTCCTGCTCGATTGCGCTTTGGGCACCCTTGCAGAATGGTACCGAAGGCTATTGTTCGAAGAAGTTGGCGGTAGCGCTGGAGGTTGTGCCCCGTCGACGTCGCGTACGTGCCCAACTCATCCGAGCTTTCCTTCTCTGTGATCGCAACAGCCTGGATACCGACTGAGAAATGCGGAGAAGTAATGCCGGAGACCCTGCAACGCATCCGACGCCTCAGCGTGGACTCGGTCGGAATGCCCGTCCTCATGATATCTGAAACCGGGTTTGCCGCTCGCTCGCTCAATGTTGTTGTAGCAAGCAAGCTCACCGTGCGTCCTAAACCTTGCTTTATAGGGTCTTACCTTTATCCCAAAGACAAAGCACTTGAGCTCGTTTCCGGACGAGCAGTACCAGTGGACTTGTCGTGAATGGTACGAGAGACCGGTATCTTGTGCGGTGATATCACTTCTGGACTTCTGGACTGATTTCTAGCGGAAGCGAAGTGGCAACCGTCTTGCCCCTTGGCACCGGGGGCCATATACGCATTCATGGCTGTGTATGGGTTGTGAAGCTTTGAAGCTTGTGAAGGTCTTATTAGACTGCGGTCCTTTTGGCAGGAACAGGCACTCTGCTCCTTTCACAGAGGAACTGCGATGGTGCGGGATAACGATGTGTAGAACTTACACCTCTACAAGTATCCTATGTTCGATGCTGAACCTCCGGAGACTGACATCCTCGAAGCGCAACCGATGGATAATAGTCGTCCAACTTTTCCGCCGGAGCAGCACGCACCCCGTAAGACTGTGCAACTGTAAATTGCTTGTGACCCTTCAGCCGATGCTTCTGGCCAGCAGCGTCCAGGCATCGGGACCAGGTGGGCCCGAATGCAGTAATAATTCATCAATCGCCGTCGTTCGACTCAGAAATGCCACCAATCAGAACGTTCATCCGGTGATCAGGGCCCGCAAGAAGCATCGGCTATTATGGTTGATCTGCAGACGGAAGGTTACGAACGAGGAGAAGCGCGTTGTCGTTATACCAACATCTGCCATAATATCGTATCCTGAATTTATTTCCTTCCTTTCTTTCTTCCAGAATGACACGTATGTGGGAGCAGTGCGGACAGCCCTGATGTAAAAGGGACCACTGGGGCGCACAAAACCCTATAAATTGGCCCGCGTTGTGCTACATGACACCGCAGCCCGTTCTACTCCCCTTTCGATTTGTCTCTTTTGTTTGCATTGGCACTGGTGCCCGATAGCTACTTTGTTCACTCCGAAAGTCCATCTGTCTGTTCTTGTTCGAACAACATTCCCTAAAACTATAAATACTCTGGTACGTTCGTTTCTCGAACCCTCACCTTTTCCCATCTCACCCAAGCTGTCTCCACCTTCGTCTCCAAAGGACCGTGTCACCACCCCTATAATTACCATGTCTCCCAACACCACCAAGCCCCATATCGTTCTCCTCAGCCTCGAGCACGAGACTTTCCACGACTCGGCTCTTGCCCCTATCGTTGCCGCCATCGAAGCCAAGGCCCACATCGTCCATGCCAAAAACAACCTGGCCGCTCTCGAGGCCATCGCTCGTAACCCCAAGGGTATTCTCGTCACCGACGCCGGAGTTGAGCGTGCTGAGGCCGCTCGCGTTCTCGCCGCTCTTGTTCAGTACACCCGGAATGGCGGTTCGTGGCTTATTTCCTCTTGAATGTTCGTTGAACGACTATACTCACACTCTTACGCTGTTTAGGTACCGTCGTATTTGCTGGCCAGTTCAGCAGCAACATCTCTTCGGTCGAGCTCGATACCTTCTTCCGCCCATGGGGTCTCAACTGGAGCTGCGGTTCCTACACCCGCTCTACCCACCATCTCAGCCCTCGCAGGGCTGAGAGGCTTCATGGCAACGACAAGCTTTCCTACGAGTACACCATGAAGGCCGTCAACCTCAAGGTTCCTTTCGACCACCACGTCTTCTACGGTGCCAAGGACGAGTGGGATGAGGCGCCTGCCGTCTACGCTCGCGTTGACGAAGGTTGGGTGGGCTATCTCGGCGACGTCAACAGCGAAGAGCCTTCCGTCGAGGTTATTCTCTCCATGTTGAACCTGATTCACGAGGTAAGTGTCCTTTTTTCCTCTGGTCCAGCCACCATCCATACCATGTTCCATGCTATATTGTATACTCATGTGGCTTGTTCTTCCGTTCGTCAGCACGTTCAGAACAAGCCCCACGTCGTCATCCTCAGCCTCGAGCATGAAGATTTCCACGACGCCGTCTTGGCCAACCTTCGCGTCGCCCTTGAGCGCCACTCGCACGTCTCTCACATCAAGCACCACTCCACTGCTGTTGACGCCATTGCCCGCAACCCCAAGGCTATTCTCGTCACCGACGCCGGCATCAAGCGCCGCGAGCACTCCCACGTTCACGCCAAGCTCGTTGAGTACACCAAGTGGGGTGGAATCGTCGTTTTCGGTGGACAATTCAGCAGCAATGTTTCCCCCGTTGAGCTCGACAAGTTCTTCACTGCCTGGAATTTGGACTGGAGCTGTGGCTCTTACCGCCGCTTGTTGTACAACTTGAACCCGGCTCGCTACGAGAAGCTCAAGGGCAACGACAAGCTGGCTTTCGAGTACAGCGTCAAGGCCCTCAACGTCAGGGTCAACAACTCCGCCCACGCCTTCTACGGTCCCTCTGCCGACAGCGGTTCAGTTACTCCCTCGACCGTCAGCGACTGCACCCACCGCTCCGCAGTCGGCGACGACGAGGCCCCAGCTGCGTACGCCAAGGTCGGTGACGGTTGGGTCGGCTACCTCGGCGATGTCAACTCCGAGGATGCCTCCGTTGAGATCGTTTTGTCCATGCTTGGTTTGCCCGAGGTACGTCCTCTTGTTCTTCTCCCACTTTGTTCGATTTACTGAGATGATACATTTGCTAGGTCTACCACAGGCCCCCTGTCCTCGTCATCAGCCTCGACTGGTGTGCCGAGCACTCATCTTCCCTGGCGCACGTTATGGCCGGCCTCGAGAAGAAAGCGATCATCACTCACGTCAAGGACAAGGCTTCTGCCCTTTCCGCCATCGACAACTCCAAGTTCGACGCGATCTTCGTTACCGACGCCGGTATCGAGCACATCGAGGCCGTCAAGGTCCTCGCCTCCCTCGTCGAGTACGCTCTCCATGGCGGTCTCGTTGTCTTCGGTGGCCAGTTCGCCTCCCAGGTCTCCGCCGTCGAGCTCGACACCTTCTTCCGTCGTCCTTGGGGTCTCTCATGGACCTGCGGCTCCTACTCCCGCATTGTCAGTACCTTGAACCCACGCCGTGCTGACATCCTCAAGTCCGGCGACAACGAGAGGCTCACGTTGTCCTACGGCATGAAGGCGTTGCAGATCAGGGTGTCCTCCGCCGAGGATGTCTTCTACGGTGTCGCGGATACCAAGGCTCCTGTCAAGCCCTTCACTGCACCACCAGTCCTCGATTACGAGGAGGCTCCGGTTGTGTTCTCAAGGATCGGGAAGGGTGGTGTAGGATATGTTGGGGACGTCAACAGCGAGGATTGCTCGACGGAGGTTGTGTTGAAGTTGCTCGGGCTTGACCGTTGCGTCTTTTGAAACTCACGATCGATCGACCTCTTTCCTTTCTCATATTCATGACAAAAGTGTGGCGATTTCTACTTCTTTGATAACGGGCTGGAAATCACTCATTGGCAATGTTGGGGCACGTTGTCGGTGAAGAAGGCCATGTCTCTGTTCAATATCATCACCGTAATTACTTGCACCTATGTTCCCCTGCTCTCATGACCCCTCTATGGCAATGCATTTTTTCATGTCTCGTATATACATTGTGTGTGACTGAGCTTGCGTGGAAATTCTTTCCAGTCAGACTGTAAGTTCTTCAAGAGTTCTCATTGCGAGTGTCGAGTCTCGGCAGGTCTCGGCGTTCTCCGTTACGTGGGCTGAACGGTTAGTAAGTAACTTACAACACTTTCTGTTCCTGCACATCCTCGTCGACATGCCTCCGCTCCGAATGCACCGTTAGAGTTTATACCTGATAACACGGGAGGCGCGGGACATCGAGTTGTTCTAAACTACTTTGCTTGACTATGATCACTAGATTGGGCATCGCGCACGCCCCTGTACACGTCCGAGCCTGTCCCAGCGCCGAACTGTTGATGCCATCTTCATGAACAGAACAATGACCGAGGCACCTTCGCCGACAGACCCTCGCGACATTATAGACTAGTTTCATTGACTGATACTCCAATTGGGTGGTCTCCATGTTGCTCTAGCTCCGTCGTATTCGTTCGCGCCGCAAACGAAATCTGTCCGAGGACTAAGGTATGTGGCGCTCGAAGAATGGACTCTTTCTTCTTTGCAGTACAGGTATGCGAGCTAAACTGGAATGGTTTCCTACAGTGTTCGACTATGTCCGTGTTTGAAGCCTTGGTGAGCCGCTTTGTTGAATGTCCATGATGCAATGATCGTACAAAGCCTTCCTGTAGCTCTCATTACATCAGCAGCTGTCCGTTCCCGCCTTCTTTCTCACCAACTTCTTCAGCGATCTCTTGGACAGTCGAACCTAGTATGTGCTAGTGTGGCCGACTATACATTCGAAATCTCCGTTTTCAACACTCACGTCTCGGTGCGTCGGCGATCTGGTCTTGAACGCGGAGCTCTCTTCTTCATGTCTAGTTTTGCCGTCTTCAGCCCGCTGTACGCTCCCATGAGGTGCTGAGGATAGCTATGACCATCACGAAGTGCCTCTGTACCGTGTACAGTATATAAGCCTGTAGGTCCTTGATTTACTCTACGTACCAACCCTCTTTCTCGAACCACACCTCAATACTTACTTCTCAATCACTCTTAGAACTAGATGGCGTTCAAAATGCCCACGGTATGTCTCTATGATCCTACCTATCTTTGCCTATCTCGATACCGACTGCCACGTCGAAGGACAAGGAAGTCCGCCGACAGCGCATGAAGCCCGACGAGAGGACATGGCTCGATGATTGCATCCGCAACGGGCCTTCCTCGAATGACGGGTCCGCCCGCTCAGCTTGGAAACGGGTTACCGTCGACGCTTTCCTATCCCAGTTCATGTCTCCGGATGATGGCCACTGCGATGATCGTAGGAAGAGAATGACAAAGGTGCCCCACTGTCCTTTCGTCATGTCCTTGTGTTACATCGCTCGGTTCCATCCTGACCATCCGCACGTCTACTCGCCCACTCTTTTCGGTCTGAACAGAGAGTCAACGAGTACATCAAGAATCACACACACCGTGTTCTCGGAATTCATGCTCAGCCACGCCGTACCGTTAAACGCCCAATAGTTCCATCTTCACCGACACCATCTCTTTCTTCGAGCTCCTTGGACAAGCGTCGTGCCCGTAGCTTCCGGGACATATTTGTATCCTCTGATCCGCATGTTCAGAGCCGTGCAAAGGTCCTTGGAAGGCTCGTCAAGGACGGCGCTATCTCGAGGAGTCTCAGTCTCTCGTTGTGGGCTAAGTTTATCAACTGGAGGATGGAGGGAGACGACGTTTTGAAGATGAGGGATGCATGGGAACGTGGAGAGTTGGAGACGGAGCAGATGTATGTGCTCAGGGATCCCCTCTCTTCTGCTCTCTGATCATTATTGCTGTTTAGTTCCGCGATGTTGGCACGTCCTGCCGCCGGAGAGGACACAGGAAGAGGTTCTACTGATTCGACTTCAAGGTGAGCAACTACATTGATACATATTACTCTATCATGCGCGACTTATATTACTCGTACTTGAAGCACCCAAGCTTGCACCTCTACGGCTATCGAAACGTCCGCTATCACCGATAACTCTTCCGCGGTGCTTGAAGACGCCGAAGACTTCTTAGGGTAAGCGCCCATTTACTCTCATTGAACGGTAGCCAACCAAGAGACATGGGCATTCTACTTCATAGGTTTCATAACCTGTCTCTAATGGAATCGTTGCCTTTCTGGCCTCTTGATGGGCATACCCTCGATCCTTCCGAGCTTGACAGGATAGATTTTGGTAGAGATGAATCGTAAGTATATAGCAACTTCGTGTTATGCATCTGACAAATATTTATTTGTAGTGCGACCTATGGCTCAGTGCTCTGGTAATTTTGGACGGTGTCCCACCCAAGCGTTTCCAAGGCGGACAGTTTTCCTTATTTGTTCGGCGTACGGATAGGATATTGTTGTAGGTCTCGTGGGACCTTGTATACTTTCTTTGATGCCTCGTATTCAACATGCTTTCACACTTTTCTGGACGACCACGGCTCACTGATACCAACTATGGGCCGACCAACGCTTGCCCTGCCAGGGTCCTCTTCAAGTTGAACAACACACCAACTTCTGGGGCTAGTAACGACCTTGTGTCGATTATCAATGAAATAAGCGAGCGCCACACACGAGTCGTGTGAAGTCGAAGCAAATGTTTAATATCCTGTAGAAACCGTTTCCGGCGGGAGAACATGAGGCTTCCTGCCCTTGCGCTCGTTCACCTCCCCACAACCGTACGTCCACTTCGTCGTACTAGTTATGTTGTCCTTACTTTTCTACTGGATCACTGACTGATTATTGTCATCTACTACCAAAGGCACCGAACTCGACATGGAATCTGAACAACCTCAACCCGACTCAGGTGCTGATATCCCCGTTTTAAAGGCAGCACTCGCATACGAGGACTCTAGGGAAATATCGATGGGATCTCAAGCCTCGAGCCGTGCGCAGCAGAGGAAAGATCTCGCCCGGATCATCCTCCAGACCACCGACGAGCAGCTGCCAGCTCGAAAGCAGTTCAATGCCGCCTCGACCTTTGGCGCGATACCCACCGAGATCTTGAATGGCATCTTTACCATCTTACGCGATCTATATATGCATTCACCGAATTCTACGAGCACTGGCGATGGGGCTGGCTCAGATTGTCTGAGATGGACGAATGTGACGCATGTGTGCAGTCGCTGGAGAGAGATTGCGCTCGGTGATGCATCGCTGTGGTCGTGCGATATCGGTGCGTGGAAAAACCGAGACTGGATCGATGAGATGCTCGAGCGAGCGGGGAGCGCGCCTCTGTATATCGGATCGATACCTTATCATGGCGCTATCCCAACCCACGACGGTCCCCAGCCTCTTGAAATCGTCAACTACGTCCAGGCGAAACATCCTCTCGCCAGGATCGTCGCCCCACACATCTCCCGCGTTGCCTCGCTCGCCATCCATGGCGAGCACGATATCTACGACATACTTGAAACATATACCGACCCGCCAACACTTCTCGAGGACTTGGCTCTTCGCGTACACGCTACACGCAACCATGGCTACTTGTGGCCTCTCCCGCGGAACCTTTTCTCCAATCGCGTTCCGGCGAACCTGAGGCGCCTGAAACTGGGTGGATTCGAGCCACCATGGCGTCGGGGATCGAAGCTGCTGAGCCCTACGATCAAGGACCTTTCGGTGCATTATCCGAACTATGGGAGCGAGGTGTACAAAACGAAGATGCCCTCGTCGCTTCCGACGCTCGAGATGGTCGTGGAAGGGTTGAGGAAGATGCCCTTGCTCGAGAGGTTGAACCTTCATATCGTGATACCTCCTGGCCGATCCCTGATGATGGAAAGAAAGCCGGCGCCGTATCTCGAAAACCTCCGCCATTTGACGCTGTACAGCGATGTGGGGGACTGCGTGGCATTCCTCCGAGCGTTGAGGTTTTCGAGCTCGACGAGCATGAAGTTATCGTTGCAGGGATGCAAGATCGATGACTTCTCTGCGCTCACTCGTCTCCTGGCTGACCATATCACCGAATACTATGCATCTACGCGCTCTGATCAACCAGCATGGCTTGTCAAGGCAGACCCGATGCGGTCCTCCTATAGCATCCTTTCGACTACGACCCCGAAGGATCGTCACGGTCAAGCTCGCAGAGAACTCGGGGTCAGTATCAGTCCATGCTTGACCCTCGAGACAACGACCGTCATACAAACACTATCCAAAACCATGTTTCCCGAAACGATCCAAAAAGGGTTCTTCGGCATCATTTGTTCCTCCATAGCGTCCGACGTCGAAGAGGTCCATCTGCGGCATAGCATCACCGCGAAAAGTCCACGGTATTGGATAGAGCTGTTTGGGCGGATGCGACGCGTGCGGAGGCTCAGGCTCGGACATAGGACGTCGCCTTATTTTGTCGCTGCGCTGGATCTGTTGTCGAGAGGGGAGGATGTCGACGACGAGGGGTTGTTACATCCCTTGAGTCTATCGAGTTTGATTGCGTTTCTGACTTGGTGAAGCCGAAACCACGACCGGACGTAGGGAGATCCAGATATCGAGTTCGACCAGCGTACGCCTACACAAGGGACGACAGTCGAGACGAGGGCCAGTGGTTCTGGGAGGACCTCCAGTATGTTCTGGAACAAAGGAAGATGCGATACAACCATCGTCTCAGGAGGATACACTTGAGGAAGTGCAGGATCACGGATGGGATGGTATCTGCATTCGAAAGGTTGGTGGAAGATGTCGTGGTCGAGGACTGCGATAAGTGTGGGGATTGGCAGTGAGGACATTGGGCTTGCTTGGAATTTGATGAGCTGGCGTTGTGGATAGAATTTGAAAGAACACTGCTGCATTGCATTAGACCATGTTTGATCCAATGTGAATCACTACATGTTATCATTACCATTTTAGAGATGTTACATAACTCGAATCACGACCTCCATGATTGTATGTACATTGAATAGTCATTGAGGTTTCATCTGCGTATCCACGAATGTACATTCCAATCTAGCACCCGGGCCATCCCCGATACGATTCTCACAGGTTGGCTGGAAGACAGGCCTCACTGAAAATTGGCGGAAAGGCGAGAAGACACTTGGCGTTGAACATGCTAGGGCCGAGGTGGCCACGGCGTCACTTTGAAGAGGTTGTGAATGGCCTTCAAGCCCCCTCAGCATACATGGATCGGACAAAAATCTATGGATCCATGCATGAATGCACACCGAGAAATTGACGAGATTAAACTGAGTCTACACTCAATTTATACTTTGGTAAATCTAGACTCAAACATTTATTCATCATGGTTTCTTGCATGTACATCGGGAAAAGGCGATGTACATTGGTTCAAACATGGTCTACTGGCAGAACGAAGAAGTTGAGAAAGGCAGGCATTAAAATAAGAGTCACGAGCCTCGTAAGTAGATGATGAGATGAGATGAGGGCCAGTGGTTCTGGGAGGACCTCCAGTATGTCTTGGAACAAAGGAAGATTCAGACGCGATCCGGTTTCCGTTTGAAGAGGATACACCTGAGGAAGTGCAGGATCACGGATGGCATGGTGTCTGCTTTCGAAAGGTTGGTGGACGATGTCGTGGTTGAGAGCTACTACCAGTATAGCAATCGTTGACAGAACTCGAGGGAGACGGCAATCTGGCAATGATCAGTGCATTGAATTCGAAAGAAATGGATTACATTACAGAATACTATGTGCATTGAATATTGAATACTGAAGTATCAAACAAACACCGAGCCAGAACGAAGAAGTTAAGAAAGGCAGGCATTAAAATGAACGTATAGAGTCACGAGGTCTCGTATGTAAGTAGATGATGAGAATGGAAATGATGAGATGAGAATGAGAATGAGTTTGGATTGGATTGGATGGGAGAGAAAGAGTCAAGATCAATGAGACGGAGGCGAGAAAGAGAAAGAGAGGAGGAAGAGAGAAGGAGGGCCAACGTGTCCGGCGTGCGTGCCCTCCCACGGAGCATAGATAATCGGTATAGGGTCTCGTCATCGTCGTCTCTCGTCGTCGTCAGCATAATTATAAGTAATCAACCAAGAAATCAAACAACATAGGGCGAATTGGGTGGGAAAGTGGTAAAGCACATGCAACATGCAATCTCCGTTACAAGTGGACATGGACATACACACACACACACTCCAACATGCACCGGCATAAATTAACCTCAGTTCTCTCCACCCCTGAAATAACTTACCGCCCTCCAGCTCCCAAGCTCACATATTCTGCATCGCCCTCCTCACCGGATTCTGGCTCGGACTCAACGCCCCGCTCTTCTCCAGCCTATCAAACAAATAAAACAACTTCTCCGCCTCGGCCTCTTTCTCCTCCTCCGTCATCTCCTCCATCGCCGTATTCCGCCTATCAGCCTCCCTCTCGACCCTGCCCGTGATCGGGTTAATGTGCTCGTCGTCGGCGAGCTCGGTTATGGATGCGCCGCCGCCAGGGGTGGACGAGGAGGTGGAGCCGCTACCGGGAAGAGGAGCGGGGGCGGAGAGGACGCCTTTGTTGAAGAGGAAGCCGGCGACGTTGCCGTAACCTACTTGAGCCGAGAGTTGCGATGCTTCCCCCCCCAAAAAAAAAGTCAGCACCCACATATACAAGGAGAAAGAAAGAGGCAAGAGAACTCACGATCCGAATCACAAACAACAAACAACATCTCCCCAACCGCATCCTTCATCCTCTGCCACCTCACACTCCCCATCAACCTCAAACACCGTCCCAGCGTATCCCCCCGACTCTCCAACGCCTCGCCCCTCCTCTCCTCCACCCCCCTCGGCAACAACCAGCCCGCCAATCTCCTCCTAGCACCCATATCCGCCAAAGCACATTTGACGAGCAACATGGTGAGGGGTGTTAGGGCGTCGTCGAGCGAGTCGGGCGCGGTAGGGTTCGTGGAGGCGAGGGATTTGAAGGAGGCGATGACGGAGGGAGAGTCCGGGTCTATCGTGCCTGGGAGATGATGTGCGAGTGAGAGTTCGAAGAGATCGTAGGCGCGTTGGAGGGTGTCGAAGTGTGCGGTTCCATGGCCGGGCATGGGGGAGGTGGGACGGGAAGACATGCGGCGGCCGGCGTTGTTGAGGAGGTTTAGAGCACGGTCGAGCGCGCCGGGTTTTGCGGGCTCGAGTTTCGGGGAGGTCGGGTTGGTGCTGGGGTTGGGGTTGAAGGTGGAGTTGGAGTTGGAGTTGGAATCCCGGGGGAGGGAGTCGGAGGGGATGGTGGGGGATTGGTGAGTCGAGGCGGGGGTGGAGGTGGATTTGCGGCTGTGGCTGTGGCTGTTACCAGAAGAGGTAGAAGAAGCAGGAGAAGTGGGGAGATCTGGGGGGAACCAGAGGTTGTGCAGGTGGGGCGTTATGGGGGTTGTGATGAGGGAGTGGATGATGTGCGTGAGGGGGGGTGCGAGCGGGGAGGGGAAGGTCGGTGGGAGGGTGTTGAACGCGCGTATTAGCGGTGGTAGAATCCTATAGTACATTGAACGTATGAGTTTATGTGGGGATACTAAATCATTTAAAGAGGAACGCACCCGTCCAACCTATCACTCCAATACTCTCCCATGACCTTTCCCTCGCCGGCCCCCAGATCCGTGACCTTATCACAGTCGACCAGTTTCGGATAATGCGCGAGGAGGTTGAAGGTGAACTTGAGGAGGTCGGTCATCGCCTCTTTGGACATCTTGACGCCGCCGAGGATGGCGGTGGTGAGGAGGTCGAGACGGGAGGAGATAATGTCGACGATGGAGGCGGACCGGCCGGAGGACGGGGACGGTTTGTCCTCGATGAGGGAGATGATGAAAGAGGCGGCGTGGGCGGAGGAGGCGGTGCAGAGGAAGAGGATGCGGGAGGCGAGGAAGAGGAAGTCTGGGGAGGAGGATTTCTCGAGGAGTTGAACGCTGGGTTCACCACCGCGGACTTGGGGCCCGATCCATGTCGTCCTAGCGCCTTCGATGAGCAGGAGGGTATTGGCGATACAGCGGAGTGCTTCGCAGCACGCTTCAAAGTCGCCTTGGAGCGTTCGGGTGAGGGCGAGCAGGGCGGACAGGTTTTCGGGGGTCGCGAGGGCGGCGGCGCCGGCGGGGTGTTTGCCCAGGGATTTGAGGGCGGAGAGGGCTAGCGAGGCATCTAGTGTGGAAATTTGTTAGGGGTGTGAAGCTGTGCATTAGGAGGAGGGATAGGTGTCGCACCTCGTAGGGAGAGCCTGCTCTCGCCGGTGGATATTCTTGGGGAATTAAGGTCGTCGAGTATGAGGGAGATTAGTCTCGTGCGGTCGTCGGTGTCGATAGAGAATGGCGAGGCTGGAAAGAGGGAGGAAGATGGTCAGTGTCGCGTTAAGCTTTGAATGCCGGCAGGTGGAGAGCGGTCAAAGCGCGACGTCAAGGCGCAGATCAGGGCTGCAGGAAGGAAAGGGAGATACCTTGGGCGATGGAGCAGAGGACGGCGGCGACCTGGAGAGCGGTGGCCGACGGAGCGAGCTCGTCGTAGGACGCGACGAGGGAAGGCATGGCGGAAGGGCTCGTTATGGAGCAGCTACGGGTGCGTTGAGGAAAGGGCAGAGCGCCGTTCCTGGGCAGCGAGACGGCGGAGGTCGAGAACCGGACGGCTTCTGAACTCGACGGCGCGTCGGCGCTTCGCCGGGGCCTTGGGCGGGCCCAAAGGGACAGTCGGTGGAACGGCGACACTTTAAAGTCTCAAAGAAAAGCCAGAATGTGGAATGAGCGTGGACGAACAAGACGTGCTGCAGAATGTTAGACGAGAGCTCGACTGCTGCTGACCAATGCCGTAGTGCTCGACTTTGTTCGACGTTTCTCACACTCCATTGTCTCTTATTTTCTCTTCCATCAGCCGCGCAACCAAGCACTTGAATATGTCACACACTCCGGTATCCTTCTCGCCGTCCGACTTAATTGCGCCCAAATTGCACCGTGTTTCATATTTGCCCCGCTCGTCGTCATGGCATCCCCCTGACAGCAGTCCTCGCCACACTGCGCCACACCGCTTGTAAACACCAAATAAATGGCTATCGTCGCCGTTACAAGAGCCTGCGGTTGCGCCCTTGTCATCCCACTTCACGTACTTCTCGTAAATAACCCCCTTTGCGTTCCTTACTGCGCCATGTTCAGCCCGTAGTATGTACCATGCGTCAGCCAGGTACAGTTTGTTAAGGACGAGTCCTGCGCCGTGATGTCCAATCAGTCACTCTACAGTCTAAATTCCCTTATACTCAAACCATGCGTTCACTCATTCCCCGGATAGTTTCTAGTCCTGAATCCACAGCTCCGTAAGTAAGGGTCAGCATCACAGGCTCGCCCACGATTAGTTGGAGGGCGATGGACGTTCCGGATGTCGACCGCCGCATGACATGATGGACGAAGAGCCAGTCGTGAGACGGGTGGACATCAGAGGAAATATCTGCGGTGAATTAATGGCGTTCCTCATCCTCCGGCAGCGAGCACATCATAACGAGACCTCAAATGATTCGGTTAGTTGGGGGATATTCTCTAGCCATGACAAGACTATCCATCTGTGAGAGTTATGCACATTAAACGAGGAAAAACTCGGTGCAGTAAGGTGTATCACAACGAACTCTCAAACATGGAGGAGACTCTTCGCCAGATCACTCCGCACGAACGCTGCTCCGAGGACTCAGGCTGGTAAGGGACCAGGACAGGCGAGTGCAGGGACATCAAATCTTGAAGTTTTTTTCAGGTCATGGTGCATGGACTCAGAGCTGTGAACGACAGGATCGGCGGGAGGGAGCGACTTCGTTCATATCCCTGGATGAATACTGAGTAGTCCTAGATCTCAAACTGCGTCTTGATTTTCCTGAGTGAGTATAGTTGGAGGACGCCTTTTCCAGATGTCGACATTGCCGCATGACGAGACGAGACGGACGAGGCAAGACTATTCAGCTGGGAGAGGTGGTGTGTATTTGACGAGGAAAAACTCGGTGCGATAAGAGATGTGTGCGGCGAATTGGGGTGTTCTTCATCCACCGGCAGAAATCACATCGTAACGAAATCTTGAACGGTTCGGTCAGACGAAGACACTTCGCCAGATGAGGCTCTGAGAATAAGAGACCAGGACAGTCGAGTGGGCAGGAACTTCCCGTGGGCATCAAATATTGAGGTTTCAGGAGGTCATGAGCTGTGAACGACGGGACCGGCGGGAGGGGGAGAGCGATGGCGATGTTGGCCGGCGTCTAGAATGATGACCATGTGCAGGGAAGAGGAGGCTAACCGGGATTCGAGCATCGAAGTGGGTAGCTTGATTTGAGTGGACCATGATAGACGGGGCTGGATGGTGTTGATTTTGTGTGGTGGCAAAGGGAGGCCCAATATCCATGGATCTGTGCGATGTGTACACGAGTGGGTCGTGCACGTCATACTCATAAGACTGTACACAACATTCTCATCGCTCTCCACACGATGGATATAGGGAATCATGATCGATTTGAGGATCATGTACATGAACATACGCTTGTTGTACAAGATAGATTATCGTCTCTAATCCGAGAACTAGAGGGATCTTCCGATGTACATGATGGGGGATGGTAGCTGAACGACAGACGTACCATATTGAGCCGCACCGTCATGTCCGACCTCTATACACAGTGACTTGTTACCATCGAAGCACCCCGAGTGCGGCTTCTACTCTTCATCCCGAAAGAGAACAACTGGATGGCAATGCGGTCGCTAAACATCATAGCCTCCTGAGCAGAGCTGATGGTGCGCACCTTGACGGGTAAGCTGTGAGGGCGGATAGCGGTGACGGTGCGATACCGGTCTCTATTACATGATGCTCAAAAACGACGACAAAAAGCAAGAAGGAGGTGGCAAGGAGGAGAGAGACAGGGTTTTGGACACGGTGGCCCAACAAAGCAAGAAAATCCGGCGATTTGCTTCCGGCCAATTCGCCGCGTGATCGGAGCGTGGGAAGTTAGACAAACCTGGTACGGCGAACTCGTTCCTCTCTCCCCGTCTTCCTTCCTTCCCTCCCTCATCCATCTCCCCGTGCTGCATCCCCGCCCCTTCCTCCCCATGGCTTCTTCCGAATCCTACTCGAGGTCGACCTCCAGGCCGGATACCCCTCCTATGGTCAGTTCCAGCTCATCTGCTTTTTCCGCTGACACATTCTCACCGGAACTTGTTTTCTTGCGCTTTGAATGTTGGGCGCTCTCCACCTTGACACCCTCCCCACCCTCCCTCTCCCTCTCTCTTTCGGCCACCAAATAATGATTCATGTCTGCTTCTAATGCGTGTAAATGTACACCGGGATGCGTCAATCCAGGCTTCGCTTCATCCTGGTGTCAGTGTCAGCGCGAAGCAGCCACCGTCCCGTGCTTCGCCTACCTCGGCGCATTGCGACGCGTGTGCCAATGCGTCCGGATCGTCCAGTTCTGCGACGAGCTCCGTCATGCATCATCACTCAAAACCACAGCAAGCCTCTTCCAGCACGGTCGGTCTCCGTTCTCTTTTCGTTTCGTGTCCGCAACAAGGGCTCAAGCGTCTCCCCGACCGTTTCCCCGAACTGACCCGGATATTCGTTCTTCTAGCCGTTTTCATCGAGAGAAGCGTCTTTTATTGACTCGGACGATTCTGACGAAGAGTGTGAGCCTCCTTCGGTCAAGGTGAGGACTTCCCTTGCTATATTCTTCTTGATATAATTCATCTAATACGGTCATCATTTCTCTCTTATTGCGCCACCGTGTCTTCCTGGACACCGTGTCAGCCCGACCGCCCCATGACGTTCACTCTTCGTCCTGTCGAGTGGACCAAGCAACAGATCGCGGCCTACGAAGAGGCCGTGAAACGCAAAGCAGCACAAGCGGCCGAAGCTGCCGCCGCCGCAGCCAGACAATCGCCCACACCCTCGCTCTCCCCCACTCCCGACCGCGAATTATTCTCCCCCGGGCCAGAGTACGGCTACTCGAACCACCACCACAATCATCACAACTACCACCACCACCCATACCCCTCCCGTCCGAACAAACGCAGTCGGGATGAATACGAGGTCGATCCGTTCTATCGTTCCCCGCCTCCCAATAGCCGCCATCCCCCAGACGAGCGCCGTCCCTCCGCTTCTTACTTCCTCCATTACGACAAAAAGCCCGGCAGCGGAGGCGGGGGCACGTCGTCCGTCCTCGTTCTCGACGATATGTCAACGCGCGCACCCCCAGCGAACATTTATTATCGCTCACAGTCCCCGGGATACCGCCACGCGTCGTCGACGCCCCTGCCTCAGCACCACCAAAGAGGGGCAAACCCGTATCCGACCTCATCGAACGCGAACCCGCATAAGCGTTCACGCCACCCGTCAGGATCAGGCAGCTCGTACCCCCACTCCCACTCCCACTCGCGCGAGTACTCGTACTATCAGGACTACGACGACGACGGCTCGCCGATGAACCTGCCCTCGGGGCGGATCGACGTGAATGCGATCCGGGCGCATTCGCCGTTGCAGATCATCCACGATGGAGCGTCGAGCGTGGTCGATCTGGATGGGGACGGTCCGAGGAGGAAGCAGAGGAGGACGCCGGGGACGCAGATCTCCATTGCGTGTTTTTTCTGTAGGAAGAGGAAGTTTAAGTGTTTGGAGGGGAATCCGGCGACGGGACAGGTCTGCAAGTGCGTGTCTTTTCTCCTTTTCTTCTTCTTCTCCTCTTCTTCTTCCCCGCTCCCAACATTTCGTGTCGGACCTTTGCTCATGGTGCCACCCGTGAATGTACGAACAGGCCGTGTCGAGTGCGTAACCAGCCCTGCGAATACCCAGCGGAATCTCACCGCGGCAGACGTATGGACAAGCACGGCAAGCGGAAAGAGCCCAAGAACCCCACGACCTCCGCCCCCGCTGCAGGTGCAGGTGGCACCATCGTCGCCCTCACCACCACCGCCGCCGCGCCCGGCGCAGGCAAGGGCCAGCCTAAAGCGATCAAGGAGGAGCCGAAGGACGACTAGAATAAGAATATTGCATGGCCCGAGCAGGAGACGGAGACGGAGACGAAAGCGCGCGGGACGACGACAGCCACAGGAGGAACGAACGAACTAACTGGCGCGGTGTCTTGTTTGTTTGTTTCCTTGGCCTGTGAATCTGATCTCATGTACGATAAAAGAATCGGTCGACACCACGGTTCGGAGTCCGGGGGACGGGCCTGCGGTGGGTAGTCAACTTACACTGCCCCTGCAGGTAACAGTAACGTGAAGCGAAGCGTTGGATTGCTGACAGAACGGAACGAAACACGAACGATAGCGATCTTATTGAATTCTCTTACATACACTTCATACCTTCTCCTGCTCCGAACGTCAGTACGTACTATCTATGCCCAAATCCGTTTATGGTTATCGAGTTGCTCTTTGCTTTTTTTTCAATATTTTTTTTTCTTTTTTTTGCTGGCGGCAGTGTTCTCTGGGAGGACGATTGTATAGTTTGGATTGCATACGTTTTTGGGTTGTGTGAAATAATGGTCGGTCTTTGGTTTGGATGGGTGGATGGAAAGGCGCAAGTGGTCGTGGAATGTATTTGCCTGTGTATTGGCTCGCTTTCACCTTGACCTGTATTTATGATTATTCTCCGAGAAAATTCGAACGAGATGATGATGCTCTCGAGAGTGCAAACAAGGGCAAGGCCCAGATAAGGGTGCAGGGATATGGCTGCATATGCATGGACATTAGGTACTCGCATCAATGGACATGAGAAGACATCGCAAAGCAACAGGACGAGACGAGCATGGGGAACCAAGAGGAGCACATGAACTGAGAAAGTGAGAGATGACAACAGACATGGAGCGAACGCTGCGAAGAAAGTATAGAGGAACGACAGCGAATGAGAACATAAAAGAGACGATAGTTCGATCCTAATCGAAGGTGGTTTTCTTGCCCTCGAAAGAGGTGATCGACCCCTTGCCACGCGAAGGAGCACCCCTGCCACGTCCACCACCGCGTCCGCCCTGAGAGAGACAATGAGGTCAGAAAGATGAAAATCACAGAGAAGCAGATGTGAACATACCCTGTCGCCACCAAACCCACCACGTCCTCCACCACGTCCTCCACCAAACCCACCACGTCCACCACCACGGCCCCTTCCACCGCGGTCACCACCAAACCCACGATCACCACCGAACCCACGTCCACCACCCCTTCCACCACCACGGAAGCCACCCTCGCCTTCCTCCCTCGGTCGTTGGTAGTCGAGCCTGACAGCCCTGCCCGCGATATCCATACCAGCACCCTCGTCGTGCGCCTTCTTCGCCGACTCGATGTCGGTGAAGTCGACGTACGCGAAGCCCTTGGGCTGACCGGTCTCCCTGTCCGTGGGCATCCTCACGCCCTTCACATCTCCGTAGCTTGCGAACGCCTCCCAGAGAACGTCCTCGCTCGCCGAGAAGCTGAGGTTACCGACGAAGAGTGTGGAGCTAGGCTCGCTCTTCTGGTCGCCGAACGCCTTCGCCCTGCTGTCGCGGACCTTGTCCTTTGACACACCAGTCGACTTGTCAACGTTGATAGGCCTGCCGTCGATCTCCTTGCCCGTAAGCTTGAGAGCGGCTTCGACAGCGTCGGGGGAGGTGAACTCGACGTAGCCGAACCCGCGGGACTTGCCAGTGTTGCGGTCCATCTGAACACGGGCGCTGACAACCTCGCCGCACTCTTCGAACTCGGACTTGAGCCAGTCGTTGTCGACGTTCCAGGAGAGACGGCCGACGAAGATGGTGGTGACGGCCTCGTCGTTCGAGGCGGGGACGGGAGCAGAGACGGCGTCGCCGTTGGTGAGCTTTTGCTTTTTGGGAGCGGGGGCTTCTGCCTCAGCCTTGCGCTTGCCATCTGGATAATAAGCGAAGAAAGCGTGAGTAAAAGGTGATGGAAAAGATAAAAGCGAGGAACGTACTGGTCTTAGCTGTGCCGTCAGCCATCTCGACGTCCTCACTGCTGTCCTCGGAGTCATCGGAATCAGAAGTCTCAGGCTTCTTGGTCGCAGCTGCGACCTTCGCCTTGGGTGCCTCGTCCTCAGAGTCAGAGTCCGAGTCGTCACTCGACTCGGCCTTCTTCGCAGCGGGAGCAGCGGCCTTCGCCTTGGGCTTCTCCTCCTCTGATGAGGAGTCGTCGCTCGAAGACTCGGCCTTCTTCGCTGGTGCGGCGGCCTTTTTGGGTGGTTCATCATCAGAGTCGTCAGAGTCGTCAGAATCAGATGAGGGAGTTGCGGCCTTCTTGGCTGCGGGGGTAGGTTTTGAGGCGGCGGGTTTCGCAGGGGATGCCTTGGCGGGTGCGGCGGGCTTTTTGGCGGGGGCTTCGTCTTCAGAGTCGGAAGAGTCTGACGAGGAGGATGCGGCCTTGGGTTTAGCGGCGGCTTTTACTTGTGTGGCTTTGGGCTTCTCTTCCTCGCTGGAAGAGTCGGAGTCGGAGTCACTGGTCTCCTTCTTCGCGGGGACGGCCTTAGCCTGCAGTGAAATTTGTATGAGCTACAAGGAAGAGGTTGTAAGGATGAGAGAGGTGCATACCTTGCCGTTAGTGGCAGCCTTCTTGGCAGGCTTCGCCTCTTCGGAGGAAGACTCCTCAGACGACTCGTCCGAGCTCTCCTCCTGACGGTGGCGGACAAAAACAACAGTTAGAACTGTAGTATATGGTCAAAGCATAGGCAACATACCTTCTTGGGTGCCTTCTTCGCCTTCTTCAAGATCTCCTTGGAAGAAATGGGAACGGCAGCGGGAGCAGGGGCTTTTGCGGCCTTCTTGTCGACCTTGGGCTTCTTCTCCTCCTTCTTGGACTTGGAATCAACCTTAACTTTCTTGTCCTTGATGGCCATCGTAATAAAAAAAAGGAGTGAAGGGGAGGAAAAGAGTAGGGAGGGAGGAGGGGAGTGTGTGGGAGGAAGAGGAAGGGATGGAAAGGGACGGTGTTCAATCAAAATTTTGGAAGAGTATTTTCTCGCATTCGATTATGTAATTCGGTGATCTCACCCTACTCCGGCCCGGATTGGGTAAGTACGATCCCTTGGCCTCCGACTTTCAGCTCGTTCGTACTAATACTACGGTACACAGACGGTTAAATCTCAGCGAGCTACATTGACCTGCAAACCAACATGGACGTAGACGGAAACTTTGATGTAGTCATCCTTGGAACCGGCCTCACCGAATCCATAACCGCTGCGTGAGCGTCGCTCTTCGTCGCCACATCTCGTCGTACGCTCATTGACCCCAGTGCGCTTTCCAAGGCAGGCTTCAAAGTTGCTCACCTTGACTCCAATTCATACTATGGAGGCGACGAAGCAAGCCTCTCTCTGGACGAACTCGCGCAATGGGCAGATCGTAGACGCTCCACATCCGATGCTGACCAGCCGTCCTCGAGATATCTGTCCGCGCAGAGGAAACGGTTCGCGTCTGTGACGCGTTCAGAAACCATCCCAGATCATGCACGACATTATTCCATATCGCTTGCTCCGGCCCTTATTCCCTCACTTGGGCCGCTCATATCGTCTCTTGTCGCGTCAGGCGTAGCTCGCTACGGTGGCTACAGACTCCTCGAACGCGTCGGTATATTCCAGCAAGGGGATCGGGCAGGTGGCCGTCATGATATCAAGAGTGTACCGGGGAGCAAGGAAGATGTCTTCAAGTCGAAGGATATGAGTCTGCTGGAGAAGAGGAGGTTGATGCGTTTCCTGATGTTTGCGTCGGGAGAGTTCGAAGGGAAGAAAGAGATCGAGGGAAAGGAGGGCAAGCCTTTCGTCAGCTTTCTCAAGGAGGCTTTCTCCTTGGATGGGAGTGTCAGTGAGGCCATCGCGTACGCACTGGCATTCTGCACTACACCGAATGGTCTGTCGTGCGTTCTTCACCAGCTAGAAGTATCTACTGATTTCGTCCTGCGCAGATCCGACACTACCCGCTCTCACTCGTCTCAGACACTATCTCCGTTCCACAGGACGATATGGCGCATCGCCTTTCCTCGTAGGTCACTATGGTGGTTCTGGCGAAATCGCTCAAGGTTTTTGTCGTATCTCAGCCGTCAATGGTGGTGTCTACATCCTCGACCGCGCTCTCAACTCCATATCCAAGGTGGAAATCTCAGAGACAGAGGCGGAGCAACCTACATCGGACCGATACAACATTGAGCTGAACGACTTCCCCGAACCTATGACTGCCGAGATCGTTATCTCCGCCCCCGACCATCTCCCTTCTGAACTGAAGGATATGGCACAAACCGTTTACTACAAAGACTCCTCGTCATTTACGCCTTCGAGCTCTGTTCCCTCCGTGGCGCGAGGGGTTGCTATCATCGACTTTCCGATACCGTTCCCTGCCGTGGCGGCCCTTCCTTCCTCAAGTGGTGACGAGGGTGCAGCTCCAGGTACCGAGGAGGATCAAGGTGCACCAGCAGTTCCGTCGCCACCAGAGGTCGAGAGACCAGTCGACACGGCAGTTCTGGTGTTCCCCCCTTCGTCGTTAGAGGGAGGTTCGCGCGATGCGGTTGTCCATGCATTCGTCACAGGAGAAGGGAGCATGTCAGCTCCCAAGGGCAAATGTACGCTACTCATAGCCGTCTCCGTTAACAGATGTGACTTTTACTCACGCTGGCGTTGGATTCATCCACATAGATATCGTATACCTTTCTCTACCCCTGTCACAAGCAGAGAAAGATACGGTTTCGCCTGAGACCCTTCTCAGACCGTATTTGGATGCCGTCCTCGCACTAGGAACTCCTTCTGCTTTAGCTTCACCGCCAGCTGATTCGTCCACGTCGGTACCCGACCCGAATTCTGATACCGAATCAGACAACCCTCGTCCATCGTCCACGCCCAAAACCCCACTCTTTACTCTTTTCTATGTTCAACACCCTCCGTCGTCTCTCCCTCCACCCGTCCACTCCACTGCGTCCACGTCCCCTCCTAGCCTTACTGGTGAAACATCAACCCCAGAGACTACCGATGCCACCATCGCCGTGAAAGACTCCACCGTTCTCATAACACCTCCCCTCCCGCCTTCGCTCGCCGAATCATCAGATAATGCCAGCCAAGCGGCGGAAGCTATGTTCTTCAAGGCTGTGGAGGTTCTTAGAGCCCGACACCCAGCGGGGTTGAAGTTCGATGAGGACGAGGATGAGGCGGAGGGAGAGGGAGAGGGAGTCGGGAAGGTGGAGAGGGGAGAGAAGCAGGAAGGAGCCGCTGGGGATGTTTTCGAGGAGATTAAGGCGTTTTGGCCGCCTTTGGAGAGAGTGGGGGAGGATGAGGGGGAGGAGTGGTAGTTGCGTGGGTGGAGTCAGATACAGAGTAAGTAAGTAACCCCGTCGAATTGAATCATAGTCAATCAAGCCTTGTGTACGAGTTCAGCGATGTTGATTCGAACGAATAGATAGTCTTTTATCGCAGTCCGAACTTATGAGAAACCTGTGGCCCTCGCATTCGCATTCGAGTGCAAGAGATCGTCTGTGATTCGCCATCGCATCCATTAGTCTGCCGTTCTGTATGATGTTGTCAGTCTCGGAAGACCGACATGGCCGCCTGGCGAAATGGCATCGCGTCTGACTACGATTGTGTGATCAGGAGATTGCAGGTTCGACCCCTGCGGTGGTCAAATCTCGGTTAGAACTGAGCATTGTTTTTTCGTCTCCATTTTCCGCGAGATTGTTAGCCACCCACGCAAACCGGGGCCGTGGCCGAGGCCGTGATTCAAAAATAGACGCGTGTAAAAGTGAAAATACATGAGATCGGCGATCGAGGGACGCAATGGGGTTTGCACGGGGTTGCCCTGACAATGTCACGCGCCACACGCCTCGGTCCCGGTCACAGCAAGTATGAACGCCGCTTGTCGCCGCTGTCGTCGACAATGTTCAGGGTCTCTTATTTTGCTCTTGCTTGGCCTATTCAATGTTCATCAGACACCAGATTTGCGCAGGCTTGCATTATTTCCGTATTCTGGATGGACAGGCTGTCGGGTAGACGCAGTAACCCGGAGCTGGACCGGCTCCAATGATGAATCAAATCGAAGAGACCCCATGTCGTCAGAGGAAAGCCGCACTCTGCCTCCGCCGTCCCCCTCGAAATATCAAAATAAAATGTCTAGTCGCTCGCTATCTCACGCCTTCACCCCATCTCACAACCGAAACTGACAGCTGTCCCGCGCTTTCTTGCTTGCATCCCTCCCTCCATCTGCTCGTATCCCCACCGCTGACGCTCGTCCGATGGGCTTCTACCAGGCAAGAGCACGGACGAACACTGTGAAACTCACAGCCGTCGGTGGTGCCCTGTCCTTTGCTACAGTCCTTTATCTTTATTCTGGCCCTCCTGGTCACTTCTTCCGACCACCACCAGACCTTCTTCCCACCCGTGATCGTGCTTCATGTCCACCGCAGGCCTATGCTTCAGGCCAATGGACGTACAACCCACACTTCCCACCAGAAGATAACAGCACACTAAAAAGTGCAGATGAAGTGTTTGCGTTCAATGGCCTCGAGGGCTGCACGAGCGACAGGGAGTTCAAATGGCATCTCGGAGTCGACAACGAGGAGGCATTTGACCGCTTTCCGGACGTCATGGATTGGCAGTGGACGCCGGGCGAGGAGTGCAGTGCGATGAGACCGATGAGTGCGCAGTCGTTGGTGAGGGACTTTGTCGCCAATGGAGGCTGGCTCATTCTAGGTGGTAAGTTCCTGATGTCGACCATCTTTCCGCTGTGGAGCGCATCGTGATTTCTACTGCGCGTTGTTGTTCTGTTGATACTTGCGTCATACATCTCCCGTCCCGCATCTTCAAACAATGATGCTGATCGTTTCGCGTTTCTTATCTACCATTCACAGACTCAATATCAGAAAATCACTTCTTCTCGCTGTCCTGTTCTCTCTATCCCCACGTCCGCAGTACACCAAACTACACCGAAAACCCGTATTTCGACCGCGCATGGCCACAGAACCTCTACCTAAACCCTTCTTCGCCCCTCATCTCTACGCTCTCATTCCCACCTGGGTTCTCCATCGAGTCAACACCACTCGTGACGTTCCGACGTGTCGACCTCTTGCTTTCGCAGGACGAGATCGAGGCGATTCATCGGACGTCGCATCCGGAGCTATACATTCGTAACACGCAGGGACGGCCGCAACTGGACGACGATGATTATATGAGCGAAGAGGAGGGAGCGAAAGAGTTCAAGTTGTTCAGCGACGAACAAGTTTGGTCACTCTCCCCTAAAGAATACATGCCTCTCTTCCTCTCCCCACTCCCGGAAGCGCACTACTCTACCCTCATCCTCAGCACCGCAGGCCATTGGACGACACATCTTTTCACAGGCATCTCTGACCCTTCAGAGACGCCAGAAGCAGAAGCGACTGGACACGGAATACAGAACGTGTTGGAGCTGTTTGAGGACTCGATGAGGGTGTTGGCGGGAGAGTTGCAGGAGGCGTTGGACGAGGATCGGAGGGGGAAGGGAGGCTCGCTGGGCTTGAGCTGGGGCAAGGCGCAGAAGCCGGTGAGGAGGCAGGTGGTGGTGAGGGGGTATTTGAGTGGGCATGAGGACTGTCATGATAAGCATGCGCCGTGGGCGGAGGTGCAGCCATATGTTTGGAAGTGGTGGAACTGGCCATGGATCAGGGATTTCAATGTCATTTTCGAGGTCGGTCTTTCTCTAGCTTTTCACAATCTGCCCGGCTCAGATGATTAATACTGGTTGTTCTATATAGATGGTGTTGTCATCCTCACGCTATCCCGACATTCACTACCTCCCTATCGACAGACCAGGCATGCTTCGTCCGGATGCACACGTCACGAGTGACTGTTTACACTTGCTGACTGGGACGGGCGTGATCGAGGGATGGACGCATTATATATGGCATTTCGTGACGAGAGAACTACCAGGACGGATACGGTGAGAGGCTCGGTGGTAGGACATAGTCAGAGATTTGTATATGAGTGGATGGTTGGACGGGGAGGATGAGAGATTATATGTATGCGTGGGGTGCCGAGAGATCTATGGACTTTTAATGCTTGATTACCGATACCACTTCTGCATTGCCCAGCGCGAACTTCACAACCTTTTTGCATTGTTCACATATGTCTGCTTTACTTATTCACAATAGATTCGGACCCATAGATGAAATAACCTCACCACTTCGTAGGCCTTGAGAACCAGAGGTACTGAGCACGGAAATGTGGCAAGTTAACGCAAGCTTTCCGAAATCGCATCTGATATTACACGACAAAAAAACACAGTCAACGCAAAATGAATAATCGGGCTCGTCTTAATTCTCCAATACAGTGTCCTAGTCCTTCTCAGCGTACGCGAGCAAATGCTGCTCTACCTCTGCCTCGCCCATCGTCCGCCACTTGCCACGCACTTTCGGATCCTCGTCCTCTGCGGTGGACACGATGCCGATCTCGACCTCGCCGGCTTTGTAGTCTGTGGCGTGGACGGTCGAGAGGGCTTCGATTGCCATCTAATAGATTGATAGAATTCGAATCAGGACCAGACAATTATTTGGGTGCAGCTATCATGCTGGTCAAGACGAAGGATGAAAACGCACCTCGATGACCTCCCCCCTCGACAACGTCTTCCCCGCACTCACAGCGTCCTCCGCACCCCGCCCGTTGTCGAGCTTCTTCCACTTCTTCTCGAGGTGGTTCATCGCCTCTTGTTGTTTCTGGCCCGCAGCGGTGGCGTGGAAGCCGACAAAGAACCCTGCCGGGTCGAGCTTGAAGACTTGAGGTCCGAGCTCGGGGTCGATACCGATGAGGATCATGGCTGTTCGTTCGTTCGAGATGAGAGTATAATTGGTATATGTTGTCATTGGGGGTGTAATCAGCAAAAAGTGAGTATTGTGGCGCGGATGAACTGTCGATCCTGGGGTTGTGGGGTTTCATGCTGGAAGGAAGAGGATACGCACAAATTCCTAGAGGTCTCATGGCAGCCCTCTGCGTATAGACCTGGTTGATGTTCGCCATTCTCCTCGCGAGCGCGTCCGGTGTGATCTCGTAGCCATACTTGAACCGGAACTGAGCGGCCTCGCTCTGTGCGCGGTAGACTTGGTGTTTTGCATCCGCTTTATACGTGCAGGGGCAGATATAATCAGATGGAGGTAAAAGACGATAGTTGTAATTGATGTGGGAAGGAGGCGTGGCGTACCGACAAGACCAGTCATGACGCAACCGATGTAAGGAGTGATACTGTATAGATGGGTGACGGTTGAAGCATCGAGAAGCTTGTCCTACACAGGATAACAAAAGCAATCAAGGATCAGCAATCGGCAGCATTAACCAAGTCGTTGCGTCCACGGCGTAGTGGTAGAAGGATGCAGACGTACGGGGATCTTCTTCTGGATGACAACCACAGCGGTGTCCTTTCCACGGACTGAGATTGATGTGTGTCCTGAGCCCGAGATGGCTTTGAATGCATATTCTATGGTGGCGCGAGAGTCGACAGTCAAGTATGAGTGTCTATGTTGATAGATCTAGGTTGTAGCTATACGCACCGACTTGGTACAGGCGTCCTTCTGGCGAGAAGACGGTGAGGTACCTGGGAAGAGCATAAGCACGTAGACTTGTACCTAGTATTTCCTGTAGACGTACCTATCGTAAGACGTCCGTGACATGACTGGAACAAGATGAGTAGTGGAGGGTGGAAGAGTTAGAGGAAGCAGAACACGGTCCAAGGCGACGCGCAAGTGCGAGTGTACGCGTCTCGCCGTCCCACCGGTTTCAAGATCTCACGTGGCGTCAATATCAAATTCCAGTTCTTTCAATGAAGGTGGCCCAACATCTGCTTGCGACTTGACTCCTCCCTCAACTTCCTCTCCTCTCTCCTTTTCTTTTCATTTAGTGGTGCGGGTGGCAAAGATGAAGGAGACGGTCTCGCATAAAGCGCCGAAGGTCATGTAAGAATTCCTGCTCCCTTAACCAGCCCGTAGTCGATAATCAAGTAAATTGGTATAGAAAACGGCTTCAGTTCAGTACACTTAACTCTCAGGATGTGGTCAAAATCTCAGAATTCCAAGTAACACATCGGGATCTGTACACTGCCACAGACCGAGTACCCGTAAAAGATGGTGTCCTCGACAGACGGCTGGTGCGTCCGACTCATTCTCTCATATGTGAGATGAGTACTCACCGTCCTTTCGATGGTCAATCTGGATTGACAGGGTACGTCCGAGAAGAACGCATTTTGCGAGACCTGTGGACTGAATAGTGTGGACTGTGTGGGCCACTATGCGTATATCAAGCTGGTCGTGCCCGTTTTCCACATCGGGTACTTCAAGCATACGATTGGTATATTGCAGTGTATATGTAAAGTGCGTACTCTTGTACTACACAGCGTCGAACTCTCACCCACATCTCCTCGCATTTATTCTTATTTGATCAACATATCCACATCTCTATCTAAACCGCCACCTCACCACAGACCTGTGCTCGCGTTCTACTCGAAGAACCTGACCGTCGCGTTTTCATTAAACGTTTCCGCCGTCCCAACCTCGAAAATGTCCAACGACAAGCCATCTTCAAAGCCGTCAATGGCGCTGCCCGTAAAACAGTTTACTGCCCATATTGTTCCGCCACAAATGGAGCCGTCAAGAAGGCGGGTGCCTTGAAGATCGTACATGACAAGTTCCGCGCGAAGAAAACGGCTGAGGAGATGGAGAAGTTCAAGAGGAGTTTTGCACCGGCGGTGGAGGCGCAGAAGGAGCTCGGGCAGTATATCAATAAAGCGGTCATGGAGGATTTGAACGCGTTGAAGGTGTTGGATCTGTTCAAGAGAATTTCAGCAGAGGCGAGTGGCGCAGATCCCCTCCTGGAGCTCTAGCTGACACTGAGACCAATGTTAGGACTGCGAATTGCTTGGGCTGCGGCCAGAGTATAACAGACCAGAAGAGTTCATCTGGCAGTATATCTCAGTACCTCCAGTCTGTATCCGACCATCCGTGCAGCAGGACGGAGCTTCGAATGAAGACGATTTGACCGTCAAACTCACCGAGATCGTCTTTACTAATGCACTCATCCGACAAGGTCTCGCCAAAGGTGCTCCCACCGCACAATTGATGGTTCGTCGTTGCATTTTATCCAGTCTGTTTCAACATCGCTGATTTTGGGCCACACAGGAACAATGGGAATTCCTCCAACTCTCCGTAGGCATGTACATCAACTCCGAAATGCCTGGCGTTCCCTCTCAGATGGGCCAAAAACCCATTCGCGGTTTCTGCCAACGTCTCAAAGGCAAGCAGGGTCGTTTCCGAGGCAACCTCTCCGGAAAGCGTGTCGACTTCTCTGGCCGTACCGTTATATCCCCTGACCCGAATCTGCGCATCGACGAGGTCGCCGTTCCAGAGCGTGTGGCGAAAATATTGACGTATCCCGAGAGGGTTACCGGTTTCAACATTGATAGGCTGAGGAAGGCGGTGAGGAATGGGTGCGATGTGCATCCTGGGGCGAATTATGTGACGGCGGGTAGTAGTGGGTTCAAGAAGTATCTGAAGTTTGGGAACAGGGAAGGGATTGCCGATGGGTTGAGGACGGGAGATATAGTAGAGAGGCATATTATTGATGGGGATATAGTGCTGTTCAATCGACAGCCGAGTTTGCACAAGGTGAGATTTTAGGTCAGGTATCGTCCAAATGCGTCAAGACTGACGTACGTCTTGTCTAGCTTTCTATCATGTGTCATCGAGTAGGTTTCCATATCGCCCTTTGTGCCGTGAAGAGACTGACCTCTTACATAGGTCAAAGTTAGGCCATGGCGATCTTTCCGTCTCAACGAGTGTGTCTGTAATCCTTACAACGCCGACTTCGACGGTGACGAAATGAACCTTCGTATGTGGCCACTTTCATCTATAAGCTCCACAGGACTGATTACATTCTTTATCAGACGTCCCTCAAACCGAGGAAGCCCGCACCGAAGCCCTTGAACTCATGAACGTCAAACACAACATGGTCACGCCACGAAACGGAGAGCCCGTCATCGCCGCCATCCAAGACTTCATCACCGCCTCGTACCTTCTCTCCCGCCGCGACCAATTCTTTGACCGTCGCCAATTCACGCAGATTTGCTCCTACTTTGCGGATGCAGACCTACAAATCGATATCCCACCACCGACGATCTGGAAACCTGTACGCCTATGGACGGGTAAGCAGGTCTTCAACGTCCTCATGCATCCAAACAAGAAGTCGAATGTGCTGGTGAATGTGGAGACGAAGTGTAATAACCAGCAGAAGCCGGATTCAAAAGCATATCCAAGGATTAAGGACCCGGCGCCGGATTTGAGCCCAAATGATGGGTGGTTGGTTATTGTGAACAGTGAGATCATGTGTGGAGTCATGGACAAGGCGACTGTGGGAGGAGGTAAGAAGAAGATGGTGTTTGGAATCATCATGAGAGATTACGGGCCACACGAGGCCGCAGCTGCTATGAACAGGTTGGCGAAGCTTTGCGCGAGGTGGCTCGGTACGCCTAGCTCATTCATTCTGTGTTCGTGCACTGATTTCGAACTCAGCCAACTTTGGTTTCTCACTTGGCATCAACGATGTCATACCCGGTCCTATCCTTTCGGAGAAGAAGGATGATCTGGTCGAGAAGGCGTATGCCAAATGTCTGGACATGATTACGCTTGCCAAGAAGGGTAAACTGGAGAACAAGCCAGGTTGTGATCAGGAGCAGACGTTGGAAGCCATGATCTCCGGTGTGCTTTCAAAGGTTCGAGAGGAAGTCGGTCAGATATGCATGGAGGAACTCAGCAGGCATAACGCACCCCTTATCATGGCTACCTGTGGTTCAAAAGGTGCGCCCACTCATGCACAATCCCTCCCCTGAAAGTGTACCATGGTTTATGATCTCACTCTAGGTTCCGTCATCAATGTATCCCAGATGGTCGCCTGTGTTGGGCAACAAATTATTGCAGGTCACCGTGTCCCCGATGGCTTCCAAGACCGTTCTCTTCCGCACTTCCCCAAGAAATCCCGCGAACCGCCATCAAAGGGTTTCGTCCGCAATAGTTTCTACTCTGGTCTCAGTCCCACCGAGTTCCTTTTCCACGCCATCTCCGGCCGAGAAGGTCTTGTCGACACAGCGGTCAAGACCGCTGAGACAGGTTACATGCAACGGAGGCTGATGAAGGCGTTGGAGGATCTGACGACACAGTATGATTTGTCGGTGAGGAATGCGACGGGTGGGGTTGTACAGTTCAGATATGGTGACGATGGTCTGGATCCTGCCTGTCTAGAAGGAGATGCGCAACCTATCGAGTTCGTCAGAGCCTGGAGTCATGCCGCCGTGAGTCTCATTTACTACACTTGTTGCAATTGCTTTGCGTCTGACATGGCTGGTCATATAAGTCCATAGCGGGCCGGTCTTTGCGTGGTCTGCTCCCGTACGAAGTATTGGAGATTACCGACCGCGAGTTGGCCAAGCAGAGGTTCACTGTTGAGTGCAGTGCAGCCTACATTGCGACTATTCGTAGCTTCGTTCTCGAGAATGTGGCAACTCGGTTGGCCGATGCACGACAAAGTCGTGGCATGTTCGATGCGCTCTATCGAGAGGCAGAGTGGGATGAGGAGACAGATCTGTCTATGGGAGCTACTGGTAAGTTTTTCTCTGTATAATTCGAGTTGTTGCCCTCATTCAGCGCCATCTAGCGGCGGAAAAGGCCATAGTCGACAACAAGGCGAAAGTCACAGAAGACCAGCTCCTTTCGTTCTTGAACATCTGTTGGACGAAATACGTCCGCGCAAAGATCGAGCCTGGTAAGTCCTTGTCTTTGCATAGCGCCTACAACATATACTAACGTGCACATGGTCTTCCAGGTTCTACTGTCGGCGCCGTGGGTGCCCAGTCCATTGGTGAGCCAGGAACGCAGATGACCTTGAAGACTTTCCATTTCGCCGGTGTTGCCTCCATGAACGTCACGCTGGGTGTACCTCGTATCAAGGAGATTATAAATGCAGCGAAGGTCATCAGCACGCCAATCATTAGTTGCAAACTCGTCACTGCAGATTCGGAGCCATCGGCTCGTATCGTTAAAGGGCGGCTGGAAAAGACCCACCTGGGAGATGTGAGTGTTCTCTATGTCGTCAACTAGTGATTTGAAGCTGACATGTTTGGGACACGTTAGATCGCCGCTGTACTAGAAGAAGCTTGGGCTCCAGAGTACACTTACATTGGTATTATGGTTGATATGGAGAGTGTGCAGAAACTTCAGGTGAGTAGTACTGTCAACCGTGCCACTCGCCTTCGCTGAAGTCATCTCGTTCAGCTCGAATTGACTCTCGACGACATCAAATGGGGAATCGTCAAAGCGAAGAAGCTCAAAGTCAAACAGGAGGTACATTCTTCACAGTTAGCCCAATTGTCAACGTCAAACTAACTCTCTTATCTCCCAGCAAATCACCATCATCCCCAAGAAGAATCGTCTACGACTTTACATCGACGGTCAGGACAAATATTATCGACTGCGTGAACTCAAGAGACTGCTGCCGGACGTTGTGGTGAAAGTATGTGACAGTCTTCCTTACCCGTCGGTCCTTACCCATCTGACAGTTCGGTATCAGGGTGTCCCGACTATCGCTCGTGCTGTCATTAACGTCAAAGACAAGGATGACGGCCGAGGTAAGAAGGGCGACCGAGAATTGCTTGTCGAAGGATACGGTCTTCAAAAGGTTATGACAACCGAAGGTACGCAATTGCGGTAGTCTATCGATAGCCAGGACCTCGCTTCATGTTATCTACAGGTATCGTCGGCGAACAAACTTCGTCCAACCACGTTATCGAAACCGCCCAGGTTCTGGGTATCGAAGCCGCACGGTTGACCATCATCAACGAGATTCAGTACACCATGGGCTCGCACGGAATGAGCATCGATCCCCGACATGTCATGTTGCTCGGCGATGTAATGACCTATAAGGTATGCATTGTCCGTGTATGAGTACGAGATATGGGTGCTAAGCATAGATCTAGGGCGAGGTTCTGGGTATCACTCGCTTCGGTGTCGCAAAGATGAAGGACAGCGTCTTGATGTTGGCATCCTTCGAGAAGACGACTGATCATTTGTTCGACGCATCCGCATGGGGCAAGACGGACAGCGTGGCAGGTGTGTCGGAAAGTATCATCATGGGCAACCCTGCCGCAAATTGTGGCACGTCGATGTAAGATTTTGTCTTTCGTTGCCTGTAGAAATTTCTGCTGACAGCTTCATATAGGCCTGCATTGTATTCACCAGCCCCTAGAATCAGTAAACCGAGGAAGTTACTGTTTGAGGATGCGCTCTAGGTGTTTTGTCGCCTTTTGTGTCCGCCGCTGCCCATCTAACTTTATTGTATGTACCACCTCTGCTATCATGCTAGTCTTTGAGTACACGTTGCGTGTTGTTCCTTGTTTGTTGTACCCATAGTTATCTCACAAGACATACTCTCTAAGCATCTTGTCTCGCTATTTAGGCTTACAGTAATGAGACGACAACGCATGATGTGAATTATATCGCCGTCACCTATCTCTGCTACGAATCAGCCCAGTACTTCGGGCCATGCACAAAAAAAACAGCTTCGCTGGAACTTCTCCTTGTAATGACCACCGCAGGGGTCGAACCTGCAATCTCCTGATAACGCAAATCGTAGTCAGACGCGATGCCATTTCGCCAGGCGGCCATACATGTAGTCCCTCACAGTAAGAACAGACCATGGTCTGAATCTTCAGCTGGGCCTTCCTCAAATCTGGATCCTGCAGGATGTCCCCCACTGATCCCCGCCGAAAGATGCTGTCTGATACCCTTATTAGATAGTAATGTTTGTTTCTCAGGATTTCTATCTTGACGTTGACCAAAGCCGTGCATCGTAGCCTACTACGAGCCTCCATGACACCAATTTAATCTTCTAGGGTAATTCCAAGAACAACTATGAGAAGTCTTACGCACCGAGATGATATTGCATATTAAGGGGATGTTTATGTGGACGGGGTTCCGGAAGCACGAAAGCACAGTGAAATGGCCTGGAGCAGCAGAGGTCTAGTAGAGAAGAGCATGACGCGGTATATCATGTTGTCTCACTCCCCAGCTTTGAATAATTCGTGAGACACTGCTGGCCGCCAGCGAGTGCTGATATCAGATGTCACCGGTTCATGGACTAGATGTCATGAACATGAGTGAGGGACGGGCCGTATGATAAAGTGAGGGCCACCAGCGGACGCAAGTTGGTGCTAGTAGTTCGGAAGAGTTCGGGACAGGCGACCGATGGACGGTTCACGATCAAGTGCGGAAAATTCTGATACAAAATCAAAAAAGACTTCTAGAATCCTGAAGCTCCTCCACTCTGAAGTGCGCGAAGACGAGACTTCAGCCATAACTCCCGGATGGCAGAAAGCATTGCACTCACCGTGATAGCGTCCATCTCAGCCTCCTCTAATACCCTAACCCTGGGATTCCAGACCCAGCTCGGAGCCTCCCAGAACTCTCCGTATACCGGCCTCCCACTCGATGGCGATGAAGCTGGAGACGAGGAACCAGACGCAGAGCTCTCGAACTTCTTGAGGAAGTCAGGGAACGCCCTCTGCAGCTCTGGCGGCGCGGCAGGATGAGGATGCGGCGATTCTGGCTCTGCAAAGCATAGTAGCAAGAAGAAAAAGGCAGCATCGCTGAGTACTGGCAAACAATAAACAAGTAAGGAACGTACTCCATTGCCTCTTGCCCAAGAAATTGATCATAGGTTTGTGCATATGTGACGCTTGGGCGAGAGCTCGAATTGTGGGCTGCATCTCGAGATGAGGTATGAATCTACGGTTATAGGGCCGATATATTGAAAAGATGAAGACAGAGACAGTATGGATCCCGATGTCATCACATCTCGGGTGATAGACCGGGACAAATTGTTTGGCTTTGTTGAATTCTAAAGCCTTCGGCTGCTGTCGGCTTGTCGAAGCTTCAAGTCGCTGATGATTGGCTAAAGCGTCACCGGTAAACGGGAATCACATGCCCGCGGTTCCCCACGATCCTCTTGCGGGGGATGATCGGCGCGGTACTCATTTACCTAAATCGCCTTCAACTTGAAACCACCTCATCCTCATCTCTCTCTTCACCCACTCGTTGATAGAATGATGTTACGCTCAGCGACACGCGCTCTCAAGCCTTCCTGCTCATACAAGGTTATGAGAAACGTAACAAGGTCCGTACACTGGCTGGATAACTGTTTCGTGGATCGAAAGCACTCATTCCGAACACTCTCGGATCATGTTGCAGGACGTTCTCAACCAGTCTTGCTCGTCAGGAAGGAACCTTGAACTCACTGCACACTTTTACTGAGGAAGAGGAAATGCTACGTGAAGCCGGTGTGTCTCCTGTGCAATACTCCGCGTCCTTGGAATTACTCTAATACAGTTGACATGTAGTGCGACGGTTCTCACAGGACGTCGTAGCGCCGAAGGTCCGTGAGATGGACGAGAACGAGCAAATGGACCCTTCAATAATCACCGGTCTGTTTGAGCAAGGCGTAAGAAATAACAGTTCATCTACTCCTCTCTTAGACTTCTCACACCTTCTCGAACAGCTCATGGGTATCGAGACAAGTGCCGACCACGGAGGCGCCGAGTCATCATTTACTTCCGCCATCATCGCCATAGAGGAACTCGCCAAGATTGATCCCTCAGTGTCCGTCATGTGCGACGTGCACAATACTCTCGTCAACACCATCTTCCGCAAATATGGCACGAAGGAGCAACAGGACAAGTGGTTACCTCAGCTGGCAGAGTCTAAGGTCCATCCACGTTGTATCTTCACGTCTTTAACTCATGCTTACTCGGGCGTACTCTGTTCAGCTGGGAAGTTTCTGCTTGTCTGAGCCTGCGTCAGGCTCCGACGCATTTGCGCTTCAAACTCGCGCGAAGAAAGACGGCGACAATTGGATCATCAATGGTTCCAAGATGTGGATCACGAACTCTCATGAAGCCGAGATCTTTCTCATTTTCGCCAATGTACGTCTCCGCTTCCGTTGCATGGTTGAATTTTGTCTTGACTCACACGTCACAGATCAATCCAAGTGCTGGCTATAAGGGCATAACTTGCTTCGTTGCCACAAAGGACATGGGTATCGAGATCGCGAAGAAAGAGCAGAAGCTCGGCATTCGTGCTAGTTCGACATGCACTCTCAACTTCGATGACCTCAAGGTTCCTGCTGAGAATATTATCGGCGGCGAGGGCAAGGGCTACAAGATTGCTATAGAAATTCTCAATGAAGGTTCGCTTGATGTTCTCCCCCTGGTTGTACTATGTTCTTCTCTCATAATTTCCTTCTTCTTTGTCTTTTTGAAATTGCAGGCCGTATTGGTATCGCTGCACAAATGCTTGGTCTTGCTCAAGGTGCTTTCGACAAATCTGTCCCGTACACCTACGAACGCAAGCAGTTCGGACAACCCGTTGGAACCTTCCAGGGCATGTCCTTCCAGATTGCCGAAGCTGCCGTGCAGCTAGAGACCGCTCGGCTCTTGACCTACAATGCGGCGAGGCGGAAGGAAGAGGGCAAAACCTTTACTAAAGAAGCAGCGATGGCGAAATATTGGAGTAGTGTTGTGGCACAGCAGGTGTCGGGGTCGGCAATTGAATGGGCTGGAGGCGTGGGTTTCACGAGGGAGACCGGGATAGAGAAGTACTGGAGGGATTCGAAGATCGTAAGTCAACTGCCTTGCTGTCGAGTGCTAGTTGGCTATGCTGACGGCGTTTCGTACGACACAGGGCGCAATCTACGAGGGAACTTCGAATATCCAGCTGCAGACCATCGCTAAGTTCATCCAGAAGGAATACTCATGACGGACAAACGGACATCCCCTTTAGCACGACCGCCTGCTCCGCATGCCATTGTATAATCTTTGCAATTAAGAGAGGAGCACTGTATATCTATGTCACAATATCATACTAAATCATCACCACAGTCAGACCACACTCAAGTATAGTGGTAGTATTATGTCCGTTCAGATTTGAGTTCTGGCTGTCTCTTCATGAAGAGGAGCACAGACTCGTAGACTGCCCATCCAATTGCCGAGGAGAGAACTTTGCGAGAAAGGCGGAGGGAGGCACCGTCGAAGAAGCCGAGTAGGCCTCGTTGCTATATTATCAAGAGACGAGGGTAAGTTCGATGGATGCACTCGTCAACTTAACGAAAGGTGCAGACTTGAAATATCGTTTTCACAGTCCGCGCGAGACCGTGATATCTGTCCTCCGTGCGTACTTGTACTTTTGTCTACGATTTCTAGTGTAAGTATACAGTACATGGACTAGACAAGCAAGAGAGGCCGGACCTTGATCACGTCGAACGGATGCGTAGTCAACGTCGCTACTGTCCCAGCCGATGCGGCTGACAGGCTATGCAGTAGTGCAGAACTCATCGTCGAGTTCGGCGGTAGCAAAACAGCTGTACCCATCGTTGAAATCAGTCACTATGAATCCTTGATTAGGCAGTAATAGACGTACTGGCATTCTGCTTGATTGCTTCATATGATACGACGAAGATGCCAGCGTAGGGTGCGTCCCGTAGTGAGGAAGCTACAAAGCCTCGGAGGAGTTCGGAGGGTCCGGAACGGACCATGGAGAGGAAAGCGGAGGAAAGGGAGGCATAGGAGTACATATTGCTCTACCAGCATGCACAATTTAGGAAAACCAATTGCACCAGTCATCCAGAGGGAAGAAGCAAACCTCATAACGCGTCTTGAGCACCGAGACTGGATTCAACAAGAAACCGATGGCGACCCTCGTCGTCGCGCCCGCTAAGAGGTTGCCTGTAACAGTTAGTGAAGGAAGAACTGATGCGTGTGTTGAAGTGTAGCTAGACGGTGTGCGGATGACGGAGAAATAGGGTGAAGTGGCGAGGAGTGACCGGATGTGGTTGAGGGATGTCATGTAGAGAGCTATGCCGGGGACATTACTGGTGTGGCACCTCGTGAGCGTGACGGAAGAGTGAGGATTAGACTATATGCTACCGGATGAGACCAGCGTTTGTGCCTCGCCAGAGTCCACGAACGCCTTTTGTGGCGAGGATATCCTTGGCCGTACCGATAATGCTCCTTGTATTCCTATGCGGAAAATTAGCCCGATACGCGACTTGGAGAAAGATTATGTTACCTCGCTCTGACAATGTCTCCCGGTTCTCTCTGCTGTATCCGTGTCTTCAAGAGGTCAACTAGCGCGACAGATGAGTGAGAACTAATGTAGGAAATGTGGCACTCGTGAAGAAGTGACAAACATGGCTGGAGTGCGATTGTTGTGGCAAGACCGGACAAACCGCCTAGAATCATACATAAGCATATGTGGTCTGCAAATGAACCCGAAATCGCACCAACCAGAGAGAAGATGATGTCCCACATTGCTCATCAATCAGGCAGAGCTCGGGGTCGTATGAGCGCCCAAGTGCCTACTATGCGGATGGCAGCGGTGACAGTTCAAGTTAAACTGGCGACACAGTTACCAGAGGCAATACCGCACAGGCTAGAGGAGGCTTTTGAAGTCAGAAGTGTGTAGGACTGAGAGTGCGAGGAAGTTGACCGTTGAGGCAAAGTTGAAGCGGAGATTCCCGGGACGCAAGGCGTCAACCAATCGTCAGTCGATCATTCGATCCATTCCGTCCTGTCATTCAACGACGACGTAGTCGATCACCGTGATCCTGGTGGGCATTTCCCAGAGTAAGTACCGGCAGGTTCTTGTAAGTAGGTTCACTCTGCACTCCATGCCTCCAGTATGACCTCTGGATAGGTGGTTTCTTTAACACATTTGTCACATCTTTTTGTACCGATCCAGTCTGAGTAGCGCCGCTTCGGACTCCAGTCACCAACTCAGCCATGGGCCATTCCACCCTCCCCCTGACTTATAGCTTTTCAGTCGAGAAGGCCTCGCATCCCGTAGTTGGCTTCGTCGAGGGAAAACCATTCAGGAAGTTCAGAGCTTGGCATGAAAGGTACCGAGTGTCTGAGTTGATGTCTTTCATTATGTGTATCATCATGCGCACTAACTGAAGCCTCTTGCGTCTTTGGCTACTATTGTCTTGTCATACACACTTCTGTGCCCTACAGAAAGGTGCGCTCATATGCATTTTGAGTCGCTGCCGATGAGATTTGATGTTCTGCCGTTGTAAAGAATATTCTCGTTCTTTGGGCGGCCTTCGTCTTGATCTTCTTCAGCACTCTAGGTTACCCCTATAATTTGCTATTCGGGCCTCGAGGATGTTTTCGGGAAGCACCGCCATTGCCGGACCTATACGAAGCCTCTATGTTGGAGCTTCAGGATGGTCTGTCAAAGGGGTACTTCACCAGCGTCGATCTTGTTCAGGCGAGTATTACTCGTCGCTTGGCACGCATCGAGTCACTGTATCGAACATTATGTACTTGGATATATAGGCGTATTTTGCTCGCATAGAGGAGGTCAATCATCGAGGCGCGAATTTGCATGCCGTTATCGAGACGAGCCCGAGTGCTCTGAAGCAAGCGGCTGCTTTGGACAAAGAGAGACGGAAGAAAGGCGCTCGTGGACCTCTGCATGGAATCCCCATCCTCCTGAAGGACAACATCGCCACTAAAATTAGCGATGGTGATTCGCTATAAACATATATCATATATTCTATCTACACTAACATTATGCTGTTCTCGAGGCATGAATACGACAGCGGGATCATATGCACTCCTTGGATCTGTACCTCCCAGGGATGCGACTGTGGCTGCGAATCTTCGTGAGGCGGGTGTCATATTCATCGGAAAGGCTAGCATGTCAGGTACATCGGCCCCATTCTTCTCTCATTTACATACCTGATATTGTCAAACTCCTTCTAGAATGGGCACACAATCGGGCGTTCATTATCCCTTCGGGTTGGTCAGGTCGTGGCGGCCAGGCTACGTCACCTTACTACCCTCTAGGCGACGCTGGTGGCTCGAGTACCGGTAGTGGAACGGGAACAGCTATTGGTTTGGCTGCTGCGGCTCTGGGTACGGAGACGGACGGGTCGATTGTTGGTCCTTCATCGAGAAGTAATATCGTAGGAATCAAGCCTACGGTTGGTTTGACATCCAGAGCTGGAGGTTAGCCAGTTTACAATTTGTCGTGTGGGTAGCTGAAAAGTACTGATTTAATTCGTAGTCATCCCAATTATGCGCCATCAAGACACCGTTGGGCCCATGGCTCGGTCCGTCGCGGATGCGGCTGTTCTCCTTACTACCATTGCAGGACGTGACATTCTAGATAACTTTACCCTAGCTCAGCCATCCCCATTGCCCAATTATCTGGATGCGCTGCAACCATTTGGTCTTGCGGGCGTTCGGCTGGGTGTAGTGCGAAATTTGATGACGGAGAGAATGGACTACGTTCACGAGGCATTGAACCACTCGATGGACATTATGCGAGGTTTGGGTGCGGAGATTGTAGAAGCTGACTTCACGAACGAGTTCGATATCAAGAAATCCACTGAGGGGCAGCATTTGGTTGCTGCAATCGATTTCAAGGTGAGATCCGGATACGGTCAACTATCATAGCACTAACTTCTGTTGATGTACAGGAAGAGATAGAGGCATATATTTCTAAACTCCTGGACGTCCCGACAGGCGTAAAAAATATTTCAGATATTATACGGTTTAATATTGACCACGCCGATCTCGAGTTGATACCACCTTACTGCGCTACTCAGGATGGGTGCGTCGACTTCGACTTTCTCGCCTAAGAGTCGTCAAAGCCCAAACGTAAAGCTCACCATCCTGTTTACACAGGCATATCGAGGCTGAGACCTCGATAAAAAACGAGACATACTATCAAGCCATCGAGCGCAATCACAACATGGGTGGTAGGGATGGTATTGATGCCACTTTGAAGAAGTATCGTGTGGATGCTCTTATTCTGCCGACGATGGGTATACAATATTGACGATCTATGGCCGATTTATTGCCTTGGAGTTCTGACACGACATTTTGCTGCACAAGGTCATGTCACTCGTCCAGCCGCTATAGCAGGGTATCCTCTCGTCACTGGTACGTCCGAACCTTCGGTTTCTTGCGCATGCCAGTTGACCCCTGTTCTCTCAGTTCCACTCGGTTTCACACCCGACGACGTTATTCCAGGGCCGGCCGAGCCTGTCATCGATGAAGCACCCGGAATGCCGTTTGGACTCACATTCATGGGCACGGCATGGAGCGAATTTGAGTTGATAAAGTATGCGTACGCGTACGAGCAGGCGACGCATGTGAGGTTGGGGAAAAGGGCGTTTGAGATCGCGGTCCCGAAGACGCAATTGATTGATGTTATGATATGAGGGTCTGACGACGAGCGCGGCTAATTGCGACGTGTATGATCTACGTGTCTGTTTTGTGTTTCCATGGAGAGCTTTACTGCTCTCGTATGAATCTCCCGTTCAGTCATTGTCATATTTAGTCTAGAATTGGTGAATGCAGAGCCTTTATATTGCCGGCCAGAGATACTGCACCGACTAACTGCTAAAGGCAGCCGTTATAGACTGAGGCTATAAGCATTTGTTCTTGTGTGTGGTCGTGCAGCAGCTTGGGGGAATGACACTCGTGGAGAGAGTATCAATGGTTCACGATTGGTGTATATCAAGGAATAAATATGCGGCATGTATGTAAAGACAGTGCCAACGTCCAAAAACCCAGAAGTAAAGTTTAAACGGCTAAGAAAAGATGGTGAACCTGTGTGGAATATGGTATCTGATTAGAAAGTAAATCCGCTTGTGGGGCAATTCGAGTCGGAATAGTAGGTCGCATCTTCGGGGCCATATTGAAGGGGGTTACAACTATATTGGCACAGCGGTTGGTGAGCCTTTTTCTCACTCACCGTGATCATAAAAAAAAAACAAGGCTCACCCAGGTAGTCTGTCCAGAATAATGCCGTCGCCACCGACAGTCTCGTCAACCACGACCTGGGCCTTACATGTCGAAGCGACTGAAGATTGCTGGACTGTCAAATACGAACACGCCTCAGTGACACCATCCCAGGTCTCGTCGTTGGGGTTGTTGCAGTCGTCAATGGCGTTCTGAAGGGCGGTAACGTCCCAACCGTTCTGGAAGTCTCCGTGCCAGGACAGACCCGTAGGATCGCCGGTGGCGTAGACGAAAGGCCAGGCTGAGGAATTCGTGGTATCCCAACTGCAATGAAACATGGTCAGGGTAAAAATATGCAGTTTAAGATGCATTGAACCGCACCGGTCGGCAAAAGCATTGATGTCCCAAGTAACCTCGTATAGAAGCTTCATGAGACCAACGGGGTGGGTATCTGGGCAAGCTCCATTGTCAAGCTCAGAGAGGAACGCCGTGTGTGACGTATGGTCTGAAGAGTCCAAGTTCTGTATGGCCATGAATCATATCAGCCAGTGGTTAGCTGCGATCGAAATGAGACAAAGACTCACCACACCGTCCCAACAAGCAGGGAAGTGAATTCGCGCGTTCAATCCGGCCTCACAATTCGTCGTTGGGAATCCGTACCCTGGATTCTTGGTCAGAATATCTGAGAGAACACGAGTAAGCAGCCAACTCACCATCGTAGCCATCAACGCCATCAGTGTATCTCAAGCATGAGAAGAACTGAGCGCGTTCCGCCAACGCAGCTTGGGATGGGTCACTCGTCGAATATCTTGATAACCCAATTAGTCCCAAGACGAGGCTGCAAACTTCATTACATACTGAGTACCACGACGTGCAGGGTTTCCGGATATCATCTAAAGAGGGAAAGAGGGAAAGAGAATGTTTGAGAAGAGCATCCGATGCAATGATCAATGCTTACCTTGAAACCGGCAGGGAAGGCTTTGAGACCGGGACCACCGTTAGAAACGTCGAGGTCTCCACGGTTCTGATAATAGACAAGGAGACCTGGATATTTCTATCAGAATAGAGCCTTCAGGCGGACAGTAAGGAAAGACACAGACCACCATTGCTAACTTCCTCGTACTGCTGTGTAGTGGGATCACGGAAGTAGAGCTTGGGGAACCCTTAGAGTACAGACTGATCAGTAGGGTTCCGAGCTATAACCCATTTCGTCAAGATGCGTACAATAATTAGTATCATCCTGCGTGAAGTCAAGAGCGTGAGATCAGTATGTTCAGATGGTGAAAGGATGTCAGAAAACAACTGTACCTGAGTGACAAGGCATGATGTACATGAGGAAGCTCGGAGTGTGTCGAAGGTGGCGTTAGCCGCAAAGTCTGCAACGAATGTGATCCTATGTGAATTCGGGTTTGAAACTTCCAATTCAAATGACCATACTTTGACCACCGTGGATAGTCTGTGAAATAAGTAGCATGTGAGCATGAGCATAGAAGTCCTGATTCCTGTAGGAAACAACAAACATGAACGTGGTTGGAAGGAATGACGCCGGGAGAAATGACAGGGTCAACACGCTCTAAGGATTGAGAGTGACCGCATTAGTTTGGCAGAAACATACATGATCATTAGGAGACATACCCGAAACTAGAGGAGTCGTGCAAGCAACACGGAACCATGCGAATGCGGATTGACTTGAAGCAAGAGCAATAGCAGTGGCAATAAGACCTGAGGAGTACATGACGGAGAAAGGCTGGGGCTCTGAAGCTTGCTGCAGTACGAAATCTTGTGAAGCAGCTTTTATAGAGTATTGGTTGTCCAAATCTAGTACGGAAGCCTCGGTCGTCGACTCTATGGGCCAGGCACTTTGACGACGGATGACCAAAGCATGCAGATCAATCAGAATCAAAAATTCTGAGCCACTGTCTCTCTTGCGCTGTGATGCACCTGAAATTTCTTGGCATGATTAGAGAGGCTGAATTACGAGGGGGAGGAGGACGAAGTTGACTGCCGATCTCACAGGAAAGCCGGCATGTCCCTGCATTTCCGTATCCACATGGACCGCATCAGAGTGAAACTTGTGGAACGATGTTCCGGTGATCGTATTGAGCTGGTCACAGGAATGGAGTTAACTGCACGCCGTAGAAAAGCGGCGGGAGTAGTACTCGACCGTGGCCAGTCTCCGTCAGTGCGAGCTTATCTTGTTAGTGGTATAAGATCACCTACCCACCCTCACTTACAGGCCTCAGAAAATGGCTCGGAGACAGCATGTCGCAGGAAATTTGTTAATAGCCCAGTACATAGACCTTTGAACCAGTAACTTTACAACGGATGAAGATTGTGCTTCAATATCATGGAGTCTGCAGATAGTAATGACAAAAACTGTCCCCGCATCGAGCCCGTGAAGTATCCACGGTGTGACCCATCGATGGTCCGGTGGATACCAGAATCAAAGTGAGCATGCACGAGGTACCGAGAACCAAGTAGGGATGTGCATGTTCAAGTTTACTTCACGGTTGTAAGTAAGCCAGGCGATGAGTCCAGATGCAACGTATCCACAGAAAAAAGAGGCCTCCAAAGCCCGTACGCAGATTGATTGTAGTAGGCCTGTAACACAGAGTGCACACGTAGTAACCTAGTATAGCATGGGGAAGTCCCGACGGCGACTTCGTGGCCTGGCAGTGAGGTGTCCACGGTTGTTTCACGAAAAATCGGCTGTAGACCTGCGGTGCCGAACTCTTTCATGTAAAGGGGCTGGGAACTGTCGGAGATGCAATGGAGAGCACACAAGTCGGCCGCCATGAGTAATGCGAGTACTTGGTGGAGGAGCCGGTTTTTTGTTCGTTGGACCTCTGTTGGATGTGTCGGAGATTCAATTTTGACCAGGTCCGACCGTGTGGCAGTCTGAATCACGCAAGTTCATTCTTTCGCCAAGTTTGACTTTTCCCGACTTACACGGGAGATGATGGCTCTGTCCAGCATGCAGACGTCCTTCTACTAAATGATGGGGTGACTAATTCTCTGATGCGTTCAGTTTCCTCCGCGACCCTCTGGTCCTCATCGTATCAAAGCGTTTTCACCTGGGATCAGCGACCTTCAGCGACTCCGAAATCAGGACACGCACCGCATGGCTCTCGGCGCATGCTATCATACCTTCTGAGCTCGCTTGCAGCATGTAACGTTGCGCGTTTCTGTCTGTATGCATCTCATGGTGGACCTGGCCGCTGATCGAGACGCTCATACTATTTCTATGTTCTAAGGGCCTTGCCTGAGCATTTTGCACCCTCCTTTAACTCTTTCAGCTCAGACACTTTCCCCTTCAATCCCTTCGTCTTTGCTCCTTCCTTGATTCAACATGACCCGCACATCATTTATCAATATTGGGCCGCTTTATCTCCTGCTCGTCCTGGGAATGACCCTAGTTGCGACAGCCGTCAATCCCAAGCGTGGTCTTGCTTTCGCCGACTCGCAAAACACTGGAGATATAAGCACTGCCGTCCAGAGTGGAACCAACATTAGTTGGATATATGACTGGGGTACCACGGCGCCTTCATATCTTATGATCCCGGGTATCGCTTACTATCCCATGCAATGGGGTGAGGGTGGCGTCGAAAGCTTTGGCAGCGAGGTTATCTCTCAAGCCGCGACTGTTGCTCTGGTAAGTTATGTTTTCTTTCTTCATTACGAGGAAAAGTACTGATGACGTTGAAATTTGTTTAGGGATTCAACGAACCAGACTTTGCGACTCAATCCAACATCACCGCCTCGGACGCGGCCGCTCTGTGGAAGCAGTACATTGACCCTCTCCATGACAGTGGCATCAAGCTCGTCGCACCTGCAGTAACAAACGCAGACACCGGTCTTCCTTGGTTATCCGACTTCTTAGCTGCCTGTTCAGACTGTCACATAGGCGAGTAAACATGTTTTGGTTACCACTTCGTTCATGGCAAGACTGACCACATTTTATACGTCCCTTGATGCTGAGCAGACGCAATTGCTTTGCACTGGTATGGTGACGGTTTGGGTTCATTCTACGATTATATCTGGTCGGCACACGGTCAATTTGCGGACTACAACGTCTGGATCACGGAATTTGCGAGCACGAACTCGGACAGCTCTGGTGCGCATCCTATCACGGTACAAGACTGACACCTTGCTCATGCTGTCTCAATGTTGTGCCTGCTCGGCCTAGTGGTGCTGGACTTTTTGAGCCAGTCCATCGCGTATCTCGATAGCCTCGATTGGATTGAGAAGTACTCCTGGTTTGGGTTCTTCGTACGTTACGCTTCTTTTGCTCTCGTTTGATTGATTCCTAAGTCTCTGTTCTACCTATAGCGCGACGATGGTACATCAGCCTACAGTGAGGCAGTTACACGCGTTTCAAATACGATCGTACCCACTGACACACTCCCGTTTCTAGACTTACTGGACAGCGCCGGGGCTCTCAACGATAGAGGCCATGCTTACTTTGGAATATGATTTGACGTGGCATCTCTATGCGAAAGATGTCTGTTCCAGCGTGAAGGGTTGTTGAAGGGCTCTACTGAGACTACACTCGGATTGATTGCATCTACTTTAAGCATATTTATTCATTGTGCATGTACGCGTAGCAAGCATGGAGTATGCTTATACCTTAGCCCATGGTATCGCTGCAACTGCCACAATTATATTGAGATCTGTTTGACACTTTCTGTCTGACCCACCAAGTTTCGAAGGTTTGACGCAGCAAAAGGGGAGTGTTGTACCTGACCTGACGCCACACGGCTCCGAGCGGAAGTGGCGAGCGATGGTCGTGGCGATGCATAAGTGTAGCACTGTATTCCTTTAGCCCAAACGGCCACCTCGATTCCTCTAAACATTCTCGGTTCTCTATCCCTACTCATCAATTCTCACGTGTGAGGACTGCTGTTCAGTCAATGGTCTTCTCCAACCTCCCAACACACGAGAAAGATGCTTTCTTCTCACTTTTGGATGAGTTGCGCCGCACATTCTGGTCATCGAAGTCATCAGTCTATGATCTCACCAGCTCTTCAGATACTTCACCTCTCGTCCAGACATCCTCGGATCTCTCTCCTCGGATAGCCCTGGAGGGCAATCCCATGGTGCAGCAGCAGGAGCAGCCGTGCACAAAGCACTTGCGAACAATCCTGCCCTGACCGCGAACCTCGTATCGACTGGACTGAAGAATGTACCGAAAAGTAGCCCATACTCGGGCGTGGTGCGTTCCGTAATACTTCCTTGTCATGTATCGCATAATTAAAGAGGGTTATGTGTGCGGATTATAAGGCATCGAACACTTCAGTACAGAACGCAGCAGGTCGGGTTGCCGCAGCTTCGCTTGCTTTCTCTGGACGAGAACAAGCACCTCCGTCGTCATCGTCGACAAAACCTACACCACCAGCGTTTCATGCGAGGAATAGCTCCAGCACGGAGGATGATTCTGCTTCTGCGAGCTCGGCTACACGAAATCTCGCTCATACGAAGGTACGCCAGTACTCTCATTTAGCCCCTTTTCCCTTTAACCGCATCTGTATCCATCAACCCTCCACGTCTTTCTCCTGCCCTCTTAACTGCTCCATGGGTGACGCTCGGCAATGCAGAGATTCGGAGATGTCGACACTTCGTCCGCCAAGAACATGTTCACCTCCCTCCGCAATTCTACAGCCAACAAATCCGCCACACCACCCTCAGTAGCACCTCCCATCCCAGCCGCTTTCGGTCCCAAACGTGGTGGCTTTGCTCCTCCTCCCGTCCGCCATGTATCTCCTGCTCCTGCGCCAGAGCCGGAGCCTGAGCCTGAGGAGGAGACTGCGGGTGAGTGGGCAGAAGCATTGTATGACTACAGCAGTGCGGTATGTGTATCTATATCTTCATCCTATGTATCCTGCTGCATGTATTACGGCGATTTTACTCATGAATATGACTGTCTGTACTGTTCTACAGGAATCGACAGATCTGGAAATCAGAGCGGGACAGCGTATCTTGGTCACCGAGAGGTCTTCCGCAGATTGGTCCGTCCTGTATCATTCATCAGAACTTTTCGCAATGCTGAATTACCCCTGCTTATCCTCGTTTTAGGTGGACCGGTGTGGCCGACGGAAAGAGTGGACTGTTTCCGGCCGCATATGTCAAGCTCCTATAGCAATGGTCACTATTGCCTCCGTCACTTGATGGTCTACAATAGAATCGTGATTTATGGAATAAAGCGCTCGACGCAAGTTGACAGAGGTTGACAGCAGTCTTCCTCAAGCTGAAAGCCCGACGTTACAGTGGTGAACAACGTCGACGATGAAGAATGGTCCAGAGCCACACCTACACTTCAACCATCAATGACCGTCAGAGCGGATACCAAGCGCATGTATATGCTCGATGTCATCGTACTTGGCCCCTTCGTGGTCATTAGCCTCTCCAAACCACACTATCGCCGTTTCAGCCAACAGGACACCGTCTATCATTTCTGCGCAAAAGCAAGCGCTTTGGAGACTCTCTCTTGTAGGAGGGGTAATGGCTTCACAGGGTGACGTCCTCACAACCGGGCGTGGAGGTGACAAGAGCGTCGTTCGTAGGGTCCGGCGAAGAGACCTTGATCAAGGCCGAAACGGCTGGACTTGAGTTTTCTGCGGATTCATGCTTCGATGTGAAATTTGGTAGTTTTTTTGTTCGAAAATATGAGCTCATGAATCTCGAGCTCTTCAAATGCAATTGCGCAAGGTCTTTGAGCAACACAGAAACAAAGGACGTCCGAAGTAAGTATGGCGAGCTCAAACATGGTACAATGCCGATGAAAAATAGGTCGCTCTGCTCGTGTACATTTTAATGGTCGATCTGTCGTAGACTGTAGGTATGTAAGCATATGCGTGAAGAGTCAGAGCAATTGGGAAGGAGCAAGCTATAATGTAGAAGTAGCAGAAAGGTGTGCATGCGTGCGTAAACGGTCGGTAATGGATGATCTGATACATGATGACTGCAAGAGCTGGTTCATAAAACCAATGAGGGACGAGACGGATGATCGGATGGCAGACAAGGACGGCGTAAGATAAGAGAAGTATAATTACAGGAACAGACAACGAAAACCATGCGATGGAAAGCGAGGAGACGGCGCAAATTGAACCTATGCTTTTATGGACTGTGTATAGGGGAGGAGTTATAACCAGAGTCCGTTGACGGCCATGGAGAAACAGTATCATCGAGCATGATACCACTGATACGCTTGTATATTGATTCGGGATAACCTCTGTGTAAATTGTTAGGAAGGACGCATTGGAAGTCATTGTGGATGAACTGCGTACCTCATAGATAGCCTGTCCAGCAGGGCAACTGCCTGATCCCGATTCCCGCATCCCAACTCTGCTCGCACCATTGCTTCCCATGTGGAAGGCTGATGATAATGGATAATGTTAGTCTCATATATATCCTCGACCGTGTAAAAACGTGCTCACCTCGCGATATACAGGATCTTGAGGGTTTACGTAGTGAGGTGGTGAGGCGTCATGGGGAGCATGATTGTTCGCGGCCGCGACACCCGTAGGCGGGTCAGCGAGACTCTCGAAAGCTTCTCGTGCCCGTACGATGTCTCCCGCAGACGCGTGGCCTTTGATGAGGATGTTGACGATATAGGCCGTCATGTGGATGCCACTCTTGGAAAGACGGTCGAGGTACACGGGAATGAGGTCCGTGCGACGATGAGTGACGAGGACATTGATGATAGCTTCGTACGCGACGGCGTCGGGGAGTTGAGTGGGAGCAGTCCGGGTGGTCGAGTGATTTGCGATGGACTCGAAGACCTCAAGAGCCTTGTCGAGGTCCTTACCGACACACCCATAGGCATTGATAAGAGAAGCCCAGTGAGCACCAGTGACTTGCAAGCCCTTCTTGACAAGCTGATTGAAAGCCATGCTCATGGCATTGAAATCCGGTGGCTCGATGGTACCGTATGCGTCGATGAGCAGCTGTGATAAAGAAAAGCTCAGCAGTGCACGAAACCAACGCGTAGAGCGAAGACATACCTTATATGTATGCGCAGATGGCTGAATCCTGGCTCGCTTCATCTCTTCGTAGTAGTGCAGGAACTGAGCCCTGTTCGGCTTGGTCTGAACGAAGAATTGCATCATGGTATTGTACGGCGGGATACGAGGCTTGAAATTCGGCTGCTGGATCATCTCATCGAAAAGCGTCTCCGCCGACTGGACGTCGCCGACTCTGCAGCACGCAGCGATCAGAGCGCCGTAGGTTACCGAGGAAGGCCTGATCATGTGCGCCCTCATCTTCTGGAACAGTTCGATGGCATAGTCGGCCTTGCGAGCCTTTGCGAGTTTCGAGATGACGGTGTTGTAGAGGAAGAGGTTCGGGGTTACTCCGCGCATCTGTGACTCTTCGAAGTAGGCGACGGCGCGGGCAGTGTCGTCAGTGGTCTCCCGGACAGCCTGAATCATAGCACCGTACGCGTCGGCCGTGGGCGAAGCCCCATTCTCCAGCAACCGCATACGGTGAAGATCCGCACGAGGGCCGTCGCCAAGATGTCCGTGGGCGATGATCATAGCGTTTTCGACCGTAAACCAACCCTTGACCTGTTCCTCCTTATTGTTCTCCAGAAGCGAGAGTGCTGTCTGGGCGTCATCGTAAAGCACATATACCTCCCGAGGAGCCTTCGCACGTCCAAGCGCTTCGATGAGATGAGCAAGGACCTCAGGAGTGGGGTAAAGGCCCTTTGCCTTGCCTTCGACAACTCGCGCGAAACATTGATGAGGGGACACGGAGGAGCGTTGACCTTGGGAATGCTCGTCTACCCACCTACTGTGGAAAGCATCGATTGTGAGGTTCTGAGCAGGTTGTGGAACCCTGGTCTCGGGCTTTTGTGGGGTAAGCATCTCATCCAACGTCTCCAGGAGAGAGGAGTACGCGGGCCCCAGAGAAGTTAGGAGCTCGCGGACGGGTTGCTCGGTCTCCACGCTGGCCACAACCGCGAGGAGGCTCTCGACGTTCGATTTCGACAACTCCTTCAGATCGAATCCTCGCTCGGCCATATCTGACAGGAGAGAGCGGGCGAGCGCAGCGGCGGCAGTACCAGCGGCAGCTTCGTCTCGGGTGACAGCCATAGCGAGAAGTTCCCAGTCTTGTACCTGTAGTTGCGCGGCCTCGTTTGACTCCTTCGCGGAAGTGTACGAGCGCGAGAGGGCCTTGGCTAAATTCTGGCTGATGTGTAACCCGCGGTTGTGCCAGGCAGTCGCAAGTCGAAGACAGTCACGGAGGGAAAGGTCGCGAGGAGATCCTAAGGCGTCAATAAGGATACGATCTGTCAGAGGACTGACGGAAATATCCGCCCTGACCATGGTGCCATCGACGTGAACCGGAAGTCGATGGTCTACGACAGCCAGAAGGCCTTCTACGACCCGGATAGCGACGTCGACATTCCCATACTCGATCGCAACGGCGGCGAGAGGCTCCAAAGCGTCTGCTCCGCCCATTTCCCTCAAGCGAGGCGTCCACTTCCTCGAGTCTGATCCAAGGATGTGGTTCAGCGTGAATTCCATTATTTCGTTCGCCTTGTCGAGTGAAAGGGCACCCTTCTTCTCAGTCAGGTACTTCACATTAGCGTGGTACGCAATGGCTTGTACACTAGCGAAGGTGCGAAGCTCCACGATGTCATATCCACCAGCCTGCGTCCAGGACGACGTTTCGTCTTTCAGAATTCGGTTGAGGTCCTCGACCATACCATGGGCCGCGAGAGCTTCGACTATATTGTGCCACATGTGGGCGTCGGGCGCAGGAGGCTTGCTGGTAGGCTCGTTATGGTCCGCTGGCCGATGATCCTCTTGCATCAATCGTTCGAACCAGATCAAGGCCGTAGCGACGTCGCCGTTGCGGATGAAGCCTCTGATGATGCAATTGAAAGTGGCGAGGTTCGGGTTCGGTACTTCGGCGGGAGTGAAATCCGGGCCAGCCTTGCTGTCGAGCATCTTCTCTAAGAGCGAGAGCGCGCTGGCCGGGTCATTGACTTGGAAGTAGGCATCGATCATGTGGTTCCAGATGCGGATGGTGCCGACGTGCGCGTCGAAACCTTTGTCGGAAGTCCAGAATATCCTGTTGTCGCGAGCGGCACGCAAGTATTCATCGAATACGACTTTGGCACCCTCGATATCTCCGCTGGTCGAGTAGGTGGAGATGAGGTACAGGTAATATAGTTGAGAGAGCTTATTGTCTGAGTTCTTCTCGGCCTGAGCAAAAATGCGAATGGCGGGCTCGATGGTTCCGTGGGCCGCAGCAGAGCGTAAGAGGTTCAGGAAGATGCGAGAGGTGAACCGTGCAGTGGAGAGTGTGTTCGCAGCCTGGAACAAGGACATCGCAGACGCAAAGTTGTTCTCCGCCCGCAAAGCCTGAATCCGTTTCTCGTCGGTGAAGGCATCCGGCGAATCGGCCATACCCTTGAGCGTGCGGCGATGGATACGGGTCTGCAAGGTCGATATGATCTTTTGAGTCTCGAAGTCGCGCTCACAGAGAACGTCGATGAGCAGAGCGTAGGTATCCATATTGGGGACGATGTTCCGCCCAACCATGTCGTTGTATGCCTGAAGGATTTCCGTGACGGGTTCGCCTGGCGTTCTGACTGCGACGAGGTCTCCCATAACCTGATTCCAATCGCGAACCGTCGACCTCGTCCTCACATCGCGAAGACGGTCAAGAGCGAGATGAGCATTGTGCGCATTGGGTGAGCTAGAGCGATGGGGAGTTGGCGAGTTTTCCTTGGACTTTGGGGCATCAGGACTGAGGACGGTCTGAGGGGTGGCAGGATCTACGTCGGCAGCATTGAGAGAAGGCTGAGGAACAGGCGCGGAGGGAGGGATGTCGTGAAGAGGTTCACCTGACGATGGTAATGAAGCCGTGGAAGATGTGGAGTTGCGGCGAACCCGTTCGGTTGGCGGACTCTCCGGAATGACCTCTGGACGAGAGGGCTCTGCAAAAGCGTGTCTGGACCGAACGTGTTGTTGGACTGCCTTGAAGACCCCGAGTTCCTTGCCCCGCTCTACTCCCTCCCTAGAACCGGGCGAAAAGCTTTGACTGCGATTGCGATATCTCCGGGAGGAGCCTGAGACGACGACTGGCTTCAGAGAGACGTCTTCGTCGTCTGGCTGATTTGAGCCCGAGTCAGGTGCTGTAGATGTGTTGGCCTGCGTGATCGCGCGGCCAGGACCCTAATCGAACGAACGAAAGGAAACGGACGCGTGAGGGATGTCGTTCTGAGCATGCGATCCACGAAGGAGCCAAGGACGAAGGTGGAAGACTCACGGTGTAACCAGAGTAGAAACGACTGCCGGTATGATACTTCGCGCCACCTCCCGCACCTGCATGACCGCTGCCCCAACTCGAAGAGCCAGCACCATTCCAGGTTCCTAGCGAAGTGGAAGCGGACTGAGTACCCGAAGACTGAAGACCGAGAGCATTCTTGAAGGCATGGGTGGCCTGATTCTGGGCCGCAGCGGCGGCACGAGATGTATGCTGAAGGATGTGCGACGCTACCTGGGGAAGCGGCAACATCCTAAGAAAGAGAGACGGTCAGGAGCAGAACTTGCTCTACTGCTATACAGATGATGGAGAGGGTCGTAAGGCGCGAAGGCGCAGAGCGTGGACGACGACGACGACGAGGAGAGCGCGGTGGCAGAGCTTGACTCGCGAATATCAAACTGACCGAGCCCGCGAAATTCTTACGCGCCCCAACGGCACACCCGGGCTCCTCCTCCGGCTTGCTCCGTTGCTGGTCATCCTCCTAAGCGTCTCGCGTGTTTGGGCCACACTCATTATACACAACGACGAGATGGTCTGATCATAATCAAAAAGCTACCGCCCTGCTAAATCAATAACTCTCCACTCCACGCCCTCGAGCTCAAGCCCGTCCCAACTATACTCTTCTTCAACATCTTCCTCCTGAGATATCAACAACCCATGTCCCATCGTCGGCTTGTGGATCAGCTGAACAAGCACTTTCTCAACGGTGTTCTCCTTGATCCGAGCTAAGTGAACAATGAGCCCTGGACAGAATGTCGTAGGATCAAGACCCAATGCCTAAAAGGAGGATACCGATGAGTTAATGGTCGTCGAGATATATCGATCGTAAACGATGCACTGAGACGTACCTTCCACGCCACAACTGTCCCTGTAGGCAGGCTCCTCCTCTCGGCACGCGTAGAAACGGGTAATGTATCCCAATCATTCTCGGCCTTCGCCCAAAATACGAGGTCACCTTTACTCTCCCTCTCGTCGACATTACCACTCATCATCAAAGCCTCTGCGCTCTCATCGTCATACGGCAGCACCACGTCCTCCTCGTCCTCACCGTACCCACTGATATCCCACCCATTCTTCTCCTTCCGCTTTCTCTTTTTTCCGTCACCAGTCCCACCCTCATAATCTCCGACGTTCTCTCGCTCTCCATAATTGTACCCGTTCGCGGTCTGTTTTTCCTTCCCGTTTCGCTTCTTCCCGCCCTTCTTCGGCCACATCCCCTCTTCGACATCTACACTCGTCACAAACATCCTCCCTGGCAATACGCCCATCTCCTGCTTCTCGCTCGGCGGCACCAGTCTCGGCAAGCTTGGGTTCGCGTTCGAGCCGTGGCGACCGAAAGAGGCCGTAAGTCTTGAGGTCGGAAGGGCTGCATTGGGAGTTCCAGACGCGTGAACCTCCATGTCGACTTGAGGTGTAGATGAAGACCCAACGCCATCTGGTTGCTCATCCTCGAAAATGATCTTCGACGGCAATACACTCGCCATAGACCTCTTGAAGCCCCTCCTCTTGTTCTTATTCGATAAATTCATCATCGTCACTCCCACATCTGCCGTCGTAGTCGGTGACTGCTCCTGTTGTAGATGGCTGTTCTGCGAGTGTCGTGTGGGTGTCCCATTGGCAGATATGTGAGATGGAATGGGTGGGCCGAGCGGTATTGCATTAGCGGTCCCAATAGGGAGCGGTGGGTACGAATCGGGGTCTTCACGTTCGGCAGCCCTTTTCTTGCGCCGTCTTTGGTTGCGGCTGTGTGTGGCGTGAGTGCCTTGACCAGGAGGGATGTGTTCCGTTCTGGGAAGAGCAGGAAGTCGAGATGAAGTTGCGTAGTCGGATTGGAGGGAAGTGATGATGACAATTATAAACTTACACAACATTGTTACTCGCTGATTTGGGTATCGACAGCCCATTGTTCTGTTTTTTTAGTGGTGGTAGTTTGGAGTCCTTCGAAGGACGAACAGAAGGTGCATCCGACGAAGATGAAGAACTCGAGTCTGTGTCTGAATCCGACTCTGACGAGGATGATGAAGTAGACGAGCTCTCCTCAGACGAAGATGAGGACGAGGAAGATGAAGAGATTGATGTGGCCCGCACAGGAGCAGCTTTGGGCTCCACGGGCTTTGAAGTACTCGGAGCGGCTGCAAGTTTCGCTCTTTTTCGTGGTGGGGGTCCTGGTGACGGAGATCTGCGCCTCATAGTGGAGGATGTCACAGCATCAGCTACCTGCTGCACACTTATCCGCAACCCAATTTCGTCAGTTCGGATTGTCGAGCAGAAAAAAAACAAGTTGGGCCACACCATACAAGGTCTCCATCCCGAAGAACATCGACACCACTTGAGTCCAGCAGCTCGAAATCATCCATGAGCAAAAGTATATCCTTCGCGTGTATTCGTGCATCATGAAGGGCCCCGAGGTCAGCACATAGTCGTTGCTTAAGGGATTGTATTGTAATGAGCTTCTCCTGAGCTCTTGAGGCTGACGCGTGAGTAGGTTCTGGCAGAGAGTACCAGACGTGAATAGACGGTAGAGGTGGGACGGAGGCGACCTTGATGCGCATCGGGCTGGACAGTGAGAGCGAGAGATGTCGAGGGTGTGCTCGATGTCCGCCACAACCGCGACGCGCTCTCGGGCGTTACGTAAAGCGGGGAACAGCGCGTGGCGCGTTTCATGCCAGCACATTTCGGAGACGTGGCTCTCCTCCATTCCATCCTCCACCACGTCCTCGACTGGGCCTCACGCTCTCTTTCCATAAAACCCCAGCTGCCGACACGGCCGGTGTCCAACGATGGCCAGCTACCACTATGACGAGTCGGGCAACATGGCCCTCTACTTCATCATCACCTTTCTAGTCATCATCCTCATTCCTTTCTCCATCTCCGCCCTCTCTTCTGTTACCAAACGTATGTACATCCCCGTCATGTTTACTCTGTCATTTCCGAAGGCTTTAGAGAGAAAGAACGTCGCTGACAAGTGTTTGGGACTCGGTGACATGTTGCCCCGCATACAGGTCGTCCCATACCTACAGCGGCATGCGAATGTGGCCCTTGTGTTGAACAGCGCAAGCGGATAAAACAGCGCGAAACGGGCAGCCTCCTCCATCCCAACGTTTCTAAGAAGTTCGTCCGATACACTCACACTTCTCACATAACATGAACGCGGCCTTACGGTTTATATCTGTAGGAACGCGTTTGTCCTCGTCGGCTGGCTCCTCGTTGCTGGTCTGTCCTGGAAGGTCGGGAGTGCAGTCACGGAGAACAAGGTCTACAACCCGTATGAGATTTTGGGACTTGCCATGGTACGAAGGCCACACGTATTCCGCGGGCGTGTTGAGTACTCAATATTTGTTCTTCACCCATAGGGCGTAACGGAGAAGGAGATCAAATCGCATTATAAGAAGCTTTCCAAGATCTAGTACGCGCCCCCCTTCATCTTGCTCACCCTCAGTACCGATAATTCCCTCAGCCATCCCGATAAAATGAAGCCCACCGAGAACTCCACCGTCGAAGATATTGCTTCTTACTTCGTGGACCTCACCAAGGCATACAAATCGTGCGCTTGGATTGCTTACACGATTAGATTTCCAACATGCTGAGAATAGGGGTTTAGGTTAACAGACGAGACCATCCGCAAAAACTTCGAAGAATTCGGACATCCGGATGGCAGGCAAGAAGTCACCATGGGTATCGCACTTCCTCGATGGATCGTGGAAGCTCAGAACAATATCTGGGTTTTGGGTGTGTACGGCCTTCTATTCGGTGTTGCTCTGCCTATACTCGTCGTACGTATTACTCTTTATTTCCTTACATGCGATGTGAAGTTATTGATCATGAGCGTATACTTTTGCAGGGCCGCTGGTGGTTCGGCTCCCGTCAAAAGACCAAGGACGGCATCAACGCTCAGACCGCTTCTACCTTCTTCAAATCGCTCACTGAAAACGATTCCGTCGACAAAGTCTTCACCACCCTCTCTAAAGCTTCGGAATTCTCGCAAGTTCCTTCTACCTCTAAAGCCCCCAAGCCTAGCGTCGAGCAAGAATTGAAGGAGCTGGAGAAGAAGATTGCAGAGCTTGAGAAGGCACAATGGACGGATCTGAAAGAGTTAGTCGACGAGAAGGGTGAGGGTATGAATGGGCGGAGAAGGGTACTCATCTTGTTGCACGCGCATCTACTGAGGTTGGACATTCAGGATTCGGGACTGAAGAAAGGTTTGTTTATAACTCTCCCATACCTCACTTGCAATCCTTTCCTTTGTACTGAAACTCCGTTTGTAGAACAATCCGCGCTCCTTCTTCAAACGCCTTCCCTTCTCAATGCCCTCCTCAATATTGCCATGGCGCGCAACTGGCTCCAACCCACAGTCGCCGTCATGCGCTTACAAGCCTACCTCACACAGGCTCTCCTGCCTCTTCCTTCTAGTAATGCATACGATCCTGAACGCAAAATTCAAAAATACGCTCAATTACCGGGACTGAAGCAAGAGGACGTACGAGGTTTGGGTACTGCTGTGGACGATATCAAAGAGGTTGTCACCGCCTTGGAGGGACGAAATGACGGCCGAGTGGATGATATCAAGAAGGCTGTCGAAAGATGGGGCCGTGTCGAAATTGTCGATGCTCAGTTTAAGGGTGAGCTTTCCGAGCATCTTCCTTCCGATCGTTAATTCACACCGAAATATTAGTCCTCGGCGAACGAATCGTCACACCTTCAGCATTAGTCAACCTCCTCGTTAAACTTCGCCTCACGCCACCGTCCACCGAGTTCATCCAATCAAATGGCTCAGCTCCCACCGACCCCCCAGCACCTGAAGCAGAGACCGCTAAGGACCTTGAATTCCTCAACAGTCCAAAAGATTTCGAAGAGCTCGCGGCGCCGACTGACGGCAGTGGGATTGCGCATGCGCCATACTGGCCTGGCGTACGTTGATTTTATCCTGGTACTGTCTTCTCTGCATAGCTGATCTTGGTAACGAAACGTAGAACCGTCGACCAGGCTGGTGGATTGTTCTTGCCGATGACAAGTCGAACCGGATTGTTGTACCTCCCATGCGCATCTTCGATATCCCCTTCTCCAATCCCTCGAAAACACGGAATTATCGGTCTTTCAAGCTTAAGTTCCAGGCTCCGCCAGGTGTTGGACTGTTTACGTGGAGGATATACATCGTCAGCGATACGTTCGTTGGTGAGGATGTCGACCGTGATATTTCGGTACGTGATACACCGTTCTCGTCTCATACACATTGTCTGTCCACTAATCACTCGTATGTGTGACTCACAGTTGAAGATCGACGACGTGTCCGCGCTCAATGACGATGAGAAAGGGGAAGAAGACTACATCTCCGACCCCGAGGAGGACAGTTTGGCGGGCCAGATGGCCGCCATGCGGGGAGGGTCGGTCAAGAAGATTCGTCCTGAGGACGCGAGTGATGAAGAGGACGACGAGAGCGGAACTGACGATGACGAGAAGAAGAACGATAGCGACAGTAGTAGCGACAGTGATTGATCGTCTTGCTTGGTTTTTATGGGTTTCTTCGCAGCGGTTCAAATTAGTATATTATTGCTGCGTCATTGTAGAGACTCTGTGTTCTCCGTCGAAGGCGTGGATATGCCCGTGTGCAGTGTTTCATATGTCAATCAGAAGGGATGGATGTGGCCCAATGGCAAAGTGGCGTGGACAACTTAGCCACGCGTTTTCAAACTCGAACGCCAATCGAACGCGTTCTTCTGCGTCAACCTAGCCTTTCGTCTTCTTGTCACTCCCTATATTCTTTGAAATCATGTCTGGCCGCACACTTATCTCCTACGACGACATTGTTCCTCCTGGTGTCAGCCAAGCGTCTGCCCCGGTTATCCAAACTCAGTCCGCTCTCCCTTCGAATAACCAAAAGCCGCAACCTCAACAAGGCAATGTGAACCATGTCCATTTCGACCCCAACTCCAACGGACCTCCCTCGAAGAAACGAAAGCGCAACAACCATAATAAAAACAACCGAAACTCCAACCAAGACTTTGGCCAGGGCCACCAGAACGGAAACTCGGGTGCTCGAGGGAAGGGGCGAGGAAACGGTCCACAGCAGCCGCGTCGGGGTCAAAATCAAATGTATCCTGGCAGTAATGCTCCAGCTGTTCAACACTGGGATGACCCCGGGCAGGCAGGTGCATCTGTGCATTATGAGGAGCCGACCAATGAAGTACATGACGAAGGTGAGGGGGGATTGACTACAGTCGTTCTGGAGGACGACGGCGAAGAAGGGTGGGGCGATGAGGGCGAATACTATGATGAGGATTTCGCTATAGAGGCGGAGGAGGATGAGGAGGATGAGGAGGAAAGCAGGGAGTTGACGCACACTGAGATATGGGATGACTCTGCTCTGGTCGATGCATGGGAGTCAGCCGCTGCAGAGTATGAAGTACGTGCAACGGTCTCCTCTAGATGCGTCGCCTCTGGCTGAGTGTTCTCTAGGCATTTAATGGCAAAGGAAAATCTTGGAAAGACGAACCCGTCAAAAAGTCACCTTTGTGCATTTCATTCTCACACTCTCATCTATCAACTGAACCTCACTTTCCCTTGTTTTTGTCGGCATACATGTCATAGGTGGTATAATGTCCCCCCGTCGCCTTCGAAGCTCAAACCGTCCAAAAAGTCGGCGAATGGAGAAGAACTCCAGGACTCAAAGCCTCTCAACTTCGAGTCATTTGTGCCGCAGCATGATCCCTCCTTGGTTGTTGCTCCAGAGCTTTCAACAAGTCAATCACAACCTGAGGGCAGCGTATTACACGCCGGAACGTGGGCGAGCAGAGATGATTCATTCAAACGTGCATTAGAAGCAACTTACTGGGCTGGTTACTGGACTGCCGTCTACCACGTAAGTGCTAGCATCTCTTATGTCTTTGGCCTTTTCCGACCGTCCCTTGTGCGCCTTTTGTCTGATATTTCTTCCCTTTTTTCTTCCCATCAGAGCTACGGGAAGAGTGCCCCTCAAGCGCAGGTTAAAGACGAGCCAGACGAGAACGAAGGTGAGGACGACGTAGAACAAGACAAGGAGGGTGATGCCGAAGAAGATGATAGCCAAGACTTCATGTCGACACAGCGATGATCTACTTACTGGGCAGCCAACCACGGGACTACTCAATTCTGTTTCTGTCGGTGTACTCCATGTCCTTCTAAACTTTGTACACGCTCTACTTGCGTGGATGCATCAGATTTCGGGTTCAGTACAATGTTTAGAGGCCAGTCGACTTAAGCACTTGGTCAGACAACGGCGACTCACAGTACTCGAGGCGCCTCAGTCTTTTAGACGTCGCGTTAGGGTCCTCTTCCCGTGTTGCCAACAGTACGCCGATCATTCTCGACGAGAAGTTCAGAGTCAAATCCAATTAAGCATCAACTACGAGGTTAAACGTGAGTACAAATAAATAACGACAGTCAGCCGCCAGTGCCCATAGCCTTCCGAGGTGCAAAGCTCGCACAAAGTCCGCACAAATCCCACATGACAAAGATATACAAATGCAACTAATCCAGCCGTCCTGCCTTGCCATTGAGATGCTGATAGTATTGGTCACCGTTGTCGTCAAAGATAGCTTTCTTAATGCCGTAGATGAGACCAACGATGGCGACCATGAAGATGAAGATGGTCATCTTCGGATGGTCCTTGATGACAGATTCGACCGACGTGAGTTTGTCGTTCAGATACTGTGTAGAACAAGATGTCAGCATAAACCCGATATACAGAATAAAGCAAACAAACCCTAGCCATGCGCTCGATCATGTTCTCGGAGTTCTTGGGGCTTGTCTTGCCACTCATAACACCTTGGAGGGATGCGAAAATAGACTCCGTTGTAAGGCTCGTCTTCTTCCCGGTAGGCTCAGTGTCGAAGTAGAGGAGTTTCTGTGAAAGTTTAAATTTCCTCGTCTACGCGCAGGGCTCAAGGGAGGCACTTACTCCATGATCGGCAATGACCACGCCACCGACCTCTGAGACCCCGTACATACTCTTCAACCACTTTGCCCATCGCTGGCCATCCATCCACGTGAACACCACAGCCCTCTCACCAACCGTCTTTTCAGAATCATCCCTCTTCCGCCACCTCGTGCCAATTTCCTTGATCTTTTGGATCAAGTCGTCTCGCTCCTGTCCCTCGGTGGGCACGGAAGTCAAAATAACAAGGGGCTTGCTGGGCGCATTCATGACTTCTTGGAAGGTACCGTCGCCTAGTTCGGCGGCGATGGGAAGACGGTTATCGATGAACCAAGAGCTGATTTCCGCCAAAGGCGTCTTTGAAGAGATGGAGAGAACTGATGTTGGCGAGATGGAATCACCGTCTTTCAAGGCAACGAGGAGAGGATAAGGAGAGTCAGATGTGCGAGGTATGGAGATGTGATTGAGAAATGCGTTGGACGTCGAAGTGAAGACGGGAGGTGAACCAAGCAGGATGCGAGCGGCCTTGGTGACTGTGTTCTATAGATGACATCAACGTCAGTAACACATGAATAAGTGTAACTGAACATACCAAGATACGTATGTCTCCTGGCTGGTAAAGGAATAAGTAAATGACAGCATTCTCGCCCATAACCTCCGAAAGGTTATCAAATTCGAGTTCTTGAGTTGTCCTATGGAGCTACTGTCAGCAGATGACCTCTAAACGAACCATTGACACGTACGGCTTTACAACTCTGTTGGTCCATGATTTGAGGGAGTCAAGCTTTCGGGACCCGGTAAAGTCAGTCTTCTGACCACCCGGGGCGTAGTACGAGAGCATAGGATATCCATCGACGCCTTGCTTCGAGCAGAGACTCTTATGGTCGTCACAGTTGACTTCCGCGATTGTCATCTTGCCGCGCATATCATGAGCAAGGGTCTCCCAGATGGGAGCGAGCTTCTTGCAGTGGCCGCACCTAAGGCATCGTATGTCGCGATTTACTTTCGGTCGTTGAGCAACGCGAAGAACCCACATAAGATACGCACCAAGGAGCAAAGAACTTGACAAACATATTGCCCTCTTTTGCAAGTGTAGAAAAAGTCTCCGGAGTCAACTTCAGGACCTGTCCAATGGGATTGTAGACGATAGCTGGCTCCTCTGGTATTTCGGGCTCTTCGACTACGGGAGGTGCGGGTGGCGCAGCTGACTCAGGTGGCGTGATAGGAAGTGTAACGGACGTATGTGTCTTCAGAAAGTCAGCAATTCTGTCGTGATCGCGGGAGCCCTTGAACGTCTCTACAAGGACACCGTCCTTGTAGAGATTTATCTGCGGATATCCGTTGACCTTGTTCTCAGAGCAGAGGTCTGCATGATCAACCATGTGCATGGAATGACTGCATGAATTATAGGTGGACGGAACAAATACTGGACGCGCGCACCTCCATTGACAGCACAGTTGACCTGCGCCATGTTGACCACTGAACCTTCATACTCCTCGTTGAGTTGGGCCCACATAGGTGCAAAGGCTCTGCAGTGCGGACACCATGGGGAGAAATGCTCTACAAACCTGCACTTGTGCATCAGGCTCGACCGACGAGAATGCAGAAGCTTCTGGAGACGGACCAGTATCCAGTGGCCACAGTGTCCTTGAAGTTTTCCGGGGTTAGAGCTGGTTTGAGATTGTCTTCCGCTTCTGCGGATTCAACAGGAACTGCGATGGCCACGAGTGCCAGTGACACAACAAGTAGAGAGCATGGTAGACGGGTCAGTTTGGTCCACGATGGCCAGAACTTCATCTCCAGCAAGGTAAATTGAGAAAGAGCGGGTCAAAGGCCGATGATAAGAAAGACAGAAAGAGAGAAAGAGCCCTGCTCGTTGTTGGACACGACGCCGATGATGGTTAAAGGCAAAGGTATGGATGGCTTAGGTAACCCAAATATGGAGACGTTCACCTATCCTCACTTCGACCACCATCAGTCTGTCGTTCATGTCGCCCTCTTTCTCGACGTTTCAAATGCAAAAGACTTGAGAACCCGCATCGTCAATGCTAGTACCCTTACTGAAGATGCAGGCGATGTAGAGCGCGAGACAGTCAACTTCGCCTTCATTGACGCTCGTCTGGTAGATTCCCTCGTATTTTACGAACGACCATCGACTCACTTACGCTCTTTGAAGATCACTAGCCGCTTGCACCTACAGACAGCTATCTACCAAGCACTTTTGTCTCAGTCTCAAGGTATCTTACGCACAAAGACAGTGCACTCGGAAATCATCTGGGCCCTCAATCCCAGCAACAATGTTCGTCGCCGTACTATGTTTGACCTTCATCTCCATCCTTACCCTTCCAAAATTTGTCAGATCACAGAGGCTCTTCGAAGACATGGTGTATCTGACGGCAGCACATCTCTCTTTGTCGTTCGCGTCGCGTCGCCCGAGCTACAAGATGTTCAGAGCAAAATGTTGGCAGTTGTGGACGGCGCGATATCGCCTTTGTCGAAACTAGCGTCTCTCACGGATTGGTCGTCGATCAGAAAGGTACGTGCTCACTCGTCTGTACTCAGGTCTCTGGCACGACACGATTGTGATTGCTATTCGTCACCTAGTATTACAAGCTCAACAGCGAATCTGCGGTCAAGGAGATTCGAAGCGATGCCAATCAAGAGCATGCTGTCGTAGATAAGATCGTAGTAAGTTCTGTGGCCATGAAGAGTGTGATGCAATAGTTGGAGCTCGTGGGGTGTATGTATGCAGTGAAGAAGTACCGTCATTTGTAACATTTTAATTATTCGAAATTTCCGTGGCATGCGAAGTTGTCCAAACCAAGACCTTGAAGTATTCCACAGTCGTTAGCTAGTGCTGCTTTTGAGCATTCAATAAGGCGCTGAAGGATCAGTCTATCCACTGTACCCGTGTGTTCACCAATGGTTACTTTGTTTTGCTACGTTTTGCTTGTTCACCCTATAACTTACCAAATGGCGTGACTGGGAACCGTGACTTCAAACAGAGAACTGAAGGTAAAGCTCATGGATACGCATGAGTATTATGCTTCAAAGAATGTGGAAGATGATTGATACAGGCAGATAGGGTCTAAAGGTCGCCAGATGTTGATCGAGGCTCTGCATCTCTTTAAGACAAAACACCGTCTATTGTAATACTTCCTCAGTTGTCCTTGATAGTACCTTCTGCGCCATATCTGAGATCCTCCAGTAGGCCCTTCAGGCGTTGTCGCAACTGTACAACGAGCTTGTCGTCGTCTGCAGATGGCGGCGGCTATCGCAGAGCGAGGAACATAAAGATTATGGTCCCATCATGTGGCGAGCAGCGAGAAACCGACCAATTGATCCAGAAGATACTAAGTAGGGTTCAGAGGAAGTAGAAGAAAAAGGGTCAGTAAGCTGATGGCTGGCGTCACATTGAAGACCAACCTCAGCTTCGTCTATGGTCTATGTAGATGGGTATATGAACATTGAGCATCAAAGAGTTTCTGTACTGGTAGTGTAGAAGACAACTCACGAGGACAATGGGACCCCTTGTGAGCAAGATTTCAGTAATTTGAGAGCCCAAATAGACTACAAAAACACAACTGACCTGTTCATGGCGTTAGGTTGGTATCGAACTCGTTCTACCTCAGGACAACGGTAAAGTGGTATATAAAGAACGGACGAGGATTGGGCCAGATTGGGCCGCACGGAGGGAACCCGGATAAGATAAGATGAACTGATTGTCCGGATACGCCATCTTCATTGACCCTTCGCACTACTTTCCTGATCACCCCTTGACCAGTTCTCTCAAAGTTCTCTATCGTCTGTACCACGGTCCTAGGCACTACACCACGTCGCATTAGTGAACGATGTCAGGGCCGTCTCCAGTCTTCAAGATTGCACCTACCGTGCAACGATATGACTGGGGTAAAATAGGTCGATCGTCCAAGGTCGCCCACTTCGCGGAAACGTCCAAGCTACCAGGCTTCGCGGTAGACGAGAAATCACCCTACGCAGAGGTACGCGGGGTACTATATGGGTTGCAGAGTTCAATTGAACACCCTTTGACCACTAGCTGTGGATGGGCACTCATACGAAATCGCCTTCTCTCGTAGCGTTCACGAACACGACTCTCTCCTCGCACCTAGCCGCAAATCCTTCCTTCCTGGGTAAAGACGTCATAAAGAAATTCGATGCCACCGATGGAAATCTCCCATTTCTTTTCAAGGTTCTTGCTATCGAAAAGGCTTTGAGTATACAGTCTCACCCGGACAAGAAGACGGCAGAGAAGTTACACGCTGAGCAGCCCGACATCTACAAAGGTGACCGTCCTCTCCTTCGGAATCAACATTAATGCACGGTCGCTGATGGCCCCCGAACATCAGATGCCAATCATAAACCCGAGATGGCTCTCGCCCTCACTCCCTTCAGCGCCCTCTGCGGTTTCATGCCATTCCCCGAAATCACAGCCTTCCTGACATCCACGCCTGAATTTGCCGCCCTCGTTCCTCCTGCAATCTCGCAGAAATTTATCACCCTATCCCCCCCACCCTCGTCCTCACCCTCATTCTCACCAAATACCCCAGAACAGAAGGTCGCTCTGAAGAACCTTTTTACCGCGTTAATGACTGCCAATCCCGATCTACTATCGAAGCAGGTTGATCTGTTGGTGTCGCGATTCAAGGCTGGCAACGAGCTTGAGTCAGAGAGGAAGGTGAAGGATCTGGTCTTAAGGCTGGACGAGCAGTTTCCCGGGGATATTGGGATCTTCTGTGCGTTCGTGCTGAATTATGTTGAGCTCGAACCCGGGGAAGCGATATATCTTGGTGCCGGAGAGCCGCATGCCTATGTCTCCGGAGGTCTGTTTCTCGTTATTCACCGACTCTGTTACAGCAGATAGCGCTGACAGAATGGATTCAGATATCATCGAATGCATGGCCAATTCCGACAACGTCATTCGCGCAGGTCTCACTCCCAAACTGCGCGACATCCCTAACCTCATCTCGACTCTTACCTACAACTCCGCTCCTCCCTCTGCTCAACGTCTGCAAACCTCCTCGTTCCCTGCTGAAACCTCCGCCGCGTCCTTCACAATTCTATACGACCCTCCTATTCCAGAGTTCTCCGTTCTTCGCGTGGTCATACCGCAAGGTAAGAGCGAGGATCATCCTGGCGTGTCTGGACCCAGTCTGGCAATCATCACAGCGGGGGGCGGAAAGATAAGGTGGTATAATGGAGAATTAGAAGTCGGTGAGGGAGAGGTAATATTCATAGCCGCAGGAACTGAAGCCCAGTGGGAACCTGGAACAGAGGAGGGCTTGGTTGTCTACAGGGCATTCGTCGAGGCATAAACCTCAGGTCAGTATCGGACAAAGTTCGAACAACAGGGAACAGAATCAACGCGGAAGTGAAGAATGACACAATAGACGTGTACTTTTCTTGTATGAGACAAAAAAAAGGCCATAGTTGATGTTTCAGTAAGGACTAGCAGTCACCATTTTCTTATACTTCAATGCAAGGGGGTCGCGGGATGTTAATCCCGGACCCGGGGGTAGGTTGGTAGTCCGGTCGCCAGGCCAGAAAATCGAAATTTGGAGCACCCCTAAGATAGGGTTTATGTGGCCATTTGAAAGTCCGACACTGTGTGAATTTTACCATATTGAGAGCCCTGTCGGTGTTGCCTACCTTGTCTCTTCGTACTTGCTTTAATTTTCCCTCTATGGCCCTATAAATCTGTTGTTATCCTTACAAGAATATACTGTACCATTTCGATCGGATGCCATGGGGGTGTGACGTGTGACACGGATGGTACTTAGGCCAAACGTGTAAATAGGCCAAAAGCCTCCGAACGTTGTGACCGACCTGCCTTTTTAGGCAACTTTATTGCCAAATTGGGCGTAGCCCGGAGAAAAAATTGATTAAAAGTGGCCAAAATGGCCTGTGACCTGTGACAAAATGGGAATAGGCCATGCCATAGGGCCTTTGTGACGTGTGACCATGGCATCCGATCGAAATGGTACAGTAATGGAGGGGAATGTCCCCGGTCAGGTGAATGTTATTGTAACCATCTCAAGAATCCATTGGTACCAAGTCTTGAACCTTACAAGTCGACACATCATCCGTTGCTAACGGTAAACGTGGATGGTGTTGTCCATTGTCCTGATTATAGGACCGATGTCTCAGTAGGGAAGGGGGGAATCAAAAACTATGATAGCCAACACTTCAACAGCAAGAAGTGTAAATCCAATCTTGTGGCGAAAAAGAAGAAGGCAAAGTCATCTTCAAGCATGAAAGCCCTCACCTTGTTCTTCACCAAAAAGTCGACCGCAGCCATTGTGCCATCAACCGTCAAGGCTCCTGCACTCATCACTAAAGGACTCCGGCATGATGACGGGCTCCACCCGAACCCCTTCCTCTCAAGCAGCATCCCATCATGATTGTCCTCTTCTTCACCAGTGCACATCCCTGTTCCACTGGCACCCATGCCATCTCCTGCCCCTTCGACCGCCTATCCACCTATTACACCAACCTTTGCCTCATCCTCCAGTCCACTGACCGCAGCTGCATCCTCAACTGTTGTGGCTACTCCATGCCCTCTCGCTCTTCGTATGTTGGATGACCTTCAGGCGTACATGTAGAAACATTACAATGTCAGCCGGGATCTCCGTGCACTGACATTGTAATATGAGCCAGAACCTCTGGCTGCTTCTCAGGCGCTGTTCTCATGGGATCACATTATAATGTGGCTTCCATGCTTCTATTGCATACCGTCCGCTTTTGGATTACTACTTTATTGATTATTGATTCGGCCTTCCTTTTCTTGCCTTATCCTAGGGTTTCACCGTGATTGGGATGTGGCACTGGCTGCTACTGGAATTCTCCCTGCTCCCTGCCCCTGCTCCTACCCTGCTTCCTTCCCATTACACTTCATTTTGAGCATACCAGTATATCATAATAAGTTTTATGAGCATGCACAGAGCAAATCTTGAACATATCCTGCCATAAATGCCCTGCATACATTTCGAAAAATTAGCTGTTTTTGTGTGGCCCAAATGTGGCCCAAATCCTCTGCCCTGCTCCAGCTCCTGCTCATGCTCTGGCAGTAGGATGATTTATATTATGTATATTTTGGTATACTAATATCAGGTAGATATCAGTGTAGAACTGCTACTATGTACTGTCCCTCCTAAAAGTCTGAACAAAGTTCGCTTTTTGTGTGGCCCAGGTGTGGCCCAACTCTTTCCTACTCCTGCACCTTTCTGAAATGGATACGCATCATCATATATACATATACTGCCTCAGAATAGTCATAACTTCGTTCCTGAACATCTTTATTAGCTCTGCTCAGACTTAGAATGACCAAAAAAGTGTTTTCAGGGGTGTGGCACCAGGGGTACTTCAGTTCCCTGCCTCAAAATATATTACAGCACAGGCATACAAGTGTAATACTTGATCCATTGGAGATATATATATGAGAAGCCAAGACCAACACAGATATAGAGCAGTACCAGAGCATGAACAAGCAGGACATGCTAATGTGGCCCACATTACACTATACAGAAATTCGATAAAAATCGGATTTGAATAAAGAAAGGGGGTTTAGACTAAAATATACATGATAATAGTGTACTAATTTTACATTGGGGTGTCTACAACAGTAAGATCAGAGAGAGAGTCCAAGGAAAATGAAGCTGCACAACCCCTAGTACTCTTGTGCCACAGCTACTTCCAGCCATCAATTGCGGGAAAAATACAGAAAATGACGGAAACACCTTCCAATTTTGGTAGGTTGAGCGTTCGGGATGCCACAGCAGGGCCACAATCGCCCTGGTGTTGAGTCGATGTAAATACATTGAGCTGCAATAAAATACTGCAAAAAACAGAATTATAATTAGAATGAGAGCCCCTGAAAACCTACGAAAAGTTTGAGCAAAAAGGATTGCTCAGAGGGTTTGAACTGAGAAGTGCCCTGCAAACCTGAGTTTGAAAGCGTTCAGTGGCTTGAAGTTGTCTCAACTTCTTTGGCTTCTCCTTCTTCTCAGCCACCATGTCCTCTCCTTCATCTCCTTTCCCTTTGAGAGTACTCAGAGCTGGACCAGAGCACCTCGCCATGGAGCTCATGTCTGTGCATTGCAGGAAATTAGGGAACTGGGGCTCTCAAGGTTCTGGCTATTGATGTTGAACGGTGGCTATGCCCGCCGGTCCAGCATGTATTCACATGACACAATACTCGTTAATTCTTATTGTTCTTTCGCTCTCACGCGTTCAGCTGTATAGTATTACTTAAGGCTGTACGCTCTGCATGTAGATAAACCCCTGGGCATTCGCCCTGTAATCCTAACTACTTTTCTCGCCTCTCCAACCACTGCGTGTTATCAAGCCACTCAACCCAAGCCTTACTCCAGGTAAGTACTGAGAGCGGTACCACTACGTTAACCCTCCGCTGCTCAACAATTGAGGTGTAGCTGTGGTCTTCAGCCCAGCATCCTTGATTCTTTCTTCCTCTCCCCCCCTCTCTTTCTCTCTCAACACTTCAGGTAACATCCTCAAACATGATACTTCAAGTATATTTTCGACTTTTTGAGGCTTTTAAAGCCTC